TGCGAAGAACTTTTGACAGGCAAAGTGCAATATTGATAGGTGATTGCACTTTGCCTGTCACATACATCTCGACAGAGGCAACATTCGATATGAAAGTTTCTCTGTCGAGAAACTTCTCACACCTCAAGAGATGCGAAGAACTTTTGACAGGCAAAGTGCAATATTGATAGGTGATTGCACTTTGCCTGTCACATACATCTCGACAGGGCAACATTCGATATGAAAGTTTCCTCTGTCGAGAAACTTCCTCAACCTCAAGAGATGCGAAGAACTTTTGACAGGCAAAGTGCAATATTGATAGGTGATTGCACTTTGCCTGTCACATACATCTCGACAGAGGCAACATTCGATATGAAAGTTTCCTCTGTCGAGAAACTTCCTCACACTCTCAAGAGATGCGAAGAATTTTGACAGGCAAAGTGCAATATGATAGGTGATTGCACTTGCTGTCACATATCTCGACAGAGGCAACATTCGATATGAAAGTTTCCTCTGTCGAGAAACTTCCTCACACCTCAAGAATGCGAAGAAACTTTTGACAGCAAAGTGCAATATTGATAGGTGATTGCACTTTGCCTGTCACATACATCTCGACAGAGGCAACATTCGATATGAAAGTTTCCTCTGTCGAGAAACTTCCTCACACCTCAAGAGATGCGAAGAACTTTTGACAGGCAAAGTGCAATATTGATAGGTGATTGCACTTTGCCTGTCACATACATCTCGACAGAGGCAACATTCGATATGAAAGTTTCCTCTGTCGAGAAACTTCCTCACACCTCAAGAGATGCGAAGAACTTTTGACAGGCAAAGTGCAATATTGATAGGTGATTGCACTTTGCCTGTCACATACATCTCGACAGAGGCAACATTCGATATGAAAGTTTCCTCTGTCGAGAAACTTCCTCACACCTCAAGAGATGCGAAGAACTTTTGACAGGCAAAGTGCAATATTGATAGGTGATTGCACTTTGCCTGTCACATACATCTCGACAGAGGCAACATTCGATATGAAAGTTTCCTCTGTCGAGAAACTTCCTCACACCTCAAGAGATGCGAAGAACTTTTGACAGGCAAAGTGCAATATTGATAGGTGATTGCACTTTGCCTGTCACATACATCTCGACAGAGGCAACATTCGATATGAAAGTTTCCTCTGTCGAGAAACTTCCTCACACCTCAAGAGATGCGAAGAACTTTTGACAGGCAAAGTGCAATATTGATAGGTGATTGCACTTTGCCTGTCACATACATCTCGACAGAGGCAACATTCGATATGAAAGTTTCCTCTGTCGAGAAACTTCCTCACACCTCAAGAGATGCGAAGAACTTTTGACAGGCAAAGTGCAATATTGATAGGTGATTGCACTTTGCCTGTCACATACATCTCGACAGAGGCAACATTCGATATGAAAGTTTCCTCTGTCGAGAAACTTCCTCACACCTCAAGAGATGCGAAGAACTTTTGACAGGCAAAGTGCAATATTGATAGGTGATTGCACTTTGCCTGTCACATACATCTCGACAGAGGCAACATTCGATATGAAAGTTTCCTCTGTCGAGAAACTTCCTCACACCTCAAGAGATGCGAAGAACTTTTGACAGGCAAAGTGCAATATTGATAGGTGATTGCACTTTGCCTGTCACATACATCTCGACAGAGGCAACATTCGATATGAAAGTTTCCTCTGTCGAGAAACTTCCTCACACCTCAAGAGATGCGAAGAACTTTTGACAGGCAAAGTGCAATATTGATAGGTGATTGCACTTTGCCTGTCACATACATCTCGACAGAGGCAACATTCGATATGAAAGTTTCCTCTGTCGAGAAACTTCCTCACACCTCAAGAGATGCGAAGAACTTTTGACAGGCAAAGTGCAATATTGATAGGTGATTGCACTTTGCCTGTCACATACATCTCGACAGAGGCAACATTCGATATGAAAGTTTCCTCTGTCGAGAAACTTCCTCACACCTCAAGAGATGCGAAGAACTTTTGACAGGCAAAGTGCAATATTGATAGGTGATTGCACTTTGCCTGTCACATACATCTCGACAGAGGCAACATTCGATATGAAAGTTTCCTCTGTCGAGAAACTTCCTCACACCTCAAGAGATGCGAAGAACTTTTGACAGGCAAAGTGCAATATTGATAGGTGATTGCACTTTGCCTGTCACATACATCTCGACAGAGGCAACATTCGATATGAAAGTTTCCTCTGTCGAGAAACTTCCTCACACCTCAAGAGATGCGAAGAACTTTTGACAGGCAAAGTGCAATATTGATAGGTGATTGCACTTTGCCTGTCACATACATCTCGACAGAGGCAACATTCGATATGAAAGTTTCCTCTGTCGAGAAACTTCCTCACACCTCAAGAGATGCGAAGAACTTTTGACAGGCAAAGTGCAATATTGATAGGTGATTGCACTTTGCCTGTCACATACATCTCGACAGAGGCAACATTCGATATGAAAGTTTCCTCTGTCGAGAAACTTCCTCACACCTCAAGAGATGCGAAGAACTTTTGACAGGCAAAGTGCAATATTGATAGGTGATTGCACTTTGCCTGTCACATACATCTCGACAGAGGCAACATTCGATATGAAAGTTTCCTCTGTCGAGAAACTTCCTCACACCTCAAGAGATGCGAAGAACTTTTGACAGGCAAAGTGCAATATTGATAGGTGATTGCACTTTGCCTGTCACATACATCTCGACAGAGGCAACATTCGATATGAAAGTTTCCTCTGTCGAGAAACTTCCTCACACCTCAAGAGATGCGAAGAACTTTTGACAGGCAAAGTGCAATATTGATAGGTGATTGCACTTTGCCTGTCACATACATCTCGACAGAGGCAACATTCGATATGAAAGTTTCCTCTGTCGAGAAACTTCCTCACACCTCAAGAGATGCGAAGAACTTTTGACAGGCAAAGTGCAATATTGATAGGTGATTGCACTTTGCCTGTCACATACATCTCGACAGAGGCAACATTCGATATGAAAGTTTCCTCTGTCGAGAAACTTCCTCACACCTCAAGAGATGCGAAGAACTTTTGACAGGCAAAGTGCAATATTGATAGGTGATTGCACTTTGCCTGTCACATACATCTCGACAGAGGCAACATTCGATATGAAAGTTTCCTCTGTCGAGAAACTTCCTCACACCTCAAGAGATGCGAAGAACTTTTGACAGGCAAAGTGCAATATTGATAGGTGATTGCACTTTGCCTGTCACATACATCTCGACAGAGGCAACATTCGATATGAAAGTTTCCTCTGACGAGAAACTTCCTCACACCTCAAGAGATGCGAAGAACTTTTGACAGGCAAAGTGCAATATTGATAGGTGATTGCACTTTGCCTGTCACATACATCTCGACAGAGGCAACATTCGATATGAAAGTTTCCTCTGTCGAGAAACTTCCTCACACCTCAAGAGATGCGAAGAACTTTTGACAGGCAAAGTGCAATATTGATAGGTGATTGCACTTTGCCTGTCACATACATCTCGACAGAGGCAACATTCGATATGAAAGTTTCCTCTGTCGAGAAACTTCCTCACACCTCAAGAGATGCGAAGAACTTTTGACAGGCAAAGTGCAATATTGATAGGTGATTGCACTTTGCCTGTCACATACATCTCGACAGAGGCAACATTCGATATGAAAGTTTCCTCTGTCGAGAAACTTCCTCACACCTCAAGAGATGCGAAGAACTTTTGACAGGCAAAGTGCAATATTGATAGGTGATTGCACTTTGCCTGTCACATACATCTCGACAGAGGCAACATTCGATATGAAAGTTTCCTCTGTCGAGAAACTTCCTCACACCTCAAGAGATGCGAAGAACTTTTGACAGGCAAAGTGCAATATTGATAGGTGATTGCACTTTGCCTGTCACATACATCTCGACAGAGGCAACATTCGATATGAAAGTTTCCTCTGTCGAGAAACTTACTCACACCTCAAGAGATGCGAAGAACTTTTGACAGGCAAAGTGCAATATTGATAGGTGATTGCACTTTGCCTGTCACATACATCTCGACAGAGGCAACATTCGATATGAAAGTTTCCTCTGTCGAGAAACTTCCTCGAAACTCCAATTTTTCTTTACAACTACAATATCTTAACAATTAGCTCATCAAAACACAACCTATAAACTTTAATTTTTACTTTTGTTTTTTTCAATATATGAACTAAATTTTTTTTTCAAATTACTCCCACACTGGGAAAAGTATTTTAACTCAGATGTTGCCAGCCTCTTCATCATTGCATTAACAAGTGCTTTGACTCAGAGGTTGCCAGCCTCTTCATCATTGCATTAACAAGTGCTTTGACTCAGAGGTTGCCAACCTCTTCATCATTGCATTAACAAGTCCTTTGACTCAGAGGTTGCCAGCCTCTTCATCATTGCATTAACAAGTGCTTTGACTCAGAGGTTGCCAGCCTCTTCATCATTGCATTAACAAGTGCTTTGACTCAGAGGTTGCCAGCCTCTTCATCATTGTAAAAATGTATTACCGCTTTTTTTTTAATTCAATCGTAACATCTCAATTATCCCGCCAAAAATTATTGGGTCTAAATTGGTTTTTATTATTATTATTTTCAGAAACAAACTAACTTGTTTTTTAGGAATTTATCATTCATAAAGTCTTTATGATATATTTTCAACTTATAATGAATATGAAATTATAATTGTTATTTTGAAAAAAAATTATTCATGATCAATTCATGATTTAACCATTTCCTTCAAATTAGGAGAGCATATTCAAATATAATCGCTCATTAAAATCAATTTTTATGTTTTTTTTTAAATCGAAATTATCTCATCATAAACCATGCAAACTGACTATTTGTTCTTATCACCATGTTACCAATATCAGAATTGTCTTTACAGCCAAAATTTCGCTCGATAAAAGTCCATCCAATAGTGAGATAATTGAGCAACGAACATTTTTCCATATCACAAAAAACCTCCGCCCAATGATCATATTTATAATTCTGAATGATTGGATTCAGCTGGAACTCTTTCAGTTTCAAGATCTGAATAATCAAAACTCCATTCTGGTTTTTGTTGTGGTTCACCTTCAAGAACTTTTGTGTTTGGATCTAATGGATCTTTATTAAAATTCATTGATGATAATTTCATTGTTCTGCAGAATCTTTCTGGATCTGGACATGTGTAATATCTATCATACAAAACATTGTTTCCATCTTTGTCAAATATATGTTTGTTCATAAAAAGATTCATTTCCTGCATTTTGTTTATTACAAATAACAGTTATTTCCTTATTATTTGCATTAATTTTCATTTCAAATGATTCATAACCATTGCATTTATATTCACTGCAATTTTCTTCATGACTATTTCCTGGAAGAATTGCTTTTCCTTTTTCACAAACATAAATTGGTTGTGAAACTGTCTGATAATCTGAAACTGTGAGTAAACTAATATATGGTTCTTGTTTTGGATTATAATATGTATTATTTGCTCTGCAATATTTTTCATAACCTGCATTATTGCAATCAACTTGTGATATTTTTATTAAATAATCTATACTAGAGTAATGTTGAAAATCAAATCCTGTGAAATCCTTTTTCCCGTTATAACCATTATATTTCATTAAATAATTTGATGGGAAATAATATTGAGGAATATCAATCGCAAACCCTGAAATTGGATTTCCATCAATTGATTCGGGATGTCCAAAGACTAACGGCTTTAAATTTGCCCAATTAACTTTATAATTTCCTGTATCTAGTAGCACAGCCATTGATGCATCCGTAAATTTCTCAAATGAATTTATGTTAGTAACAGTTACGCCAACCATTAAATCACCAAAATAAGTTCTATATTCTAAATGACTCATAGCTATGCCTTCAGATCCTTGATCTTCTAATTCAATTCCTGATGGACATCTCGTTCCATTATCTCCTTCGAATATTTCAACTCCAAATCTTTTTGTTGCAAAGATATGAGAATGTGGAGTCACAAGAAAAGTGTAATTTTTCCCATATTTTGTTAAATTACAAAGAGGATTCTTATATGGAATTGTGCTTCCTTGTGGATGATATTTATGGATATCATCCACATGAAATCCAAGAGAATGAATAAATTCATGTAGAACTGTGTAAAAAAGCTATTTTTATCGTCGCTTTCATCAACAGCTTCATCTGGAACATATAATGGATTGAAGCAAATCCTTGCTAAAACAGTGCGTGAATAATAATCATTTGCTATACTTGTTTCATCAGCAAGGCAACCTACATATTGATAGGTACACACTATAATTAAATCTGTATCTGAATAAACTTGCTGTATATTGTCATGAACAATTTTAATTGGATCTAAACGTGATTGAACCTTTATAGTATTTCTTAAAAACCTGATTGCATTTTCCATTGTACCTTTGATAGCTAAAAGTTGTTTTTCTGTGAGAATATCTTTATTTTCGCATATATGAATTTCATTATTGTCCAATTTGATTTTTTGACCAATACTTCTGCATGATAATGGATCATATACTTTCCCTTCTAACATATCATAATTAACTGATATCCTAATTGGTCTCCATTTAGATGAAACTCTATCTGAATTGTCGACTCTGGAGTAAATCAGCATTTCATTTCTACAACTTTGATCATCTTCTCTCAAGAGAATGGAATATAAATAGAAAATAAACATGAAATTATTAGAAAAAAAATACATATCAAAAAATATCCAACCATTCAAAAATTTTTGGATCTCATTTTTTCAATAAAATCATAATTCCAAAACATTTTTGAAGACTGTTGTATAATGAATATGCCTCAAATTTTTCTGAGCTTTGATTCAGAAAAAATTGGGATATATTGGAATACCAATCACTTCAAATTGTTTTGGGCATTACAAATTCATGAAAAAAAATATACCCAAAAAAATTTGAATTGATGGGTATTAATTAATATCGTTTAAGGATACCCTTACGTGTCAGATTTTTTGCGCATACGAAGAAGTCATGCTAGACATGAGCTATAAACCTGAAATTTTAGCAACATATTTAAAACTTTTTAAACTACAATACACTTTAATATTCAAGAACAAAAATATTCTTTTTAGAAATTACATAATTATTTTATGTGAAATCTATATAAAAACATATTTTGCGAGCGTAACTTTTTTCTTTATAAGCACCTTATATGACTGATAAACTGTGAAGGCACATAATTGTTAATTCATAGAGTTGATATGTTTCCAAAATTGAGAGGAAATTTGAAAATTGAATACCCTTTCAATTCAATTTTCAAAAGATATCAGCTCCTTCAATAATTGAAGGACGATTTTGATCATTTGCTCTTAAAACAAGTATGCCATGGAGAAAAAAGTTACGCTCGCAAATCTGAAATATAACTATCATATAAAAAAATTAAATTTCTAATTTTTTACTCTATAGATATTATTGGCCACTTGTGTAATGCATAAAAGTTTATGTCATATGCATATATTTGGAAGTATGGGAGACGAGGGAAATTACTTCTATGAGGCACTAGGATTTTTAAAAATTTCTCTATCGGACTCACCATTCAATTTCTCGAAAATTAAAAAAAATCAATAATAGCTAAAATGTATTATGCATAACAAATTTTAATGTTACACGGTATTTTTTGAACTTCATGACATGAATTTTCTTTATATTATTTTTTTGGATTTTCTATGATTTATGCGATAGGCTGGAACAACATTGTAAGTGCAATGATATCATTTATAGAGAAATCTAAAACTTCAGCTTTCAGAACTCGCAACCACAAAAATATTCATTTGCTAAGTAAGTAAAGTTGATTAAGTTCGACACTTAGCTTTTATACGTAAAACCAAGTGTGTATTGTTATTTCTTGTTAAATTATTGAGAAAAAACTAAATTGTAAGAGAAACGATACTGATTATTGAAATAATATTGAGGGTAGCTGCAGATTTCTTCATTAACATGCCGGAAATTTGTTAATCTTGGTTTTCTATCATAAAATCTGTCGAAGAATCTAAAAACGGAGATATGAAATAGAGATCATGTAAATCTAGAGTATCCTGTCAGAAAAATAGACTAAGCATGTAACCCTTTTTTGGTCATAAACACTTTTTACCACTTAGTCATACAGATGATCATTAAATTTAAACGAGCACTTTTTGTCAGAATTTATTCTTTTACAAAGACAGAAGATTTTAGTATTATTTAATATTAGTGCTGTAGCAAAATTCAAAAAACGGCGAAAATTCAGTGAATTTGTGAATTCACATTTTTTTCGACATTTTTCTTGATATATCCATGCACATTAAGAACACAGCTTTGATACGCTTAAAAAAGCATATTTCATATGAAATTGTTAAAGAAATAAACAATTTATATAAAAATTGCACTTATGGGCAGTTTAGATATATAATTTATATATAACATATATACAAATCCATAGACAAAGTGCAATAACTACAATGTTGTAGAAAATTACAGCAGAAATACTGACTTTTTGAAGGATAATAAGAATTCTTCTAAATGTTGTATTTTTATAATTTGATTGATTTTTTTTACTATTTCATTAATCTTTTATGAATAATAATTATTTTTAATATATGTGCTATTAAAATTTCAAATTTTGACTAATATATCTAAGTTATCTGAACGAAACATTTAGAAAATATCATACTTACATTGAAATAGCAAGTAGAGCATATTAATAGCAAGTGTCTTGGCTTTATATCTATCATCTATTGTTGTTTGATCAAACAAAATTCACTCTATTATATGGTGTCAATTAATTAAAACAATTTTTAATAGTTATTTATTTAGTGCGAATAAGTGCAAACTCATAAATGAATAACTTAATAGTAGAAATGAATTATCTGATATAAATCTCACATTTTGTCCATCAGAAATACTTTAATTGCATACGCATAACTATTAGTAATACGTCTGGAGTGTCAATTAATAACAATCCCACAACAAGTAAAATTCAGATTTTTATTAAACTTATTTTTTCCTAAAAGTTTTCTCAAATTACTATATATACATATGTGGATAAAATAATAGTAATATTGTAAAAAATTAGATAATTTTTTTTATTTGAGAACCTCTCAAAAGTTCATTCAATTTATCAATTGTTTCAGTTTGATGTATATTCATTTCTGGAGCCTAAAACTTTAGCAATCATGACAATATCATATTCTCTTTCTAACTACGCAATGTAAGGGTATCCTTAAAAAAAATAATAATGCATATAATAAGTTTTTATTATAATATCCACTTTTTCAATAAAATTTTGGATTTTCCAAATTTGTTTGCTTCTGAAAATTGAGGAGTCTAATTGAAAAATTTAAAAAAATCCAACATTTCAGACAACTAGTGTGAATCGTCATTGGAAATTACACTTTAAACGGTACAATTGAAAGTCGTGTCATATGAGTGTAAGTGCATCCTTAAAAAAATAAAATAAATAAAATAAAAAAATTACCCAGATTTTCCTTACTTTTACCACTCCCCATGTAATTTCTGGGGAAAATGATAATTCATTTTTTTATGGATGAATAGATCGTTTTCCTAGAAAGGACCTCATATCTCTGGCTAAAAAGAGTGTCAGATCCTAAATAGGTTATTGATCTAGTGTACAAATCCAATAAAAAGCCTATTTTTTTGGCTTTTTTGGTGCTCATTTTTTCGAAGATCTACATGAATATGGGGAAACCATCGGATTTTTTTTGGTTAACCCACATCTTCATGTAGTCTGGACTATCTTTCCTCGAAGGACCTCTTTACGGGTGTAAAAACTCATAAAGTTCTCAAAAGATTCATTCTCGATCTCCATGCTGAAAGAATTTACAATAAAAAAGAGATCTACGCATCAAACTACAGCCATAAATGAACTGAACCCCTAAAGCTCAGCTCTTAGTTTATCAAAAACGTCGAAATCCTTCTCATTGCAATCAAATTTTCTCAATAACTCATAAGAAAAATCGAATTTTGATTAAGCTGATGTTATAGGTATCACAAATACTACAAACTTGAGCAATATCGAAATTGCCAGCAAAAGTTTGAAATTGCATTGCTCATATTTGTTTTGTAAACTAAAAATCTGCTTATATTATTCATTAATTTTTTATATATTATTCATATACTTTAATAAAAACAATACTATTTCACCTTAAAAATGAATTTCATAAGTCAATATTATTTTTTTGAAAATGTATCAATTTTCGATTAAAACAACATGAGAATAAAATTTACGCAAAATTATTTTAAAAAATGGTTTTAAAAATTTACAATTGATTAAGAATAAGATTGCAAGAAGTTTTGAAGTTTAATTTTAAGAAAAAAAATTCGGATATTATTCATGGATCTAAGTAATCTGATATTTGAGTATCGGCACTATGCATAAAACATATATTTATAGTTTTTTTGGATTTTTATGATTTTAAATATATTCAAATTTGGCAATCCAATAGATTTTTAAAAAATAGGTAAATAAAAATAGATTACATATGCAGCAGATTTAGAACATGAAACAAATCTTATAGTGACCCAAAAAAAAATTCATGATCCAAAAAAGAAAAAAATTGGCTAAATGGGAATCAAACCTTGGCATAATGAATCATTATGTCGGATGTTTACACTACACTACACCGGCAGTTCGAAAAATACCCTTGGTGGTTCTATTTAATAGCTACTCCCAACGATAGGCGGTATCCCCAGCTTTAGAGAGGTGGTAAAAGTAAGGAAAATCTGGGTATAAAATAAATAAATATTTTTAAAATTCTAATATCTGATATTGGAATTGTGTCATGGCAGCGAAAACAGATCCATAATTCTGGAAACGAATCAAAGAATCCTTTGTCGTGAATTCATTCGATATTTTTGTTTCAGAAATGATGTTTCCGATGATTTGGGAAATTTCAATTGTTGATTTCTTTGATGAGATATAATGAACATTCTTTGTTGTTCCACTATCTTCATCCAATGGGAAAAGAGTCGAAATAATCTCTTGATTCCTTCCAAAACTGAAAATTGACTCAATTTTTCCTTTCAAAACGTTTTCATCATCGATATCACAAATAATAAACAAATGTTGAAGGACGAAGTCGTTGTATATATCATTAAACTGGTCATTGATGCTGGAAATATCATTGACAAATGATTTCAATCCGTCAAGAAAAGTGACAATATTTTTGCCAACATTTAAAATCAAAAATTGAGCAGATCCAAGAGCACCGATCAATGAACTGAATACTGTTGAATGTGTGAATGGCAAGGACTGTCTCATGTGCATTACATGTATATTTGTGACATTTTTGTCGTCAACTTTTACATTTGTACCAAATGAGACAGTTGCTGGAGGAATCTTGAACATCTGGAGTCCTGTAAGTGCTGATAATATGGAAGAACCATCATTTTCGAATAAATCAAGCAAAGTTACTGAAATTGACGGCTCATTTGGAACAGATCTTGAATATGCGACTTGTGGGAAACCTGCTTTTACATGTGCGACCTTTTCTTTGACTCTGTACATGATGGTTGACTCATCTAGACCATCGATATCCTTTCTGGGAACGATTGAGAACCAAATCGCTGGGAAATTCAAAATTCCGAAGAAGAATTTCCAGCCATCTTTGAATGGTTTCTCTTTTTCGACGTTTTCTGGATAAATATATTTGGCTATTTCTCCAAATTCTTTTTCAATTTCCTGGTGAATTCCCTTTGTCACTTTTTCATCATCTGAATGGACTGCGAAGGAATTTTGAGGGTAACTGTTGTTGATCTTCATGAGTTCTGAGTAGCCAAAGTGTTCTATTGAGTCCTTGACGAACTTGGCAATAGAATTCTCATCGAAAACGTCATTTTCAATTTCGAATGCGAAATTGTTTTGGTTTTCTCCTTCTAACAGGAATGGAGCGTAAACAGGAGCATTTGCGCGTATTATTGGACATGGATCATCATTCAAAAGTCCGAAAGCCAAGTTAATCTTTCCTGGATTACTGCGATTAGAGTAAACTTTCTGTTCTTTCATATCCTTTATAGCATAGAATATGTTTCTATCTTCATCCTTTCCATTCTTCGAAACGCTGAAGATTTTTACCGCTTCATTTGTTTTTGACATGTAAAGTGGCAAAATTTCATAATTATCCAAACTTTGGTTTTCATTATATGGCAAATCTGTGTCGATTAAAGTGTCAGAAATCTCAAGAGTTCTTGGTGAGAACAAGAAATATTTTGCCAACAAATTTTTGTCGACTAACTGTGGTTTCAATGAAAAAACGGCTGTCAAACCGCTCAAATCAATTGAAATTCCTGAAATTTCTTGGTCTGTCAAAAATGACAAACATTTTGACACAATTTTTTGACAAGACTTGAAATCACTTGAAATTTCAATTGATGTCAAGTAAGGCTGTACTTTGTTGTCAACTATTTTATGGTGCAAAATGACCAATGAGTTGAAACAAAGTGAAAAAACGGTTTGTAACTTTAACCTTAAATCAAATTTTTCTGTTTCGATTTTGATTTCTGATGGAATTTTTACATCAGAGTTTGACTCCAAAAAGAACAGTTTTAATTCAGATAAACCGCTTTTTGTGTCAAATTTTCCAAGAACTAGAACTCCTTTTTCAACAAACCAAGAGTTGACAACAGAAAAATTCGATGGTTGATTGCGAAGTGAAGTGACCAATTCCATTTGATTTTGAGAGGTAAAAGTGTCAGAATTTTTGACTTTATAGAAATTGAAGTCAGAGAAAGAACCATTTGATGACATTTTCGCATTAAAATTGATTCCATCAACAACTTTGATCTCTTCTAAATAAATGTTATTTTTCTTGTCACTTTTTGTCATTAACCTTAAACTTTTATTATTTACATCTTCTTTAGAAATCTGGTTAAGTGTTTTCCTGTCGAACTGGTTCATCAAATCATTCTTTTTGAAAGCTTTTTTGATACTTTTTATCAAAACATTTTCAACGGATCCGATTCTATGCGAATTTAGATTGATTAAAATGAAAGTTTTCAAGATATCCATCTGTTCTTTGAACGTTTCCCTTGGAAGAACCTTTGACTTCTCATTTCCACATGGTGCATTTTCAAGTGGCAAAAGTGAGATGGTCTCAAATGTCAGTTTTTTAGTGATGTCAGTATTGAATTTTTTGGATAAATAATCAGGATAACTCCAAGAGTTTGCAGCTTCGTTTGCCCAGTTGAGGAGATAGTTCTTGACGAGTAACTGCTTGTAGAAGGTGAATGGGCTCTCGGATTCTTCGATGATCTCATTGTAGAGGTCATTGAATCTTTTGATGTTTGTCAAATAATTATTTAATCGTTCTTCACCTTCTACAACGTTTTTCATGATTTTTCTGAATTCTTCGGCCCCGAATTTCTGGACACCGCATCTGGGACACAAAAGCTCCGGTTTTACTTGTATTTCTTCCCTCCTTCTGCAGTAAATACATGAATTTATAAACGTTCTGTCACTTTCCTTTTTTAACGACTCCAACTTCAAAAACAACGCTTTCATTTCGTTCTCCAGGTCGTTGAACTCTGTTTGGAACACTTTGGAACGATGGCTGTCAAATTCTTCTGAAAATAATAAATTAATAAAATTATCTTGGTGGATTCCGTTGAGAGACTTGTATTGACTGATGCTGATCTGATTTGTAGAAGAAATCCAATCAATCCAACCCAAAAATTCATCAAAATTGTCAAATTTAAAGTCAATATTATTTGTTTTCGCGTTTTTTGTAACAGAACAAAGGGTATTTAATGATCCATATAATTTGTAGTTCGATAAAGTGTTTCCAATTAATAATTTCTTCGAAATTGTATCTTTTATATTATATTGAACCAATTCCACGCGAGAACAGATGCTTTTCATGAATGTAAATGAAAATTCGGATAGTTTCTTGTACATTGGATGTGCTGGAGATAAGTTATTCGGTATAAATAATATTAAATATTCTTGGTTGCCGTCTATGCCGAGATAGATGCAGGGTTTGTTGTTTTCTGAGATGGAATAGAGATATCCGTGGAGTTTTTCTGAATTTGAGAAGATATTTTTAATATCAGAAAAATGACCGATCAAACCAATGATTTTGTGACTTTTGTTACGGAATTTGTTTGCATTAAGACGAAACATGTCATTATTTATTGGACAAATGGCGTTGATGTAAGAAAGAAATGAAATATAATTTATCTTTGGAATCCAATCATCACTTTGGTATTCGAAGTTGACAAGATCAAAGAACTCTCCAAATTGATCACTAGTTTGTGTAGAAACAGTTTGGTTCTCCTTGTGAATCGTGATTTGATTCGAAATGTTGGAATTTATCTCTGCATAGTACTGGCTTGATAGTATAATGATGAATTTGTCACTCTCGATATCAAATTCGTCCTTACTTTGTAAATAGTAAAAACCGGAATTTGTGAAAAATAAAATTGTATGGAAAACACCTTCTCCATAATGTTTAAGATAGAGATTGGATGTTTCGTAATCGAATTTGCTCATTGGATTGCGGCCTGGTAAGGTAACTTTTGGTAATAATTGCTGAGGAGAGCGAGATACGCCTAAAGCTTGGAGAAAGTTGTCCATTTTATCTAGGAATCCTTGCTCTATTTCATTTGGAACAAGCTCGCGCATCAGCTGAGGAGTATTTGGATTGTCTAGCTCGATTTTTGTTGATAAACTCAAATATCTATAGAAAAATGTAGAAATATATTGAGTTTTGGTAGTGTCGAAGCCTTCAATGACTTCCTCTTCAATTTGTTTCCTTGGGAAATCAAAGTGTGAAGAGTTAAACTCCATATAAGTGATTCTATAAAAATTCTGACTAATTCTTTATCAATGGAAAAAAAAATTATCAGCATGTAATAAATTTACACCATTGTCTTAATGAAATAAATATGTATGTGTCAGCACACCTGATATTTCATTTGTTTTGACTTAATAGGATTATTGTCAAAATTTTTTTATTCAAATCTAGATTTCCATAGTATTTTGATATCATATGTCTATTATTTTGTGCTAATTCAATAATCTATTCATATCACATCCTCAATTCTATGGAATTTGGCCAATAATAGTTTTTTTTTTTTTTGAAAATGAACTGCGATTTGAGTTTTTATAATAGCATTAAAAGAGAAAGATTCGTCACTTATTTCATTAGACATGATTGGAGATTGAACTCGGAACTAATTTAAAAAAAAATATTATCATAATGAGTTGGTCTATTACTATGATGATTGCATATCAATATATTGATGAAATTAATATGGTATAAAATATATTACAATATTACAACGAATTGTTTAATTCTGGTTAAGAGGCTCCAAATCTTCTCTTCTTTCACTTTTGGTTTTTTTATGATCTATAATCAGCGCCGGTGGAATAAGAATATTAAAGATTTCCCACCTCATAAATCTAAAAATGAAATGAGTTGAATATAACAGCAATCCAAATGCTGTAGCATAATAAATTAAGATTTCGATTATAAAGCCTTTGAAAAAATAATAGTTTTCTATTAAATAATGTTTTCCTTGGATTGCATAGAGCAAGTAAAAAACTGGAGCAAATATACAAAAAGCGGATAATCCTGTTTCAATCAAAGAAAAATAAAAAAGATAATTGGAAAAAATACAGTAAGTGATAAAAATAATGTTGAAAGCATGAAGATAATTGGGATCATTGAATAGTGAAAACATTGATATGATATAATATGATATAATATAATATACAACCAATTGGATAAATATGTTCAAGATATTCACAGAAATTGTTTATAAGATATTCATTAAGCCATAAAATAGAGAACAGTAACAATGAAATGCATTTGATGAATGCTGCAAGCGACAGTTGAATATCATTCATTTTGAAAAAGAAGTAACAAGTAAAATATGCATTCAATAAAACGAACGGGAATAACCAATAAGGCAATCTAAGTAAATTATTGTCTACATTAACAGGATTAATGTATCTATATGAAAAACTTGTTCTTATATGATTGCAACTCACTATGAATGGTTTAACATATTTCCCTTTGTTATATACTATTTTCAATTTGTTATTTGTGCTGTTTATTATATTATATTTTGAATAATCTTCTAAATCTGGGTCACATAATTCATTCATATTTGTACCCGAATTTAACCAATCAGCATATACACCGTTATAATACAATGCACCATGAAATCCCACATTAGTGAAATTAATTTCTAAAATTCCACCACACGAGAAACCATATGGATTTAAGTAATTATCAACCGGTTGTGAATCCATATTACCTTTTTTAATTTCCCTATTTTGTAATATATAACTCCATAATGTCATTTGATATAAATTCATTATTTTGAATAAAACCGTTTACATATTTGTCCGCTTAGTTATGATCAAAAATTATCTTCGTTAATTAAAGTTAATATTTATATTTATTATTTTTATACTAATTTTAAGCAAAAAAAGATATTGTAATTTGATTAAAAATTTAAGATTATTTATCAAAGCAATAAAATTTCCAATTGTTAATAGAGTAATGCATTGCCAGATGTTAAATGGGAAATACACTCCTTTTAATTAGGTAATTGACCACTAACCACTTTCTGACATTAACCTAATTAACAAAAAAAGTATAATAGTCATATTAGGGACTAGATAGTAATTTATAATAACTTTATCGACAAGAAAACATTGTTTTTTAACTTAAAAATTTGAAAATAAAGATATGTGGGTCAAAATATATAATGAGAGACTATCGGATTGTGATAAGTTCACCCTTTGAAAAAAATTAAATTGTTTATTCAGGATTTTTTGTGAATTCAATTATAGATTGCCAACAATATTAAAGTTCTATTCCATCGCTACATATTGTCTCTGGTTTTTCTATTTCATCAATCACTAGAATCAGTGTAATTATATTCATAACTTCGTGCCTTATTAGTCGATAAATAAAATGATTATTATCACAAAATAAGTATATTAATTTTGTACATAAATAAAACGAAAGTTGTGAGCTAAATATTTGAAATAAACTATAATTTGATCCGTCTTCTTCCGTGGTAAACATTTGGATGAAAATAATAATGCACATGATATTTTCAAAACATGCATTTTTCGAATCTGTCAATGAAAAATAAAAAAAGTAATTAGAAGAAAAGCAAAGAATAATATTAAGAAGATTTTTCAATTGGAAATAATTGAAACCGCTGCATTGTGAAAATATGATTATGATAAGATTTAATGAACATCCAATTGGATAAATATGTTCAAGATATTCACAGAAATTGTTTATAAGATATTCATTAAGCCATAAAATAGAGAACAGTAACAATGAAATGCATTTGATGAATGCTGCAAGCGACAGTTGAATATCATTCATTTTGAAAAAGAAGTAACAAGTAAAATATGCATTCAATAAAACGAACGGGAATAACCAATAAGGCAATCTAAGTAAATTATTGTCTACATTAACAGGATTAATGTATCTATATGAAAACTTTGTTCGAATATGATTGCAGTTATCAATATATGGGGCAATATATTGATTTTTACTATATCTTATTCTTAACTTGTTATTTGAGTTATTTATTATTGCGAAGTCTGAAATATCTTCTAAGCAAATGTTTGGTTCTGTTAATGGAAATTCCCACTCATATCCTCTATTATATGGTAAAATACCTACAAAATCATTATTTGTGAAATTTATCTCCAAAATTCCATCTTTAGAAATACCAAATGGTCTTAAATACTGTCTTCCAGACAATGATTGCAATGTTCCGTTTGTTATTCCTCTATTCAGTTGGATATAGTTCCATAATGTCAACATAAAAATGTTAAAACTTTCAATTAAACCACTTTTTTATTTGTTTGCTTCACTATTTTCATAAATTAAGCATATCTCTATAATTCCTTTATTTGTATTTAATTTAATCTTCTAGTAATAAAGATTTTATGAAAAAAAGAAGTTGTAAAAATATGATAAGAACTAAATTCTTAATAATCATTTCATATTTTGATGAAAAATAAATATGCTAGTTCATAAATAAACTGTTTAGTTATAAGTTTTTATATGTTATCCTTAAAAAAAATAAATTTTATTAAATTCGGAATTTTGATCACTTTTTAAACTTTGAAGTGGGTATCATTATCAGAGTATTTTCTTATATTTCATCTTTATACATAAAAATTGAAACATTTGAATCAGATAAATTCTAGATAAGTTACAAGATTGGAAACTTCATATCTAGCAAATCTAAAAACAAAATGATTTGTTGGATATAATAAATATAATAATGCACTTATCGCTAGAAAACAATACTTGATAATTACTGGTCCTTGTTCATCAAAGGGGAGCAAGAACATAAGAATTATAGACATAATGGCTTCAAGCCACCATTTATCAATATTTGCTATTGAAAAGTAATTTAGATAATTAGATGAAATACAAAAAATAAAAATGGTTGTTTTTTCTAAATTAGAAAAGTCTCCACAATGTTTATGACATATAATTATAAGCGCCATACTAATAGCATCTCCGATTGGATAAGCATGCTCTAGGAATATGCAACAGTTATTAATAATCCATTCATTTGACCATATAATAGAGAATAATGATAATGATAAAATTTTGATATAGGGTGTCCAAAGGTGCGTTTAGCACAGCGCTCTATATGAGACTATTAAAGGAGATATATGCTGATTATAAATATATAATAAAAAATATGAATATATGTATATGATGAGTAAGTTGTATTTTGGCGCCATGCCGGGATATAAAATGAATTTTGAGACAAGAGGCGGTTTCGCGGGAAATTTTGGCGGGATTTTTTTCATTTTTTTAATGAATCATAAAGAAAACATCCTCGCTCTTGCAAAAAAATGCAAAGACTGTAAAAAAATCTACGAGACATTGGTAAAATGCTTCGGTATGGATGCTCCTAGCTATTCCACTGTAACGTATCATGTTAGGATGTATCACTTCATGAACAAAAAGGCGCCCATCATAAAAATTGACAAAAAATCGCCGGATCAAAGAAAAATCAAAGCAATTCTTCAAGCGCTAGATGAAGACCCAAGAGCATCACTCAGAAGGATAGAGGAGATGACAAAGATACCACGTACAACAGTCAGTTATTATCTGCACAATTATTTGAACTACAAACTAGCGTATACACGTTGGGTTCCGCACAACCTTAATTCAGTTCAAAAAAATCTAGAGTCCAATCTTCGAAAGAGCTCCTCTCTATATTGGGTGCGTATCAATCCAAGAAGTTTCGCTTTTTAGTAACAGGGGATGAGTCTTGGTTTCAATATGCAACAGAAGCCAAAATCATGTGGATCCCGAAGGATGAAAATCCGCAAACATTCCCGAAGAAAAAAATTGACACACCAATGATTATGTTGTCGGTTTTTTGGGGCGTGAATGGCATCATCGCAATTGATATTCTTCAAAAACCTAATACGATGAATGCTCAGTATCTAATTGACAATGTTCTTACTCAAATTATCAATTCTGATGAGTTTGAGAAATCCAAACAACAAAAACAAAAGTTTGCAATTCATTTTGATAATTCAAGAGTTCACAAAAGTCATAAGGTAATGAATTACTTGGTGGAAAACAATGTCAAAGTTGTTCCAAACCCAATTTATTCACCTGATATTGCACCCTCTGACTTTTATTTATTCGGCACGCTAAAAAAGAGAGCTGAAGGACGCGAATTCGCGAGTCCAGATGATCTTGAAAATTTTGTAAGAGAGCAATTTGAGCAATTTTCTCATGATGATTTAAAGCGTGTCTTTCAAGCCTGGATCGATCGCTGCGAACGCGTGATTGAGAAATTTTTCGGATTGTTTGTTGATAAAATACCGGAGAAATAATGCGTGGAGAATCAAAAATAGAAATAGACAATATAATAATCTAAGTAAATTGTTGTCAACATTAATAGGATTTATGTATCTATATGTAACTTTTGTTCGATTATGATGGCAATTTGCAATATATGGTGCTATTGTTTTACTATTACTGTATTTAATTATAAAATTATAGCTTGTTTTGTTTATTACTTTATTTTCGGGATAATCTTCTAAATCAGGGCCACATAAGAGTTCAAACAATTTATTGTTATTGTATTCATCATTATACATTAAAACACCGTTGAATTCATTATTACTGAAATTAATTTCAAGAATTCCGCCTTGAGAAATGCCAAATGGCCTCAAATATTCTATATTTGTCTCTGGTCGGACAGTTTGTTTTATAATTTCTCTATTTACCATTATATACCCCCATATAGTAAGCATTAGAAAAAAAATATTTTCAAATAAACTTTGCTCCCTTCATAATACTTGAAAAATATCTTCAAATTTATACAATAACAATTGGTGCACTAAATTTACTGCCTAATTTATTAGATAAAATATTGTAAAATATTATTTCTTAATATTTCGTATAATCTCTGAATTAATTGCTGTGTATTCTGTTATGTAATATGTTTAATATAGTAGAATTTCTGAAATATTCAATACAAGTAAAAAAAAATCAAAATTAGAGCTTAGTTTTCTTGATTTATATCTTCAAACCAAATGGTGTATATAGTTTTCAAGTAAATCCTTGAAACAATGTAAATGAATTGATAATATGGAAAAGAAAAAACATATATTAGATTTAATTTGATTCATTTCTATGTATCGTATGTAATATAATGGCATTTACAGTGAACATCTCAAAATGTTGTTAACGAATCTATAATATGGAAATTCATTGTTATTACAAATTAAATTAATATATATATTTAAGATTAATATGAAAGATATTAATTTTTACAATTATTCCATGAATAATAGTAATTGGATGCTAAAACAAGCTAAAGTTAAATATCAAAATACCTGAATTAAAAATGATTCATCTCGATTGGTGTTTATAGAGGAGCAATATAACTATGGAAAATCTTTGCATGCAAAATGTCTATATCGATATTCAATAATCCTCACAATATATTAATTAATGTTATTGACGACTGTGAAAGTGAAAATATCAAGAACAAGTAGATCCTAAATAGTTTTATATATCTATTTTCTATATTGAGATGCTAAAAACCAAGAGGAACAACATGTATAAATGTGTGGTTTTAAAATAGAAATACATACAAAAAAATATTTAAAATATTATACAAACAAAAAAAATCTATTGATTAGATATATTTGATGTGATAAATGATGCCAAATTTGCAACAGTCATTGATCTGTTAAGTGCGTATTGTTCTGGTGTTTTATCAGCTAGTTCTGGATCGAAATCCCATCCGATTGTCTCAATAAACTCAAGAAGAATCATATTATCACGTTTGAAAAAGAAAAATCCTGCAGAATAACCATCTGGAAGCCAGTTTAAGCAAACTCCTTTCTTAAACTTTCCAATCTGCTTCGATCTGACTCTTTGGACAAATGAATCACTTCGAAGCATCGAAAAAACAATGTATCCGTAATCTTCTTGTGAAAAAATGAAAGAAACAAGCGGACAAGTCCAAAGATCTCTGTTGTAGATCTCACACATATATAGTTTAATGCTTTGGTTTTGATGAACAATGTCAATGTTGTTCCAAAGGTTGTTTTCAATGAAAAGTTCTGTTAATTTCATGATTTGTTGGATTGTCAACGGAATATTCATTGCAAGGCTGCTTAGATAGATATTCAATGTACTAGGTGGGTCAAAGAGGAATGGATCTGAGTCTGGACTGCTTAAATTCTTCCATTTAAAATTCATATCAAATTCAAATGGATGTCTGTATAAACAAGCTTTCTTGGATGAATATTGAAAGTGCATTAGTTCAGAAAACATGATTAATGGATCAACAGCTTCATTTGAAATCTTAGTTGCAGGAAGATCAAGAACAAAGCAATATTTCTCGGAAAAAACGTTTGCAATGTTAAATTGAGAAAGATCTGTAAAAGCTTTTTTGGCTCTATCTGATATTGACTCATATAAAAAACTTGGATATATGAATTCTACTGAAATAGATTGAATTGGTAACTGTGCTGTAATATCCATTGGTGGAGGAACTGTTTGGACAAATAAAAGTCTCGGGTTATGCGTGAAAATTGTTTGAACCATTTGATTTATTATTTTTTTAGAGGAATTGAATGTTAATATGTTGTAACCGAATTTTTGAAACTTTGTGGAAAGTGCTGGTAATACAATCCAAAATGGTTCGTTTTGTATTTGTATAGATAACGATTTTTGTTTAAAATCTATGAGCTGAATTTCCATGAAATATATTTCAAGTACTAATTTGGAGATATTTGGTTGCTGTCCTTCAACTTGTGAAGATGGAAACAATACATAAAAACAATCATTATGAAATTGAATGAAAATATTTGTAGGTTTTGATGAAACACCCTTTGCTATAAGTATTAATGGGCCAATACATGATTTATTTTGTGATAAATCTTCAATTTTATCAGGGATAGTTAACATGGATATCCAATTATAAAAATGAAAGTATAGGAATGACCATTATTTTCCTGTTGTTTTGACTTTCTGTTTTATATTTGTTATCACATTATTTTGATATAAGAATAAAATTTGCTTGAAATTATATGATTTCATGAGGTGCAAGTTTGCTAAAGCTTGATCCATATTGCATGATAATGATAAATCTTGATTGGATTGTTCAATAATAGAATGTTATAATGGTAATCAAATTATCATTTTCAATTTGGGTAACTCGTATATAAGTTTGATTACATATTTGTATTGTTATGAAGATGTCATTAATATATCATAATAATCTTTTAATAAACAAAATAATATTAATCTTCTTGTGCATATTCTCTTTCTTGTGCTTCGTAATAGTCTTTGTATTGATGTCTAGCGGCTCTTCTACGCTGCTTATCTAAGAAGCGGCAATGTTCAATAGTAAATTGCTTTGTTTTAAGCATATACCATTTATCAATCGGATCTCTATTAAATTCTCTATTAACTCTATCTATTTCATTTGCTAAATGTTCTGATTTTCGTTTCAATTCATTTCGAGCTGTTTCGAAAGCATTAAATGACATAATATCATTTTCATAAGGTGTAAAGCATCGATTAATTTTCTTTGTTGATGGAATTGGAAGCTGTTTTCGTGATATAACTGTTTCTGATCTTAAAGAATTCATTTCTGCGAGGAATTCGATTGGTTCTATACCTGCACCTTCGCCTTCCCAGTATGATTTATCAATATATTCTGGTTCGCGTCTGTTATCAAATTGCTCAAGGACTACTGTATTTGTTAACGTCTGTGTTACTGGAGTAAAACGTCTTCTTGGTGTTTCTGGAGGATGAAGTGTTGGTGGCTTTTGTCCACGAGATTCATACCATTCGCGCCGATGCTTCTCTGCTCTACGAAGAAACCCAGCACGCATCTAAAAATAAAAAAAAACAACTCAAAAATTTTTGTACGTTAAAAATGTAAACTACACAATATATATTGCTCATCATATTCACTCACCATATTTAATGGCATTGATTCTGATGTTGGGAAAATCACTTGCAGCTGTCATATTTCCTTCAAGTGAAGCTTTTTCATTCAAGAAATTCATCAAAAAATGACTTTAATTCAAAATTGCTGAGAAAATCAAGCCCTTACTCTCTAATCAATTGGAGTGTTCTCTAAGATTTCTCGGCAAAATATTCTCAAATGTATTTATTCATATCTTTAGTTTATATATTCTATCTAAATCTATTCAATTATCGCCGAGTTAATTTTCTTTAACAGAAATCTTGTTAGCATCTATAGTGGGGTCTCGACCACGATTTAACAAAATCTAAATTCTGATTTTATAATGGTCAGAAACATATCACTATTAATCAGTATTACAGTCGAAAGGGAATTACTACATTAGGTCATGTTAACCAAATTACATGTAACCTGATCCTAATTTTTCTGATTATATCTCATACACTCCTCAATAGATATTTGGGAGTCGTTAATAAGGAAACAAATTGAAATTTGCATTTGTCGAATGTCGGAAATGATATAAATATTCATTCTGGCAAATATGTTAATATCCCGAGACAATTTTCTTCCAATCGTAATAAGACCTTTTGAAATTTATTTCTTGTTGGATGCTTTGCTCAACCCCAAATTTTAAACAAACAGTTCAAAAGATTATGAAATCCATAATTTATCTTTTCTGAAATTATCTTCTATTATCCAATAACATCATATTATAAAATTTAAGGTTTTGAAATCCAATGAGGATGACACAATTTTTTTGGTTGCGCAAGAATCCTCAGAAATAAAAAATAAAATAATATTTCGTTAATTGATTAGTATGTCTCTAAGAAGAACAAGACCAAAACCAATGCATCCCATTGGAAATACCAAGCGTAAATCAAGTGGGAGTGAGGGTTTTAGTCCAAAACAAAGTTCAGAAAATGAATCTTATTCTTCCCAACAAGACAACCAGCCAGAAAGCCAATCGGAACAAAACGTGCCAGATGTTTGTTCTGATTCTGAGCGAAATGACTCGCAACGCCTTGAAATATTAATGAACTTCCTTAGAACGATAGCTGATCAGCTAGGAATTACACAGCAAGATGAGGCTTCCCTAAAATGTCAGGTTTCGACAAGAATTCATGAATTAATTAAGATTAATGGTAAAATGTCAAAACAAAACGTCTCGGAAGTAGCATCGAATGATCCATTAGTACAAAATTCAGATTCAGAATCTTCCAAATCTCAAGATATTGCTGAAGAAAGCAAGGAAAACTCTAAATCTGTAAAACAATTAGAAGATGAGATAAAGCAATTAAAGCAAGAGTTAGACGAACAAACGAACCGTGCTGATTCTCTCGAAGAGATGAATGAAAAATTCAGATCTCTTTTACCAGATTCTGAAGATTTCGAATCTGCTTACAGCCAACTCAAAAGTCTATGTGAAAATAGCAACTCTACTATTGACGATAATGATTCTGAAGAAAAGAGTCATAAAAAGCGTCATCACAAAGACTTGATTGGAAAATTAAACGAAAAGAACAATGAAATCAAGCAACTCGAAAAGGAAATCAAGAGTTTGAAACTAACTTTGAGTGAACGATCCAATGAACTCAACAACATTCGTAGAACTTTGGCAGAAAAAGAAGAAGAAATTGAAAATTTGAATAAAAACAGTTCTAATTCTTCAAATGAAGAAGATCTTAAGAAGAAAGATGAAGAAATCGAAAAACTGAAAGAAGAAATCGAGAAGTTAAATAGTAAACCACAGAAAGAAGAAGAAAACGAAGAGAAAGATAAAGAAAATGATTCAGAAGAAGGTGAAGAAAATACAAGTGAAAAGTCACATCATAAGAAACATCATAAAGACTTGATTGGTAAACTTAACAAGAAGAACAACGAAATTAAACAACTTGAGAAAGAAATCAAAGGTCTTAAATTAACATTAAGTGAAAGATCAAATGAATTAAACAACATTCGTAGGACATTAGCAGAGAAAGAAAATAATTCCAATGACGAAACTCTTCAAAAGAAAGTAGAAGAAATCGAAAATCTTAAGAAAGAAATCGAAGAATTCAAGAACAAGAGTTCTAATGAAGAAGAACTTAATTCTCTTCGCGAATCCAACCAAAAACTGAAAGAAGAAATCGAGAAGTTAAGCAATAAACCACAGAAAGAAGAAGGTAACGAAGAGAAAGATAAAGAAAATGATTCAGAAGAAGGTGAAGAAAATACAAGTGAAAAGTCACATCATAAGAAACATCATAAAGACTTGATTGGTAAACTTAACAAGAAGAACAACGAAATTAAACAACTCGAGAAAGAAATCAAGAGTTTGAAATTAACATTAAGTGAACGCTCCAATGAACTCAACAACATTCGCAGAACATTAGCAGAGAAAGAACAAGAAATGGAGAATTTGAAGAATGGAGAAGGAAATACACAAAACAATGAAGAACTAAATCAACTCAAAGAAGACAACAATAAACAGAAAGAAGAACTTGAATCATTGAAGAAACAATTACAAGATAAAGATGCAGAACTTGAACAGATTAGAAGTAACACAAATACAAGTACAATTACAGAAGAAAGTAAAGAAATGAACAGTGACAATGATGATGAAGAAAGTGAGAAGTCACAAAGTAAATCGGGTCACAAGAAACATCATAAAGACTTGATTGGTAAACTCAATCAAAAGAACAACGAAATCAAACAACTCGAGAAAGAAATCAAGAGTTTGAAACTTACATTAAGTGAAAGATCAAATGAATTAAACAACATTCGCAGAACATTAACAGAGAAAGAACAAGAAATAGATAATTTGAAGAAATCTGGATCAAATTCTTCAAATGAAGAAGATCTTAAGAAGAAAGATGAAGAAATCAAATCTCTTCGTGAATCAAATGATAAGTTGCAAAAAGAACTTTTAACTCGAGATGAAGAAATCGAGAAGTTAAGCAATAAACCACAGAAAGAAGAAGAAAACGAAGAGAAAGATAAAGAAAATGATTCAGAAGAAGGTGAAGAAAATACAAGTGAAAAGTCACATCATAAGAAACATCATAAAGACTTGATTGGTAAACTTAACAAGAAGAACAACGAAATTAAACAACTCGAGAAAGAAATCAAAGGTCTTAAATTAACATTAAGTGAAAGATCAAATGAATTAAACAACATTCGTAGGACATTAGCAGAGAAAGAACAAGAAATGGAGAACTTAAATGGATCTGTTCAAAACAAGAATGATGATGAAATCAAAGAACTTCAACAAGAGAATGAAAAACTCAAATCAGAACTCGCAAGTAAAGATGCAGAACTTGAACAGATTAGAAGTAACACAAATACAAGTACAATTACAGAAGAAAGTAAAGAAATGAACAGTGACAATGATGATGATGAAGAAAGTGAGAAGTCACAAAGTAAATCGGGTCACAAGAAACATCATAAAGACTTGATTGGTAAACTCAATCAAAAGAACAACGAAATCAAACAACTTGAGAAAGAAATCAAGAGTTTGAAACTTACATTAAGTGAAAGATCAAATGAATTAAACAACATTCGTAGGACATTGGCAGAGAAAGAAAACAATTCTAATGACGAAACTCTTCAAAAGAAAGAAGAAGAAATCGAGAATCTTAAGAAAGAAATCGATAATTTGAAGAAGTCTTCTTCAAATGAAGAAGAAACTAAGAGTCTTCGTGATGAAATTGAGAAGTTAAAGAAAGAACTCGAATCTAAAGAATCAATGAATACAAATACAAGCACTATCAATGAAGAAATTGATGGTGAAGCTAAAGAAAATGATTCTGAAGAAGAAAATACAAGTGAAAAGTCACATCACAAGAAACATCATAAAGACTTGATTGGTAAACTCAATCAAAAGAACAACGAAATCAAACAACTCGAGAAAGAAATCAAGAGTTTGAAATTAACATTAAGTGAGAGATCCAATGAATTAAACAACATTCGCAGAACATTAGCAGAGAAAGAAAATAATTCCAATGACGAAACTCTTCAAAAGAAAGTAGAAGAAATCGAAAATCTTAAGAAAGAAATCGAAGAATTCAAGAACAAGAGTTCTAATGAAGAAGAACTTAATTCTCTTCGCGAATCCAACCAAAAACTGAAAGAAGAAATCGAGAAGTTAAATAGTAAACCACAGAAAGAAGAAGAAAACGAAGAGAAAGATAAAGAAAATGATTCAGAAGAAGGTGAAGAAAATACAAGTGAAAAGTCACATCATAAGAAACATCATAAAGACTTGATTGGTAAACTTAACAAGAAGAACAACGAAATCAAACAACTCGAGAAAGAAATCAAAGGTCTTAAATTAACATTAAGTGAGAAATCAAATGAATTAAACAACATTCGTAGGACATTAGCAGAGAAAGAAAATAATTCCAATGACGAAACTCTTCAAAAGAAAGTAGAAGAAATCGAAAATCTTAAGAAAGAAATTAATTCCCTCACAGAAAGCAACGAAAATCTCAAGAATTTGATTGATGAAATGAAGAAGAAAGATACAACAAATAATAAATCTAAGACACCAGTCAAATTCATCAAGAAAGCGATGTCCGAAAAAGAACTTTCATTCAAACCAATGGCTCAAACTGTTAGATCTCGTGATCTCAACCTGACTGATTTCTCATTAAACGAAGAACAGTTCAGGCAAGAAATGGAGAGTTGGAAGAGAATTGCAACAGAAAGAGCACGTGAAAACGATGACTTGAGACAACAAATTAATTCAAGAGATCAAGAAATCGAAAAATTGAAGAAAGAAGAAAAGTCAACGAATTTCCAGATTTCAAAGATGAACAACGACAAACAAGAGCTTGCCAAGTTGCGACAAGACAACACATACAAAGATAAAGAGATCCAAAGATTGCTTTCTGAAGCAAGTTCCAAAGAAACAGAAAACAACAAACTCAAGACAGAATTGGACCAAAAGAACAACGAGTGCAATAAATTGAAGACATTGAATAACTCAAAGGAGAACGACATTAAACAATTGAAACAAGACTTGTCACATAAAGACAATGAAATACAGGCCCTCAAGAACGAAATCCACAGTAAAGAAAACGAAATCATCAAAGTAAAGAACGAAGGTTTGATGAATTCTGTCACTCAGCTCCAAAGAAAAGTCGCTGCATTGACAACAGACAAAACGATGCTTACCGAAGAAGTCAAGCTTCACACGTCTAGACTCAGTGTTCTCGCGGCTGAAAGGAAGAGCAGAGAAGAAGAGGAACAGCTAATGGCGAAACTGAAGAGAAGATTAATCGCAAAAGATGTCGAATTGCAAGAAAAAGACAGACAATTGGAGTTTTTGAATTCTTCGGTGAAGAAACTGAAGAAAGAAAACGAACAATTGAACAACGAATTAAAGGAGAAAAACCTAAGATTATCTCAGTTAGATAATGTCCATGAATCTGCAATTCGGACAATGAGGAGACGACAGGCGACTAAGAAATCAGGGATATAATTAGTAATTAATTTTTATTCTTTATTTATTTGTTATTTTTATTTTATTTTTGTATCCATAATTGATTTTGAATAAAAAACTTTTTTTGCATCCACTTAAGCATATCTTACATTCATACTTAATTCTACATCATCTAAATAAGTTATCTTTATTTTGGTTGATGACAAATTCTGTATATATTTATCTCTAAGGATATAAATTTACTTTATATATCTTGATAATCCCAAAATTTATAGATGTGGATTTCATTCTGCCATAGAAATACGTGTTTTCGATATCACGTTAATGAATATCATTTAATTGCTTAGCTATTGAGTATGAAAAAAGTGTCAAATTTTTCAAGAATGAATTTGATGTTTGTCTTCTGATACACTAACGATCGAATTTGTTGGCAATAAAACCATTGCAATTCCAAATGGTTGTTTTAGGGATCCAATCAAATATATTATCGTGAAAGATGGCTTCGAAATTCTTCATGAAAGGACTTTTTTCAACTTTAGGAATTTAATAAATATTTCCTTACCTGCATCACTAACAACAATAAAAAATGAAGGATTTTTCCTATCTTCATATATGCAACATTTATTTTTGCCAAAAAATGTCCAGAATTTTGATGGGACACCATTTGATCTTTCACCAATTGCAGAATTCGAAGTTGACAAAGAAAATAAATACTTTTGTTCTTTAGACGGTGTGATTTTTACGAAAAAACATGGAAAAATTGATTGCCTTTCCTAGATACAAAAACGTCACTTCATATATTGTTCCTAGCACTGTTAAGACGATTGACGCAGCAGCAATGACTAGATTTGTTTATCTTGAAAGAGTTATCATTCCAGATTCAGTTACATTGATAAAAGGCGCTTTTTTATATGAAACTTACGACAAAATAAAAGAAGTCATTATTCTTAGAAACCATCAACAGAAAATACCAGATATTTGGACAAATGGTGCTTTTTTTCAATCAAATTTTAAATTAAATACCCTACTTTCCCAACATTTAGAATAAGGTTATTGCCCTAAAATTCAGTTATAGACACTTAGGAGAGCATTTAAGCCATGATATTTTGGCATATGATAGAGAAACATCTTATAAACATTTTCAGTATGTTTTCCTATAAAATAACGATCTCACATGAAATTACTAAAATATCAAATTTTGATTTTCACTTTAAAGTTGGGAGAATACTCTACAGTGACAGGGTATACAATTTTAACCTTTGTTTTGATTATAAATAAAGTATTGATAGAGATATGAGTTGTACAGAATTATACACGTGTGTTTAATCAAATGTAAGTTGTGCAACAATAATGATTAGCTAGATAGTATATTAAGGAACTGTGATTTATGATCTAATTCAATAAGATGTAAATGATATTCAAATATATTAAATAAATGCGAATGTTCAAGATGTGAAATCAGTTAGTTAATTGTTGTATATAGATATTTTACTGTGATTAATGAATTTTTTAACAATTTAAAATTATCAAATTTCAAAATATGCGCAATGAGATAATTTGAGAGTATTTTGAGAACTGAAGACTTATGATTTAGTGTTTTTGAATAAGCACATCAATATAAAGATAGAAAATAAATTGAGATATAATTTTTTTGAAGGTATTATAAGGGTGGAGGTAGTAGGATAAATTTTTAATGTTCTATACTTTCATGGCAAATAATTAAATAGAAGTAAAACTTTGTTTTAAGAATTGAAAATTTTAAATAAAAAAGGAATGTTAGTAATGCTAATTTATTTGATTCCGGGGGACACCCCGGTTATCAAATATATTTATTAGAACGGAAAATCTCTCACTTTTCGAAAAAATCGAAACTGCAAGGATCTCCGATTCTCGATATGATAATTTATTTGATTCCGGGGGACGCCCCGGTTATCAAATATATTTATTAGAACGGAAAATCTCTCACTTTTCGAAAAAATCGAAACTGCAAGGATCTCCGATTCTCGATATGATAATTTATTTGATTCCGGGGGACGCCCCGGTTATCAAATATATTTATTAGAACGGAAAATCTCTCACTTTTCGAAAAAATCGAAACTGCAAGGATCTCCGATTCTCGATATGATAATTTATTTGATTCCGGGGGACGCCCCGGTTATCAAATATATTTATTAGAACGGAAAATCTCTCACTTTTCGAAAAAATCGAAACTGCAAGGATCTCCGATTCTCGATATGATAATTTATTTGATTCCGGGGGACGCCCCGGTTATCAAATATATTTATTAGAACGGAAAATCTCTCACTTTTCGAAAAAATCGAAACTGCAAGGATCTCCGATTCTCGATATGATAATTTATTTGATTCCGGGGACGCCCCGGTTATCAAATATATTTATTAGAACGGAAAATCTCTCACTTTTCGAAAAAATCGAAACTGCAAGGATCTCCGATTCTCGATATGATAATTTATTTGATTCCGGGGGACGCCCCGGTTATCAAATATATTTATTAGAACGGAAAATCTCTCACTTTTCGAAAAAATCGAAACTGCAAGGATCTCCGATTCTCGATATGATAATTTATTTGATTCCGGGGGACGCCCCGGTTATCAAATATATTTATTAGAACGGAAAATCTCTCACTTTTCGAAAAAATCGAAACTGCAAGGATCTCCGATTCTCGATATGATAATTTATTTGATTCCGGGGGACACCCCGGTTATCAAATATATTTATTAGAACGGAAAATCTCTCACTTTTCGAAAAAATCGAAACTGCAAGGATCTCCGATTCTCGATATGATAATTTATTTGATTCCGGGGGACGCCCCGGTTATCAAATATATTTATTAGAACGGAAAATCTCTCACTTTTCGAAAAAATCGAAACTGCAAGGATCTCCGATTCTCGATATGATAATTTATTTGATTCCGGGGGACACCCCGGTTATCAAATATATTTATTAGAACGGAAAATCTCTCACTTTTCGAAAAAATCGAAACTGCAAGGATCTCCGATTCTCGATATGATAATTTATTTGATTCCGGGGGACGCCCCGGTTATCAAATATATTTATTAGAACGGAAAATCTCTCACTTTTCGAAATTTTTTTTAACAAAAATATGGCATTCTTAAATTATAGTTACATGTTATTTCACAATCATTATCATTAAAAAATTCAATTATTCAAGTTGTTTTGTCCCGACGGTTTTTACGGTTATAAAAATGGTTGCGAACTCAATCCATCAGCAAAATGTCGGTTGGGGTGCCCTTCTTGGCCTCCTGAGTACTCACCAAGATACCCCCAGCTCCCGCAAAACACCTCCCTTAGGTGAGCATTAACTGATGACATGAGTTAACAATTCTACAAAATCATCAAGCATGAAGGTTTATGATTTATAAATCAAAATCTCAGAAACTGCTTGACTTTGCAAGTTGCTGTCTTTACCGGTTACTCTGCTGCAATCTCTTTTCTGATTGCAGGCAGAGTTCTGCATCCTGAGGACTTTGCCTTGCAGATATGCTTGTAATCACTACGTGAGCAACTTGGTGTTGCAAGTTGCTGTCTTTACCGGTTACTCTGCTGCAATCTCTTTTCTGATTGCAGGCAAAGTTCTGCATCCTGAGGACTTTGCCTTGCAGATATGCTTGTAATCACTACGTGAGCAACTTGGTGTTGCAAGTTGCTGTCTTTACCGGTTAGCTTTTTTTGAAGTTTCTTCGCATCTTATATAAGCTCTAGATCAATATTTATCATCAGAATTTGCATCTCATAAAGCACGATATTAATCAAATAGGCAAATTTCATTCGGAGTCTCTCATTAAATGAGAAACTCCGAATGAGATTTGCTCTAAGGTAATGTACTTGTTATGCTTGGCCTAGAAGCAAGGAGGAAACATGTATATGGTTTGTTTATACTGAAGTTATCTGGAATTCTCTCAATTGAGGATTCAAATCCAGATAACAGCAGTATAAGTTAATATTGTTGTGCACCTCAGGTTGTTTATAGGCCCGAGAACGAGAAAAGAATTTATGGTGTGAATTGGCTCGATATATACCTACGCTCTGTAAAAAATACGTTATATTTTCTTTCATATGAGAAAAATGTTTTTCTTTTTTATAATACTATGTGCTTTGTTACTTCATAAATTGTCTATTTTTCTTATTAAAACCTATTTTTTCCGTGTGATTCGGAATCTACGCATTCAAAAAATGCGTTTTCCGCTCTCAGAACGCGAAAATATGAACTACATGACGAGATAAATCGATTTATTATGTTCCTAAATATTCTCATTTTTCAATCTTGCTCAATACTCAAAAATAAGCAGACTCTCAAATAGAGAACATAAAATAACTCATATTTATCATATTAAAATTTTGAAAAAGTCTCCCGAAAAAATCATATTTCGAAAATTTCAAAAAAATAAGTACATTTTTCGCCAAAGAAAAAAGAAAAATGTTTTTTTTTTGAATTTTTGATGATAATATGCACTCCTGACGGTCGCAGTGTCTCATTCCGGGAGACATTGCCTGTGCATGTCTCCCAGAATGGCATACTGTTCCGCATTCATAACTTGAATGCGGAACTTTGACCGACAAGAGTGCATTGTGCACTCTTGTTGGTCTGCATGTGTCATTCCGGGAGACATTGCCTGTGCATGTCTCCCAGAAACGAGACAATTTATTGCAATCAGAATACGATTGCAAAACTTTGACCGACAAGAGTGCATTGTGCACTCTTGTTTGTCATCCACTATGATACTTAGAGAAAATACTTTACTTACATTATTTAAAATATTAATTTCCCTATTTAATATTTATTTATTATTTTTTGTGCTTTATATTCCCTATGGCATGTACTGAACTATTTTATAGACTCTACCGAGCTATCTCCACATATAAACATTTGACAATAACACATATATACTCTCTTCATATTCTAGTCTCATGACATATTATTGCAAAAGCTATATTTATACAGCATACCTCATAAAGTCTCATTATATCCCTATCTAAGCGTTCAAAACCTATTTTCCCCACGTAATCTGATTCTTCAGGCTCCGCTGATTCGATTTCTGCTGTCAGATCGTGAAAATATGAATCACATAACAAGATAAACACAAGTTACCCAACTTGATATTTTCCGTAAAAAAACTCTTTAAGTTCATGTTCAAACAACATCATTTTAGAAAAATTCAATTTTTTCCAAAAGTGTGTGAATTCAAAAAGTCACAATATATCTAGTTATTACCCAGTATTAATTTTTTAATTTAGTTTTTGAGATATTCATTTTATAATACGTATTATTCAGAAAATTAAATACATTTGTAAGGGAAAACGGAATTAATAACAAATATATGAATATCGTGGAAGAGTCAATTTGAAGAAAACATTATTATTTTGGATTTGTGTTTATCTTGTTATGTGATTCATATTTTCACGATCTGACAGCAGAAATCGAATCAGCGGAGCCTGAAGAATCAGATTACGTGGGGAAAATAGGTTTTGAACGCTTAGATAGGGATATAATGAGACTTTATGAGGTATGCTGTATAAATATAGCTTTTGCAATAATATGTCATGAGACTAGAATATGAAGAGAGTATATATGTGTTATTGTCAAATGTTTATATGTGGAGATAGCTCGGTAGAGTCTATAAAATAGTTCAGTACATGCCATAGGGAATATAAAGCACAAAAAATAATAAATAAATATTAAATAGGGAAATTAATATTTTAAATAATGTAAGTAAAGTATTTTCTCTAAGTATCATAGTGGATGACAAACAAGAGTGCACAATGCACTCTTGTCGGTCAAAGTTTTGCAATCGTATTCTGATTGCAATAAATTGTCTCGTTCTGGGAGACATGCACAGGCAATGTCTCCCGAATGACACATGCAGACCAACAAGAGTGCACAATGCACTCTTGTCGGTCAAAGTTCCGCATTCAAGTTATGAATGCGGAACAGTATGCCATTCTGGGAGACATGCACAGGCAATGTCTCCCGGAATGACACATGCAGACCAACAAGAGTGCACAATACACTCTTGTCGGTCAAAGTTTTGCAATCGTATTCTGATTGCAATAAATTGTCTCGTTCTGGGAGACATGCACAGGCAATGTCTCCCGGAATGACACATGCAGACCAACAAGAGTGCACAATGCACTCTTGTCGGTCAAAGTTCCGCATTCAAGTTATGAATGCGGAACAGTATGCCATTCTGGGAGACATGCACAGGCAATGTCTCCCGGAATGACACATGCAGACCAACAAGAGTGCACAATGCACTCTTGTCGGTCAAAGTTCCGCATTCAAGTTATGAATGCGGAACAGTATGCCATTCTGGGAGACATGCACAGGCAATGTCTCCCGGAATGACACATGCAGACCAACAAGAGTGAACAATCCGCTTTCTCCTTTGAAATCCAACATTCTAATCACATCTACATTAATAAATTGTTATAAAATACTAATCAAAGATCCAATACAATTCTACTATCTTATTCACACATTACCAATGTTAACACCTCTTATAACTTAAATTATTTCATAAAATTTGTTTTTATATCTTATTATTTTCTCATAATGCTTCTAATACATCTCTAATTTCTTACATTCAAACACCAATATCGTCATACTATCATAAGCACTTAATTTTTTCAAAATTTTAGACTTAAATTTGAGCTACATTTTCATCATCATTTTTAGCCTTAAGCTTCTATAAGGTTATAATACATTATCGTAATATTCTAATATTTATGATTCTTACTACTCAATTCAATATAATCATATAAGTCACTCATAATCAGGAGCATAATTTAAAAATCTATAGCTCATATTTTGACAATTATATATATAGATGATGCATATTGCAATTCCGGTTTCAACACGATCAAATGTCAAACCATGATAAAATATATATCAATTTACAAAATATCGATTAACATTAGAATCCATATCTAATTCCATCAATGCACAAGTTGTAAATGCTTAATTCATCTTTGAGAAACGTGAATAGCACAATTTTATAAGATTATTTGTTGAATATTTAAAATATAAGCCAAATCGAATCTGCTGTATATTACTTTAGTTTATCATTGAATGTTAAATGTGCTCATATAAATATTTGAGTCAGATATCGCATTTTCTAATTTCAAAATTTATCTCATGAAGTTAGAATTTATTTGATCATACAACATCATATTAGTCAAACTAGAGTTCAATCGCGATTCCAAAATGGAACAATTGCTTGTTTTATCAAAATGTTAAAATATTAATCTAAAAAACTTAATATCTAACCAAAACATTCTAGAAATATCATATACAGGTATATGCAATCTAAATGCACACGAAATACTGAAAATTAAAAAGAATATTTATGAGATTATTAAATCTTATGCATTTCAATGAAGAGTCGATAATTATCATCTCTATAGGTTATATATCAACATATGAGTTTTTGGATTGACCACTACTATACTAATGTGATCAAATTAATCTGATTTCTTGAATTTTCATTTGAAGCATTCGCAGTAGTAGGAGTACCTTCATATATTAACATATTAAAAAATTGCGCCCAGATTCGCAGTTTAATCATGATTTTAAGATTGCATTAGATTTCGAAATGCAGAAAAAAATCACTTTAGATTCCCTTCAAACTCTAAGCATAAGCATGTCTCTATATGAGGAAACTATTTAAGCTATTCATTTGGCGGCCCAAAAACTCATGTTGCCTGAGCGCAGAAAATACCAATTTTTGGACCCTGGGTAGGGGGTCATGCATGTTTTCTAAATGTTGGAAAAGTAGGGTAATATCACATATATATATTTATCACAAATAGTGAGATCTTGTAAGGGGAATAAGATATTTTCTATTAGTGATAGTTATTTGTTGATTCTTATTATACTTTGTTAAAATAATCATAAATGAATTTATTTTCAGCATTTTTCTCTTTTTTTATAACTATGATTACATAGTGTGATTTTCAATTTGATAAGAGCACATAAAAGTGAATGCATGCATTAAAATTTGGAGAGCAAAAGTTCAGGGAAAGTTTTTATTTTTGACAATCAATATAGTTTACAAATTGTAAAATACTATTTTGGCAATTTTTATTCAATTGAGATTATACGTTTAAAATTAAATTTGACATTTTAAGGATTTCTTGGGGAAAAAACGAATTCTTCCATATATGTTTTCAGCAATAATAGCGGAGATGATTCGTATATATTAATACATTCGAAAATTAACATCAATTAAGAAAAATGCATCAATAAAAATACAAACATTTTATTCCTAAACAAAAACAAAGAAAATATCATAACGAAAGAGCAACTGAGTTCAAAGAGATCTCATCAGAATTGCCATTTGCCAAATAAATCTCTTCTTTTACAAATTTAAACATGTAGCCATCCAATTTAGCTCGAAATAGCCGACCTTTTGCACTTCCAATTTCTGAAAAATGGAAAATAATAGGAGTTATTACGCTATAATGGAATGGAACTGTGGAATAAATTTGTAATTTTTGTACTTTCGACTGCTCTTCAATTATAAGTAACGATTTATCAATATCGATCATTGGTAATTTATTTGATGCTTTTTCTATTAAATTCGTTGCAGATAAAGTAAATGCTTTCACGACAGCAATGTTGTTATGAAAGTAGAACATCAAGTTTCCGCATATAATTACTGACTCGCTCGCATTCTTACATTTCAATTTGAAGTCTTGAAAGGCTAAATCCTTATTCGAGTCAGATTTGAATACATAGGTTAGATTTTTTTCAATTTTAGGAGGTATGTTGAGCTTTTTTGGTGATGTAAATACTAGATTCGTAAAGAGATGTTGAAAGGGAACTGCTGTTGGCTTTTTAGGTTTTTCTGATTCAACTTTAGGCGGTATATAGAGCATCTTCTTAGAAGATTTCGAAGTATTATTTAGTAATAATGTAAATAGCTTGTTCTCCTTGAGTTTCTGCTCCTTAATTGTCACAATAGGAGAAGAAATTGTATCTGGAACATTCCAAATTGATGCTAAATCTGTCCTACTTGCTACACGTGACGGTATCTTGTGCTTCTGTGCTTGAGTTCCTCCTTCATCTTCAGCCATTCGCGAGTTTCAGAAGATCCGCCAAAAATGGCGGGGTTTTTTGAATTCGTGTTTTTGGGATTATTAAACGGTCTTATGGGACTAATTCGAGTACCAATGAGAAATACTATGAATAAATATTGTATGTTTTGAGATATGAGCTTTCTGGCGATGAAATTTGAAAAATTTGAAAGGTAACTAAACTCCTTTCGCCGATCCGATTTGCCCCATATTTAAAATATAGCTTGCATATGTAGAAGAAAAGCTAATTTTGAAGTACGCCCCAAATCCACCAACAGGATTTCGAGCTACTAAAAAGGTACTTTTAAATGTGATTTTTTTTATAAAAAATTAAATTTATTTTAAGATCAGACTAAAAACTAATTTTATGGAAAATCTATATCGACAAATTTATTACTTATTGGGTATATAGATTTTTTGATTATGGCGATTATGTCTGATATGCTTCCAATAAGCCAAAACACATTTCATACTGATTTCTATAAAAGGTATCTTTATTATAGAAGTGTAAGCTATATCTGTTTGTTTTTTTATTATAACAAATTCAAAATTCTCTTATAAGGACTAGATGAAATCTGTATTATTAAATCATTAGCTAAATGAAGGTTCAAATAGAAAGTAAATATCAATTTATATGATACTGAAACCAAATAGTTCTTTTAATAAAAGATAACACGCTGAAAATTATTGAGTATTTGCAAATCTCAAAAATCTATTGGTGAATTTGGCTCAACTTTTAAAATTATAACATCCATATCAAATCATAAAAGCAGACAAAAATTAAAGCCAAACCTATCGGCCAATTTTTTTTTGATATTTTGATTTTTGAGGTATACTTTTAAAAGTGGATTTAAAGCACTGATGAAAAAACATTAACTTCTGTCGTTATGATTATTGATTTAGACAATAATGATTTTAATCTTTGATTATCAAAACACTAAAGTCATCTTTTTAACATTTGCTTGGTAGCATTAACTCAAGTCTAAAGTACTATTTTATGTGGCACTCTTAGAATTTTTGTATTCATTGTACACGCTGAAATAGTACCATTAAAGTTATGGCGGACTTTCAAAAAATAATTAGGTCACCTTTAAAATTTGTTTTATTTCAAAGATAAATGCTTGGCAACGCAGGTACTGTATCGAATATATCTTAAGTATTCATCGCTATGCGAGTTTTAAGGATTTTTTATGGATGAAAACTTAAAATTTAAATAATTACTAGCATTTATGCATGATTCTACAAAAACTGAAATCTAAAGTTACATTTCAGTAGAATCACTGGTTAGCAATTGAAGATTTGAGATAATTATTTTGAGATGAAAATAAATTTTATAAAAACTAAGATATTCTAGATATAAAAAGTATGAAAAGAAAAACTTATTTCAAGATAATGTATTCTGTTTAATTATCAAAGAAAGATAAAATAATTTTTTAAATATCCTCCTCTGAATCATCAACGAGTTCTATAAAGTTGCTATTTGCAGGTTTATTAGGTTGCTGGTCTTTAGATGAAGGAGGATTTGAAGTAGATTTCGGAGCAGAAGAATTTGAAGAAGCATTAAGAGAATTCTTTGCAGGAGACTTTGTATTAGCTGATAATGAGTTTGGATGGCCAGATTTCGATAGAGTTCCTTGTTGGTTGTTATTATTATTCGAATTTCCCTTTGTAGAAGAAGATTGGCCGGCCAATTGTGATTTTGTTGGTGTTGTAGTCTTAGCAGGGGTTGACTTTGCAGGAGAAGCCTTTGTACGGTTTGATGGAGAAGATTGAACTCGAGAATTAGCTGTTTTTGTTGTTTCTTCACCATCTTCTTCTTCTTGGTTCTGTCCTTCCTCTCCCTGAGGGTTCTTTTCGCCGTCTACATTGACAATTAAGTCGGAATCTTCAAGATCGTTCAAAGTGTCCAATGTGACCTTATTGTTGCCAGCTCCGAAGAGAACCTTGAACAATCTCATGACCTCGCGCTTAAGAATGTACTTTCTGGAGCGAGATACAGCGGACATAATCTTAATTCCCTTTGGTTGGGCAGGATCTGTGTTAACTTTAGCAGCCAGATCGCAAACATGCTCGAAGGCAGCGATGATTCCTGGAGCTCCGATGCAATCTTCGATTGTTAATTCGATTTTCATTGGTTTGACAGTCAATGTGCGGCCATCGACATGGGATCTGCATATTCCCTCTGTATCTATTGGTGTTGCTCCCTCGCAAGTGAAGCATTGAGCGAATGCTTGTTCATTTTCACAAGATACGAGGTATTTCTGGCCAGAAATGGATCGGCAAATCTCCGGAGCGAACTTGACGGAATAGATACTGTCAGGGAACATTGATTCATCAAGGGCTTCGACATCGCAGTAATCGAAATGATCAAGAATGAAAAGAACAGTTGGGAGACCGATTGTCTGTGCGAAATTGGCTGGGAAATCGGTAATAGCGCCAATGAACTTCTGTAAATTCGACTTTACCTTGCAGATATCGAAAATTGACTGGCCGAGAGCTCTGATTGCCTTAAAATCGATTCCGTGGACATGTTCCGGCATCTGTGGGAATGATGGGAATACATTCGCTGTCGGAATGGAGATAAACCATTGACATAAGGAAGATACGAAAGGAGCAATGGCGTAGTTGCTGTAGCGAGCAGCGTTAAGTGTATTTGTAACAAATACGTTGTAGATCTGCTTGATGGAATTGAATTCAAGTGTAAGTTTCTCGAAATTCAACGGGAAGAATAAGAAAGAACCATTTGCTGATGATTGTTGGATCTTTCTGAAGAGGATCGTTGAGAGAGAATATAATGTTGATGATTTGCCTGTAGATGGTAATCCGGAGATGATGAAGTTAATATCACTGATTGTAAGCTGGTTAAGAGCATCCATGCACCATGCATCGACTTCGTCTTGGAGTTCTGATGTTCCGTAGTTCGGTGCCATCTGGTTTGTAACTAAGTGGTTGATGAAATCGTAATAAGCTGTATTCTTCGAAAGATTTGAGAGTTGATCGAACTTTGTAAGCTTGGCCTTCTGGTCTGGCTCTGTAGAAGCAAAGGCAGCAAGAGTGGATTCTAAATATGCTTCTTGGACAGATTTATTTGAAATTGCGATAAGTCTGTTAAATGAGGCCATTTCCTTCTCTTTCTTAATGTCTGGGCTCTTGGCAGCTTGTTTCTCCTTCTCTGCAGCTTCCTGTTGCTTCTTTGCGATGTTTTCGGCAACAGAGGCTTCGAAGCTTGTTTGGACACGTTCTGGCTCTTCTTCCTCTTCTTCTGTAAGTGTAAAGACTTCACGAGACTTGGATCTTGGACTTGGCATTCCTGATGCGTACTTCTCGCCACAAGAAATGTAATAAAGTCCTTTTTCTTTAACTTGGTCCGCACTTGTAACAGCCTTTCCTGTTTCATCAAAGATCTTTTCTACCTTGCTTGGAAGTGATAAAATCTTAACTGCATCGAGTTTTAATTTGTCAATCGTATTAAAACAGTAGCGCATTTGATTTCCACGTGGATATGCGTTCTTCTGGATGTTTATGATAAAACCATGGAGTGAACGATCTGCTAAGTTCTTACGAGGACTATCAGGTCTTGATTCCATTGAAAAATAATTTTTGTAGATGTAAAAAAAATTAGGGGGTGTAATGTTTACAAAATTTTATATCGGAAATCTGCAACTTTGATTAAAATGGCCTTAAATCCTCTTTTATTAGTTCATTTTGAGCTAATTTACATAATTAGAATTTGTTAACTTGAAAGTCCAAAAGATTTCTGAAAAATTGAACAAAAGTTACGGTCCTCTAAGAGCTGTAATTAAGATATGCATGATCCATATTATTTTGTTATGGTAGTTTAATCATATCATTGCGATCAGTAAAAAATTGATCAAAATAAAAATAACAATTTTACTAACAATTGAGAAGTTATATAAGTTGCATTTGGCCAGTTAGGTAGAATAATCATGGTATTTCCTTCATCTTTGATTGTTTTCTTCATCAATGTAAGGCAAACGTAATAACTTTTAGAACTGAAACTGATATCGGTAAGGAATTGATTATCATGATTATACAGTTAATACCAAAGATAACTACAATTGAAAAAAATTAAAGAAACATTTTTCAATACTAAATTTGATAAAAAACTTCATTTCTTTTCAGTATTTGTTGATCCACATAGACCTACTTGTCTCATAACGTGTTCAAATTCGTTGAAATTGACTTCTCCATCGAAATCTCTATCTGCTTCACCAATCATTAAACGAATTTCTTCATCTGTTAGATTTTCACCAAGTTCTATTGTAGCTGCTTTCAGATCTTTGAGAGATATTGATCCATTGCCATCTTTATCGAATAATTCAAAAGCCTTTTGCATTTCAGCAACAGGATCTCTCTTTGATATAATGTCACCCATCATTTGCATAAATAAGTTGAAATCGATTGCTGGAGCTTCTCCAGAACCAACAACTTTTCTCATGAGAGTTCGTATTTCTTCTCTTGAAAGATCGAATCCTAAAGCTCGCATAACAATCTTTAGCTCTTTTGCATCAATGCTTCCTGATCCATCTGTATCGAATTGATCAAATGCTTCGCGAATTTCTTGTTTTTGTTCATCAGATAATTGAATTTGTTGTGTTTTCGATCTGGATGAGCGAGATGTTGAATTTCCATCACCAGATCTTCCTGTAAGTTGCTGAGTCATTTTTTCGTTATTTTAATAAAAAGTGACAAAAATTGAGAGAAAAAATCGAAATTATACATTTCATTTGATCCTTTAGTCAACTTCACTAACTAAGATATGAAACGTTCAAGGATATATTTAGACCTTGACGATCCAGCCTTCTGGAGCTGGAACATCACCATATTGGATGCCAACGAGTTCGTTGTAGAGCTTCTTGGTGATTGGGCCGACTTCTGTCTCAGAGAAGAAGACGTGGAACTTATCACCGTACTGGATGCCACCGATTGGGGAGATAACAGCAGCTGTGCCGCAAGCACCAGCTTCCTGGAACTGATCTAAGCTGTCGATGCGAATAGATCCTTCGATAGCTTCCATTCCAAGTCTCTCCTTAGCGAGGTGGAGAAGAGAATACTTTGTGATGGATGGAAGGATGGATGGGGAGAGTGGTGTGATGAACTTGTTATCCTTTGTGATGCCGAAGAAGTTTGCAGAGCCGACTTCCTCGATATATGTGTGTGTTGCTGGATCAAGATAGATGCAGTCGCCGAACTTCTTGTCGTGAGCGTCGAAGCCTGGGAGAAGGGATGCAGCGTAGTTGCCACCAACCTTAGCAGCGCCTGTGCCCTGTGGAGCAGCGCGGTCATAGGATGTGACGATGAAGTTTGTTGGCTTGAGGCCGCCCTTGAAGTAGGCGCCGACTGGTGAGCAGAAGACAGAGAAGATGTACTCTGGAGCTGGCTTAACACCAAGATTTGGACCAACACCGATCATGTATGGTCTAAGATAGAGGGAAGCGCCTGTGCCGTATGGAGCGAGCCACTTCTCGTTAGCCTTGACGACCTTCTTGCAGGCATCGACGAACATTTCAACAGAAACGTGTGGCATCATGAGGCGTGTGCAGGATTTCTGCATACGGAGGGCGTTCTGGTCTGGGCGGAAGAGGTTGATGGAACCATCCTTGCAGCGGTAAGCCTTGAGGCCTTCGAAGCACTCCTGGCCGTAGTGAAGGCATGTTGAGCCTTCATGGATTGTAAGCATTGGAGAGTCAACGAGCTTGCCCTCATCCCACTTGCCATCCTTCCAGTGGGCGACATAGCGTAACTCTGTCTGAACGTAGCCAAAGCCAAGTTGCTTCCAGTCAATGTTCTCTGGTTGCATTTATTTTGAAATGTCTTAAACCGATAAGACGATGATATTAAATTCAATATATTTTATAAATAACTGTAATTATTCTTGGTAATATAGTTATCTATATTTTGGAGTGATAAAAGTTATAATCTTGTCAATTTTCAGGATACTTCACAAAATTGAAAGAATAAATGGATTGACTTCACATCACTAATATTTGGTCAGACGAAATAATGACTGGAAATTAATTATGATATCAATGTGATAATTTTTTAAAGTTGATGGTTTTTAAAAACCGCAAAATTCTCTCAAATAAGGGATAACAATTTATCCACATATGAAATTCATATAAAAAAACCGAAGCCGAGATAATTAACCATATCCGTTATCCGAACTGCTGTTTATCAAAAGGGTTCAATATTCTTACAGCTGACCATATAAAATTGAAGTGAAGTGAAGAATCTTCGAAAATACGCACTCATTTAGCTTATTCGCGTGCAACTAACGATTCAGCAGAATGAAGTATGCTATATCTTCGAAGGAAAAAGTATATCCTCGAATTTCCAACGAAAAAAGTGAAGAAATTGCTCAATTGTTTTTCGTTTTGCCATATTCTTTGGATCCATCATTCTCATATACTATTTGATGTTGTTTAGCTCCAATTTTGCCTGTTTATACTGACAAACCTCGCAAAAAGATTTCCAAAATCATTGAAAAAGTTAATCAAGCTAAATTTAGTATATCCATGTATTTTACTTGGCTGAATCAAATTCAATGATACAGCGAAATAACAATTATTTACTTTTTGTTATAGCGAAATCAAAAAAATGAATGAAAATGCATCACGATCGGATCTTATTCTTATTTTATAAATCGAAATTGTCTGATTCTTATTGATTTTTTTGAAACATTTAGAATATTTTGTTAATTTTATATTTTTCATGCAGAAATCAGCAATATTAATTAAAGATATTAATGTAAATACGAGCTATATACAAATTGATTCCAGTTTTTTTCATTCTTTTACCAATATTCTTAGTTGAATTTTTGAAAAATTTAATTAATAAGAAAAGAAAATTATCATAATATTATAAAAAATAAGATTGTTAAGCATAAAAAATCGCTATTCATATTTTTAATAGAGAGAGCTTCTAAATCTCTGTACAATTTGTCTTAATTTCTTGAGTTGCTTGTCATAATCCTGTTCTGTTCTTCCTTTCCTTCCTTCATCAATCCAGTCGACAATTGGATCGATTTCCTTGTTCAAATCTCTTAACACGGATGGTTTGCCCTTGCACATCTTCCTTGCAGCGATGATTTCTGTGTCAAGTGTTTTCTCGAGCTGATCAATTCTTCCATTAGCCTCCAAACTTTCGCGGTATCTGGATGCGTTTTCTGTCATCTGGTTGATTTCCTGTGTGGTGAAGTATAAGTTGCTAACGCTGACTTTGTTCGAAACAGATGTTCCTGATACGATCAGAACTGACTGAATTGTGAGGTTTCCACCTGCATCGAGTGACCATGTCTCAGTAACTTTGTCTCCACGGCGTCCTTCGAAATCAACTGTGTATTGTGTTAATTGGATTGGTGGTGAATTGTCGTCATTTATGTAGCAGACCTTTGTGATCATGTTTGGCTGATATTGGTTAGCACTTTGAGCATTAACTGTTCTCTTTGCAGGAATCTTGGCTCCTTTTTCGAAGATTTCATCGAAATCGCCATATGCATCTATGTATCCAAGAGAATAGTTCAAAGCGCATGTTGTGGCAATTTCAATTGTTGGTACATCTGGATGAGCAGAAGGAGCTGGAGGTTTGCTAGCTGAAGAAGAAGAAGCTGGTTTGGGATCTGATGTTCCATCGATGTCGCGAACTCCTCCATTGAGAATTGCTCTTGAGTAGATGGCAGCGCCCTTTGCAATGGCTTCTTCTGGGTTTGGACTGTAGAGGATCCGTCTATTGTCAAAGATTTCTCCAAGGATTTCACGAACGTATGGAATTGCAGATGAACCACCAACACAGATAACATGGTCAATGTTCTCTGCTTTGTACTTTGCAAGAGTAAGGCAGTTTTTGACTGTGTTCTTAATTCTTTCCGAAATTCCATTATCATCAAGCATTTCTTCAAGCTTTGCCCTGCGGATTTTGGTCTTTTTCTCATCTATGGTATATCCTGGCCAGTTTAAATGATCCGTTGTAATAAATGAAAGATTTTCTTTGAGTTTACGGCATGACTTCTTAAGTAAGGAAATATTCTTCTTTACTACTGCCTCACCTCCAGATCTTATATCAACGCCATTGTCTTTGAGGACTTTTTCGTAATGCTTCATTAAAATTTCGTCAATTAATTCGCCACCAAGATCTGGATCACCTGATTCGGCGATTGTTTCGAAAAATGATTCATTCTGGTCTTTCTTCTTGATTTGCATGATTGTGACATCTAACGTGCCACCACCGAAATCGAAGATCATAAGCTTCTTGTCTTTGTCAGTCATCATGCCGCTTGATATAGCTGCAGCTGTTGGTTCGTAAATCGTAGCGATAATATCAAGTCCTGCGACTTTTGCTGCTGTTTTGATTCTCTCGCATTGCTCGACATTGAATGCGACTGGAATTGTAAGAACGACTTTGTTTGTTCTATCTTCTGGTAATTGAGTACTGTTAAAGACTTGTAAGAGCTTTGTAAAAATCTTAGAAGCTGCTTCTTCTGGTTTAACAATAACCTTTTTACCATTATCGTTAACCTGGAAGGCGGCCATGCCACGTTCGTCTTTGACAAGTGTGAAGTCCCAATTGTCCTTGCGCCTTTGAATATCTGGATCATCTAGTCTTTTACCAATAATGCGCTTGATGTTATGGAGGCTATTGCCAGGAGTGTATACAAGCGATGAAGTGTCGAAGCATGCAATAGGAGGGCCTTCATCAACAAAAGTTAAATTCGTAGGGACGTAGTTATTACCGTCAATAAGAATTGGCATGGTATCTTGTCCGGTATGAAGTGCTATAGCAATACATGAGTTTGTTGTACCAAAATCAATAGCAACACCAGATTTCTTCGCCATTTGTGAGAAAAAATGATGGCAAAAAAAGATTTTTTATGACTAGTCAGTGGTTACGACTTTTAGAAAATTGACATGAAAAGATAATAAGCATTTTGTATTTAAAAAAATATTTTGAGAAAGATATGTAAGGGTTTCGTTTTGCTAAAATTGTCACTTTTATAGCATATTTGTTTTTGGATGTTTTGCGAAACCAAAAAAAAACTATGATATACTGTAATAAACAGAAATTCATCAAAAGTGACAGCTCTCAATTTTTTGACATTTGTAAATTCTAAATTGAATGAGAAAAATGAAATAATACTAAGCATAATACAATATTCTAGATTTAATTATAATTAGGAAAAAGTTAGTTTTGAGAGTACTTTTCATAGGCATATAGAATGAAATCTTCTGAAAAATAATATCACATAAACACATATTATTTTCTAATATATAACTATTTTATATAAAAATCAAATTCAATGATCTTAAAAGCGAAGGATAAACCTCAAAATTTACGAATATAATGAGTGGGAATATAATGCTTATCTATCATAAAACCATATGAAATATCAATTTTTGCTTTACGCCTAATTTTTGACGACAATTAGCAAAAAATGTTAAATGTTAACACTCAGTCCATTTGAATATGAAAAATAAAATTGACTTTGATTAAATGTTTTTATTTATCATGCAATTCTTCTTGCGACCAAAGATTTGAATAAAAGTTCAAAAAATAAGATAGCTTAAAAAATAATATACGGTAGTGTTTACTAATAGATGAATAGTATATAAATTCTATTAAAATGGATTTGATCCAAAAAATATATAAAATTTGATCATAAATAAAATCGTTTTAAATTACTTCTTCATTTAAATTATAACAACTATTTTTGGTTTTATATTTTTTGGATCAAATCCATTTTAATAGAATTTATATACTATTCATCTATTAGTAAACACTACCGTATATTATTTTTAAGCTATCTTTTTTTTGAACTTTTATTCAAATCTTTGGTCGCAAGAAGAATTGCATGATAAATAAAAACATTTAATCAAAGTCAATTTTATTTTTCATATTCAAATGGACTGAGTGTTAACATTTAACATTTTTTGCTAATTGTCGTCAAAAATTAGGCGTAAAGCAAAAATTGATATTTCATATGGTTTTATGATAGATATAGCATTATATTCCCACTCATTATATTCGTAAATTTTGAGGTTTATCCTTCGCTTTTAAGATCATTGAATTTGATTTTTATATAAAATAGTTATATATTAGAAAATAATATGTGTTTATGTGATATTATTTTTCAGAAGATTTTGTGTTCTTCTTCAAATTTTATTTTTTTATTAAAAAGAATCTTTACAAAAATACATTTACTTTAATTAATATTTAAAAACGTGCTCTATCAAAAGTTCCAAAAATTCATATTTTAGCTTTTCTGAGGTGTCACTTTTGATGAATTTCTGTTTACAACAATCAATGTGTGTAAAGAAAATACTTTATTTACTAGTTAAAAAATCATTTGGTATTGATCAAGTTATTTTTTCTGGATAAGATATTATATGGATAATGGATAGAAATACAATTATATAATCTTGTACCTGGTTTAATTAAGCTAATTGTCATCAGAAACTTGTAATTTTTATGAATTTCAGATTTTCTTTTCATTACTGCTTTTCTTAATAGGTCAAGTTCTTATTTACGTTATAAAGTATGATATTTACAAATATCAAGTTATCATGTTTTTTGAGAAATTATGAGAAACAAACAAAAATGAAAAAGATAGGAATAGCAATGAATAGTGATGTGGGTATAGAAAATGTAAGAGATATGAAATGCAAAGCAATCAGTATTTAGGATATTGACCATAGATTTCGAAAAAAATGCTGCATATTGAGCGAAAACTATGATTATATTATAAGGCTGTCATTTAAAGCGTAATGAAACTATTCCCTTTTCATTTTAATCGAATAAGATAGTAAAGATTTTTGAATTAGCTAGAAACTGATGAGATGTTTTCACAAATCAGATTTTTAATCTCTATAATGCATAATTCACTCAATATCTCAATTTTGATATTGCGAGATATTTTTGCTATCGGTTTCGCAATTTTGACACAATAGCAAGAGGGTTCTATAAGCATTATTATCAACGTAGAATCTGAATATCATATCAGAAAATGTCGCAAATCTGACATTTACCCGACCAAATAGCAAAAATAATTGAATACTTTTCGCAAAAACTTTAAAAATCGATAAAAATATGAAATATAGATATTAAAGAGACTTTTTATATAATATTCATAAGGGTTTCGTTTTGCGAAAAAAACGTACAATACGCAATTTCGCTAAAAAACATTTAGCGAGTAATTTCGACCTTTGACTCCACTCAAGACGTCACTTTTTTAATTTTGCGGTATCATATTTTTGGAAAATCTTTATGAATATTATATAAAAAGTCTCTTTAATATCTATATTTCATAATTTTATCGATTTTTAAAGTTTTTGCGAAAAGTATTCAATTATTTTTGCTATTTGGTCGGGTAAATGTCAGATTTGCGACATTTTCTGATATGATATTCAGATTCTACGTTGATAATAATGCTTATAGAACCCTCTTGCTATTGTGTCAAAATGCGAAACCGATAGCAAAATATCTCGCAATATCAAAATTGAGATATTGAGTGAATTATGCATTATAGAGATTAAAAATCTGATTTGTGAAAACATCTCATCAGTTTCTAGCTAATTCAAAAATCTTTACTATCTTATTCGATTAAAATGAAAAGGGAATAGTTTCATTATGCTTTAAATGACAGCCTTATAATATAATCATAGTTTTCGCTCAATATGCAGCATTTTTTTTCGAAATCTATGGTCAATATCCTAAATACTGATTGCTTTGCATTCATATCTCTTACATTTTCTATACCCACATCACTATTTCATTGCTATTCCTATCTTTTTCATTTTTGTTTGTTTCTCATAATTTCTCAAAAACATGATAACTTGATATTTGTAAATATCATACTTTATAACGTAAATAAGAACTGACCTATTAAAAAAGCAGTAATGAAAAGAAAATCTGAAATTCATAAAAATTACAAGTTTCTGATGACAATTAGCTTAATTAAACCAGGTACAAGATTATATAATTGTATTTTCTATCCAATTATCCATATAATATCTTATCCAGAAAAAATAACTTGATCAATACCAAATGATTTTTTAACTAGTAAATAAAGTATTTTCTTTACACACACATTGTATATCATAGTTTTTTTTTTGGTTTCGCAAAACATCCAAAAACAAATATGCTATAAAAGTGACAATTTTAGCAAAACGAAACCCTTACATATTCATAAAGATTTTCCAAAAATATGATACCGCAAAATTAAAAAAGTGACGTCTTGAGTGGAGTCAAAGGTCGAAATTGCTAGCTAAATGTTTTTTTAGCGAAATTGCGTATTGTACGTTTTTTTCGCAAAACGAAACCCTTAAGATATGTGTAATAAATTGATGAAATATTCATTTTTCAAGATAATTTTTTAGATAATTTAGCAGTAGCGGATTTTTTTATATATAAAAAATATTATCTGCCAATTATAATGATTTTTTATAGATTTAAAAATTCCAAAAAAATCACAAAAAGTCAAATTCAATGAAATATTTATATTTTTTCAAGTTATTTTTTTAAATTTGGAATTTTTTTGGAATAATAAATCGCTCTATAATCAGAACTAAACAAGATTTTTAGGATTTTTAGGTGAGGACAGGATGTTTTCAAGATTTTCAATATAAAGTACAATAAAATCAGTTTTATTAATGATTAAACAAGAAATTAAAGCTATATCTTTCAATTTTTGATCAAATTACCTCTCATTTGTGTATTAATTCTTATATCCAATCATCATAAGACTTAATAAAATCAATAATAAACAACTCTATTGCAACATTTCACGAAATATAGTTGGAACACGATTCAAACCAAATGATCTTTAGAATTTCGTAGATCAAACTTATGGATCCATTGCATTTCGAATTCAACTTTTCAGGAAAACTGATGTTTCATAGGAGCAATGGATAGATATTTATATCGAGTTTATTATAATCATGATTTCTGAGCTCAGACTGTGATAGATTACATAAAATATCTGTCACTTTTTTCATTACAATGACTGAATTAGATGCCCTTATTAATCAATTAGACGAAGTTGCACAGACAAACCAAAAGAACAAATCGCGACCATCCAAAATGAGTCAGTTTAATAAAGTGAAAATCGAACAATATTCAAATGTATCTGAATATCCAGCAGCTCTACCTAATCCTATACTTCCAAACACAACAGATATGGAAAAAGTTAAAATACAATTCCCACAATTTGCAAAACAACAACAATTTCACGTTAATAATGTTATTAAGCTATATCAAGGTATTACAATACAGGAATTAATAGGAAAAGCTCCACCAGGTACAGAAATTGATATTCCACAAGGTGATTATAATGAAGAAATAAATATTACAGGAAATATTAAATTAAAAGGCATTGGTAAAGTTACAATCACGGGATTATCAAAGAACGATACCGTTTCCAGCTCAGGAAATTTCGTTGAGCTCGAAAATATCACATTAATCCAAAAAGATACAAAATCAGGCGGAGCCCTCACAGTTTTATCAGGATACCTACGTGCTGTTAATTGCAATTTCCAATGCAATACTATTTCTTCTGTTACAGCTCATGGAGACTCAAAAGCTGAGTTTATTTCCTGCGAATTCTTCTCGTCAACGAATCCATGCCTTATGGTCGGCACTTCTTCCAATGTACATTCTACAAAATGTAAATTCTACACTAGTAAAACATGCGGAGTTTACGCAACAGATAATTCCGTCGTAACTCTCGAAAAATGCACAATTTCAAGGAACGAATCGACGGGAATCTCATGCACAGGTGCTTCCAAGTGCATGATTGTCGAATGTGACGTTAAAGAAAACAAAAATACTGGAATTGATATCACATCTTCAGGAATTGTGGCCATTATACGTTCCCACATACATGACCATGATAATGGTACCGGAATTTCAGCAGAAGGAAACGTAAAACCGTTGTTAATCGATTGTATTTTAGAAAACAACGGAATCGCAAGTCTTAGTGCCACAGGAGGTGCCAATATCATTTCCAAACAGTCGAAATTCTCAAATTCTCCACAAAACAGTTTGATAATTTCACAGAAAAACGCAACAATCTCATTAGAACGAGATGACCTCTCAGGAGACTGTATGATAGCTTGCGCTTGCTTCGATAATGGCGGAATCATCGCAAATGATATCTATTTACACGATTTGAAGCATTCTGGAATTATATCTTACTCAGGAGGCTCTTTGACGATAAATAAGTGCCATATAGATGATATCCCTGAGGTTGGTATACAGATTCGCGATGGAGCTTCGTTCAATATCCGAAATGTTTCATTAAATTGCTGCAAAGATCATGGTATATGCTTAATGAATGGTTGCTCAGGATCTCTTAGCGATAGTGACGTAATTGGAGTAGAAGGAGGCGGCATAGAAGTGCATAATGCCGGTCAAGTTGATATTATCAATTGTAGACTACAAAACAACGTAACAGGCATAGTTGTTCGTAACACACCTTTAGCGGAGTTCTCAAATTGCAAGGTGGAACTCTCTAAAAAACACGATTTGGACGTAGCAGGGCAAAATACAAAACCGAAATTTGTAAAGTGTCACTTTTCGGGTGGATTTGAATCGATTTGTTCGATTTCGAATTACGCAGAGCCATTCTTTGTTGACTGCCTTATAAGTGATTCGAAGAACATTGGAGTAGCATGCTTGTCATTCTCCGCACCTGTTTTCCACGATTCTACGATCCAAAAATGCGGGACTTCAGGATTATCTATTTATGGCAAGTCAAATGCATCTTTTGAGCGTTGCAAAGTGATGGACAACATGAACTTTGGATGCCAGATATTCGAACAAGATACAACAGCTACTTTTACCGATTCAATTTTCACAAATAACCTTCATTCAGTATCCATTATGGCAATTAACGCATCTACTGTTATCTGCGAGAAGTGCATATTCTCTAATTCACTACAGCCTCACGTAGAAGTCAGAAGCGGCTCCACAGTCCAATTAACAAAATGTGATGTCTCTAAATCAACACAAGGAGTTGGTTTACAGGTCCACAATGATGGAGTGCTTTGCATAAACAATACCGTTATACGTGATGAGGCTAAAATGGGTGTTTTAGTTGGAGATACAGGATTATTGCAAATAACAGGCGGAGAAATAAGAAATTGCGGTATTGCCGGAATTGTTTGTATGGCAAATGGAAATATCCAAGCTGAAAAGACAAAATTAAGCGGAAATGGACAATTTGCCATCCAATTCATGGAAAAAAGTGCAGGAACTGTGAAATCGTGCGAAATAGAGAATCATACAATGTTTGGCATCCTCGTTTCTAGAGATGCAGCTGTTACTTGCGATGATAATAAGTTTTCCAACAACGGACACAAAGATATCGTAAATCTGTAACAGAATACGAATCTTTGTCACTTTGTTATATTTGTAAATTTGTTTAAAAGTTATTTTATTTTATTTTTCGATAAAAATTCTTTATATTTTCAATTTTTTTTAACATAAAGCTATAAATTCATAATGTGTTTATCTAATTTTGAAGAATATGTATTATATCCACGTATATCTTTAAGTTTATCCAATGTTTTAACTTTAATTTTTATATTCTTATTGAATAACTATTCGTTTGAGAGAATTTTGATTAGGATATTTATTTGTTTACTGCAAAATACCAACTTTGTATCGTGTTTAACATGAATAAAATAGTATTAACTTCATTTTGATATCAAAGAACTTTATTTTTTGCATTTGATAACAAAGAATGAGAAAGTACTATAGTTACTTGCAATAATACTTAAATGTAGGCTATAATTATGTATTTACAATTTTGTAAATAGATATGACACTTTTAAAAGTTTCTTCTCTGTCACTTTTAAAATTTTCAAAATTTTTCATTGATGAATTATCAAACTCAGTCATTTTTAAAGCTTGACCATCTTGCCAAACCTTACATTGATAAGATCGCATCTCTTGATGATGTGATTATAGATCTTTGTCATATAATTACTTCCGGAATCATTTATCTTGGATATGAAATAGATTTATTTGATTTAAAAAAAACTCTTGAAGCATTCGTTCAATTCAGTGAATGCTTCAAATATGTAATTTCTCTCATGAATCAAAATCCTAATCCAAAATTGGATACATTGCTTCAAATGACTTCAAAAGGATGCGGGCCATTAAATAAAACTCTTCTTGAGTACATGTATGCTCGCAATAATCTTTTGGATACACTTATTATAAATCGTGCATATCTTCGTGTTCTTCCTAGTCGAATAGAAAAAAAGAGTAGTTGGAAAGATATTTTTAGGCGAAGTCCATATATGGAAGGATTTCACCGTTTTTATGAACCTCTCAAAAAATCACATGAGATTTGCTCACCAGAAGAAATTCAATATTTCTGCTCGTGCTTTCTTAGCTCTACGGAGATCTTACTACTTGGTACAAGGCAGATTGTAGGAGAAGATCCTAAAATACAATACTTTTGGGAACAAAGAAAAAAGCGAGCACGTATTTTCTTTCCAACCACTTTTATTACATCATCAGAAGTATAATTTTCTTTTGTTGTTGTTATTATCTTTAAAATTCCAACCACTTTTATTACATCATCATAATTTTCAACTAGTTTTCCATCTCTGGACTTAAAAAAAGTGTTGAATATAGTTATTTAGGTAGTTATATTGAATCTTTTTTTTTAGACAAGAATTTTGTGCCAGGCGTATAAATTACAGTATAAAATAAACAATTGAATAGCATTTCGTTTAAGAGGATTTTGATTAGTATATTTATTTGTTTAACATGAAAAAAAGGGTATTAACTTCATTTTGAAACCAAATACTTGATTTTTCATTTTATTACAAAGAAAGAGAAAGTACTACACTTACTCGTAATAATACTTACATATAGGATATCTTCATGCTTTATTATGAATTTATTCTTTACCAAAATAGAATACTGCGGATAATTGACTGTTTATATCAATACGAAAACAAAATTCAAGAATTAATCATGATTGCTTAGAGTAAAAATAAAAAACCTCATATGAGCAAAAATATATGTCACTTTTTGAAAATTTAAAATGGGAAAGAAAGTTGGAATTCACACTTTCCTCGAATTCTATGCGAGGAAAGTAGCGAAGATTGCTGTTCCTGTTGTTCTCACCCTCATATTAGATGCAGTTTGCATCCGTTTTATCGAAAGAACACACGGATCTGCTGAATTAAACAGGAATTTTGTTGATACTATGTCAAGAAATGATAGTGGAATCAGCGTAACAGCATCAATTTGGTCCGCTGTTGGTATTATATTCATGATTATTGTAGTTACTGCGATTTTATTAACATTATATTATTTCGGCTGCATGAAAATCATATTCGGATGGCTTATTCTTGCTGTCTCATTACTCCTTTCAATGTATTTCCTCGTAGGTTTTGGAACATACCCTTCAATTGTTAATATTCCAGTTGATTACTTGTCATTAGCAGTTTTTCTTCTCAACCTAGTCGTTGTTGGTAACATGTCCATTTTCTGGAGAGCTCCACAAAGAATTACTCAAGCTTTCTTAGTTTTGATATCAATTTTGACTTCTATCGTCTTCAGATACCTTCCAGACTGGACTGTATGGATTCTCTTAGTCTTACTTATCATCTACGATGCTTGTGTCGTTCTTTGCCCCAACGGTTTGTTAATTTTACTTTTGAAGAAATCTGAAGAGCGTGGAGACGCAATTCCTGCACTTCTCTACTCTGCAGCCGCCTGGGAGGAAGCAGATCCGGAGAAAGGAAACCAAAATAACGAAGAAGGAGACGGAAATGAAGGAAATCAAGAAGATCCAGCAGAACAAGCAGATAATCAAGACAACAATGAAGAAGAAGAGGAAGAGGAAGAAGCTGAGAACAACCAACCACAAGAAAATGCAAACGGAGAGGCACAAAACGGAAATCAAAACAATAACAAGAAAAAGAAGAATATGAGTAAAAGAGATAACGAAGGAATTAAACTTGGACTTGGTGATTTCGTGTTCTACGGCATTCTTGTATCAAGAGCTGCAAGAATCGGTTGGGATATCACAATTCTTTGCATTTTTGCGGTTATTCTCGGTTTATCACTCACTCTCGTATGTCTTGCTGTCTGGGAAAGACCTCTTCCAGCTCTTCCTTTCTCTCTCGCACTCGGAATTGTATTTTTCATTATCGGAGCGATGACTTTCAGACAATTCTGCGAGCACATGAGATGGGGCCTTGTTGCATTCTAAATAATGCAATTTTTTGTATTAAAGTTCTTGACCTTTCATCTATTCAAAAAAATTATTTTATTTTTTTATTTATTTTTCTATTCATAAACTTTTAAATATTATAAATATCTGAAAGACAAATAAAATAAGAAATAAGTCTTATCCAAAAAGTTCTTATCATAATAAATTGTCTCAATTTTTACTTTTTTAATTTCCCTGAGATCAAAAATTTGATTATAACCGAGTCAAATTTTAGCATTTGTTCATCATAGTATTACAATTATAAAGATTCTTTGATATCCTATAATTCCATATCAGTGTTGGTCTCTATTGTATTTCAAATAGTTCTATAATTTGAAAAAAATTCTCCATGTTGAGTTGCAAAAGTAAAAAATTGAGGGTATATGATGTCATAAGTTAGCTTCTCCATAAAAAGATGAATGGTATATGATGTCATAAGTTAGCTTCTCCATAAAAAGATGAATGGTATATGATGTCATAAGTTAGCTTCTCCATAAAAAGATGAATGGTATATGATGTCATAAGTTAGCTTCTCCATAAAAAGATGAATGGTATATGATGTCATAAGTTAGCTTCTCCATAAAAAGATGAATGGTATATGATGTCATAAGTTAGCTTCTCCATAAAAAGATGAATGGTATATGATGTCATAAGTTAGCTTCTCCATAAAAAGATGAATGGTATATGATGTCATAAGTTAGCTTCTCCATAAAAAGATGAATGGTATATGATGTCATAAGTTAGCTTCTCCATAAAAAGATGAATGGTATATTAGTCTCAATTTTGCTCACGTAATTGTGTTTTCTGATATACAAACCTTATATCGCTAAAATTTCATATTTAAATACTCGCTTTCATATTTTTCAAGTGTAAATTACTCAATTCTTACAAATTTTGATAGCCAGCCGCTAAAATATAAAAGAAAGTTTATTTACTTATTGAAAATATCTTAACCTTTGTTGTATTTATCTCATTGAAAAGATTTTTGATATCAATAACAAATCTTTTTTTATTGACATGGTTCAAATGACAACGAAAAGAATATATATATAATTTCGATTTACAATTTGATGTTTTTAAAATTTGTTAGAGGTTTGAGAAGTATTTTACTTCAATGAATTTGTTGCAGTGTTATTTAGATTGGTAAGAAAAAGTTTGGCAATTTCTTCTCGATTTTTTCCTATAGCATAATTAAGAGGAGTATTTCCATTAAAATCTTTTGCTATTAGATTAGCCCCATGAGATAATAGAAGTTCAGCCATTTCTTTTCTAATCAATTGTGCACAAAGATGAAGAGGTGTCTCTCCAGTGTTTGTCTTTGCATTGACATTTGCACCATGTGAAAGAAGAAACTCAAATATTTCTTTTTTCTTTGATTTAACTGATAAGTGAAGAACTGTTTCTCCGTTCTCATCTTTTTCATTTACATTTGCCCCATTGGAGAGTAGAAGTGCTGCCATTTCAACTTTGTTATTAAATGCAACATATAAATGAAGCGGAGTTTTCCATATAATATTTTTCGCGTTTATATGAGCACCAAGAGAAATAAGAAATTGTGCAAATTCTTTTTGATTATTTTTGGCCGCAATATGAAGAGGAGTATCCCAACATTGATTTCTTCCATTGACATTGGCACTATTTTCAATGAAAATCTTGGCTACTTCTATACTATTATTATATGCTGCAACATGGAGAAGAGTTGTTGTATAGATTTCAGATGTAACACAGTCTCCATTTGAAATAAGTAGTTTTGCAAGTTCACTTCTATTGTATCTCGCACAAATGTGAAGAGGTGTTTCTCCAGATTTGTTTTTTTCGTTGAATTTAGCTCCATGGGAAAGAAGTTGTTCTGCGATTTCTTTTCTATCGAATCTTGCACAAATATGAAGAGGTGTCTCTAAAAGATTATCTTTTGCATCAAGAGTTTGTGCTTTCGAAATTAAAATTTCTGATGTGCTTAACCAATTATTCATTGCTGCAAAATGAAGGGCGGTTTGTTTTAGTTTATTTTTTTCATTCACGTTTGCACCATGTGCAATGAGCAAATTTACAATTTCTTGATTCTTCTTTTCAATTGCAATAAAAAGAGGAGATTGCTTTAGATAATTCTTTTGATTGAGATTTGCACCATGTGTAATAAGAAAATCTGCTATTTCTTTACAATTATTATTCGCTGTAATATGTAGTGCTGAATTTCCAAATTGATCACATGAATTGAGATCAAATTTTTTAATATTTGCATTTGACAAAACTTTTAAAATCTCAGAATTATTAATCGAAGATGCATAATGAAAGATCGTCTTTCCATTTCTACTCTTTTTAGAAAAATCCAATTTTTCATTTTTGAGATATTCATTAAATTGAGGGAATGCAGTACACCATGGAAGTACAGAATTTTTATCTTTATTAAATAAAATGAAAGCAGCTTTCAGGTTTTGTGATTGGATAAAGTTATCATCCAAATTCTCAAATGAGTCAATTTTAAATAGTTCTCTGTCAATAACATATTGAAAGAATGAATTGTTATGAGAACCAATGATATAATCTAAGCATTTAATATCAATTTTGTGGTATTTTAAGCATTCATTGATAATATCTATATTATTTCCAACAAAAGCATACCTAAGGCATTTTTGTGTAATTTCTGGCTGGAAATTTGATTTGAGGAAATAAAAAATGTTTACAGATCCAAAATAGCAACATTCTTCAATTGGAGAAATTAAATCATTGAAATCCTCTGAAAGAATAGGAAATTTAAAATATATTTTATCAATTGGTTTTGCTTTAATGTATTCTTTAAACATATCAATCTGATCGTTCATTATGATGTATCGAATACCATTATCTATATGATAATACTTTTTATCATAATCTACATTGTTAAGATTTCCAGATATTGGTGAAACAAATATATGCATTTTTTCAGAAAAATTACCGATATCATCATATTCTAAGAAATCTTGAAATTTCAATGAATAATGAGTTAGTATTTGATTAAGAATTTTAATGTAAAGTTCAATATTACGAAAATTATACTGAACTGCTGTGAGAATGCTGAAAATCAGATCTTTAAAACAGATTTTATACTTGTCAATTAAAATTGCGTTTATCAGATTGACAATTTCCTCTGGTAATTCGTTAGTTTTCATATGAAAGATTCTATCGTATGTGTCTATAAAATCATTGAATTTCTCCAAACATTCGCTACTCATTGAGGAGATAATGAAAATTTTTAAAGTCTAAACGTCTTTTATTTCAAGGACTGTTTGAATATTGTTTGTTGCATTATATAAACAAACTATTTCTTCATACAAGTTAGAAACATAATGAAGCACCATGATTTCAACTTAAATGTTTCCAAAATAATGAGATTTTTGATTTTGATTTTAGAAATTCAATCTTTTGATATTCGAAAAAATGAACATCATATAGTATATGAACTATGACAGAAAATGACTGATTTTGCATCTAAATTCATAGAATTTATTAAATCTTAAATATCAAACAATCGAAATGTTTAAAATCAATCTTAAATACAAACTTATTTACATGCACGGAATTTGGGCACAGAGAGCCTTAAATAAACAGAATTTTAAAATTTATTTGATAATAAAAACAGTTTCTGAATGAATATCTTATTGTATTCAGCTTACATATTGTTGATGTGTTATTTCATATCTATGAACTATATCAAAATTCATAATTTACTTCCCGAAATCTTTGTATTCATTGTTTTCCACATGCTTAACATATCATTTTTCCTCCTAATAGATTTTAAAGATATTCTAGATGGTAAAATACTGATATATGAGTTTTAAATTTTTTAATGACTGAACAAGATGTTTATCCAAATAAATACAATGAGGTACGAAGTATCCTCAAATACGATATAGATATATATAATGCAATTATTTCACACAATATTGATTTTGTTACATTCTTAATGAATGAATACAATTTAGAGATAGATTTAGAATGTTGTGGAAAGTATAATAATCTTGAATCATTTTTAATTTATTTCAATCAAACTAATAATATTAACCATTGCTTTGTTTATTCAGTGATGTTTGATATTCCATCTATTTGCTATCAAATGGTGCAAATATCAATGCAAAAAATAATGATAGAAAAACAGTACTTCATTATGCAGCATGGAATAGTAGTAAAGAAATAATCGAACTTCTTATTTCACACGGTATAAATATCAATGAAAAAGATAATCATGGAGAAACCTCTCTTTATATTGCAGCACGTTATTTTAAAAAAGAAACATACAATATTCTTATTTCACATGGTGGAAAAATATATTGACTCGACACAGATGCTTCTCTTTTTTCCCTTCTATTCTTTTCTGATATATTTGAAGATGAATTTCATTGGTACTGTGCATATTCGTATAAACGATATTTTATTTTTAATGGCATTCAATTCAGATGCTTAAGATTAATTTTCAATGACGCTTCATTCCAGATGTCAAAAATTTTTACTTATTATTTTTCCGTAACGTGGATGATTTTCCACCCAGCCATAAGGGGCTCAACTTTTGAGAGTTTTACATGGCACTTGCCAGCAAATGCCATGTAATTTATTCTCAATTATTTCCCAAGGGTTGCCGGGGCAAACCCAAATTTTAGCTAAAAGTGACAGGAAAAAAAAACGTTTAGTATTAAAAAAAAAGACCGATGAGAGCTTCGTTCGAAATATAGAGGGAACTGAGAATGCGCAACCATTCTCAGGGAATATTGGATGCTATTCCCGTTCCCTCTGTATGGAAAATTGAGGTTTTCAAAGGGAGTTAAAATAATATCAAATTTATACTAATTTACTTCAAAATACAAAAGTATTTGACAGCTAAAATTAGTTACTTTAGCAAGCCTATCAATACCCTTTTACGATTATTGTTACTTTTTCGAAATAAAAGTAAAAACAAATTTATACTAATTTACTTCAAAATACAAAAGTATTTGACAGCTAAAATTAGTTACTTTAGCAAGCCTATCAAAACCCTTTTACGATTATTGCTACTTTTTCGAAATAAAATAAATTTATTATCAAAAACCTTTTTTTTCTTAGTAAAAATAAACGAAATTTTTTACCTTATGAACTTTTGATGGAAATATGCAAATTTAAAATAATAAAGAAAGCCGCGAGCGAAGCGATCGGCTTAGTTCGAAGATTTTGATTCAAATCTTTGCTGATCTGTAATTCGCGGAAGCCGCGAGCGAATCGATCGGCTTAGGTCTAAGATTTTGATTCAAATCTTTGCTTATATTCCTTAAATTCTTTATGAAACTCGCAACAGTTCCATAAAAAATTTTAAATTCTAAACTGTCGAAATTACCGATCGGTAATCACACCCTTCACGGGTGTGTCACTTTTTACAGGCATGTCACTTTTAGCTAAAATTACCCCTACTCGGGTTGCCGGCGTATTTACCCTAAAATATTTTAGTGTAACTTGAAAAATTAAAAAGTTGATTTTTTTCATGATTCTTTCAAACTCGACCAATAATAAAAATTCGAAGCCCAAAGTTATATATATAATGAGGATGCCTTAATTAATTCTATATCTTAAATCAAAATTAAAATATTTTATTACAATGAAGTGAAATATAGGGTTTTATTATTTTGGAGGATAAGAGAATTGATAGAGCTCTATGAAATTTTTGAGAACTTTCTAATCCTTGTAGTTCACTCTTAATCCAAGAAAGTAGCATTATTTTCATTCAATGAAAATATCTTCCCCATACGCACAAGTTTATATGTGTACATATTGTTATAGCCAGTTTCCTCTTAAGCTCTTTAGAGAGCAAGTCAGAGATTTTCAATGTCTCAGAAAAATTGAAAGACGAAAATAAATTTTCACGGCTTATCTGTGTTACTTGTACTGATAACATACACGAAGTGATAACGTCCGACACAGCTATATTCATTGTCTATCTTGTCGTTCAAATTCTCCAAATTAGATTGAGATCCTTTTATTTCCGTATTTAAATCATTACTTCATTTTTTCATTGATCTTTTAGAGCTGTTGCCATTCGTATCAAACTGTCTAGAACAGCAATATGGAAGGATGTATTTATACATTTATATTTTATCATTTCTCAGTTGAAAATATTTTGACATATGGTATAAGTCACCATTGATATTAAAAAATGAGTTGAATAAAAATTTCTTTTACTAACAATATTTTTTTTTTTTCAATCTGGATCAATAAAACTTAAAATTATATTTGCCGCGTTCGATATGTCTTCATCTGCTAGACCAACTATTTCTTCAAATACAGATTTGTATTCTTTGCAAATCTCAAACATCTGAGCTTTGGATTGTTCATCTGCCAAAGGAGATATAAACATTTTGAGGAGACCATGAAGAACGTTTTTATTTTCTGGGCAGGATTCTAAATAAACAATGAAATACTGGAATATTTCAATTGAAACGTAAAGTGTTCGGTCAACGAGGATGGCAAGTATTTCAATAGCATATCCCCTTGTCTTGTATACCATTTCATCCAGATGATTTAATATTTCGTTGATAATATTAATTAAAACATTAATTTCGACGTCGTCTATGTTTTTATATAAAACATAAATGATTTGCTCTTGGAGAGTTTCATTTGGAAGTAGATTTAGGAATTGTTCAATTAATTCTAAAGGAATATTTGGAAGAAATCCTAAAAGTTTAATTAACCAATATAAAATCGTACTCGAACAAGCCCCAGCAAATTTATCGAAGCATCTGTGGATATATTGAAGGTCTAAATGAATTCCATGCTGATATAATAAAGTCAAACAAATTAAACCATTGATTTGCTGATTTTCATCTGTCGAATCAATAAATTCTAGTATTGGTGAGGAAAAATTCGCTATTTCTGGTGGAAGATCTACAGTTGTATTTAGAAGATGAACAAGAAAAGAAGAAAGCTCATAATTGGCTGAAAATAAAATCAGGCTTTGAAATAGACTTGTTTCAGCTAAGTAATTTCTTTCTTGTGTCTTTGCTAATATCGAATCTATTATTGAAATTGCAAATGGAGACGCTTCTGATGTTACGTTGACAGAAATATCGATTAAATCTTGTACAGAACTTGAATTAGCAAATTCTGAAATTGGAAACGCATCTAGTTTGGAAATTTGCTCTAATGTGGTTATTGCTTGAGTATTTTGGGTATTTTTGTAAATTTCTAATAAATACCTGCACATACCGTATGTTTCTGGCTTATCTAATACATTACAAATGTCTAAAAATAAAGGATAAATTTCGTCAGAGTAATCATTTGATTCAATTACGGATACAGCAGTGTTTATCGCTTCACATAGCGAAGGATCCATAGGATTTTCATTAATTTCTTCTTCTTTCTCTTTGGCGAACTCGGAAGATTTCATCATAAATCCATACAAAGAAATTATTCAATTGATTCTATCAAAAATTCCGATCATGATTTGTTTACCACAACTTGTGGAAGAAAAAAATGGATAGTACCAATTTCCCAATCGCAGATGCTCTGCTTGGGTATTGATATATTTGCATCATGTATATGCTTATATGGTTGATATTTCATTGAATGCTAGGAATATCAACCAAGAAGTTCACATTTTGAAGGAATTTATAAGATTATTGCATATTTTATATCATAGGATTTGGAATAAAACTTATATCATACAATTCATTTATCCAGTATAGGTTTATAAAGTCTGAAATCAGGAACCAGTATTTAAAAATAACGCTCATTCTTTAAGCTTGGAGAATTTATCAATCAGCAAATACAGGGATGAAGTTTTTATTTTTTGACTTCAGTTCTCAAATTTCTGAAGTGGCAAACGATATTTTCAATAGGTCGTAAATTTTTTTACTGATTTATTCACTTTTCTTCATTGATGCAACAAAATAGTAGCACAGAACAAAAAGAGAGCACAAATTCCATCTATAAAATTTCGAAACAACCGATATTTGCTCCATACGGCTTCCAATTTGATATCAGAAGTGAATTTTTCGAAAAATTTAAAGAATTGGGATTGGTATTTACATGCACTCAAAGTTGTTACAATGAAGACGAAATTTTGAAGAAAATACAAGGATTGAATTTTCCATATATGAAATTTCTGAATAAGATTTTTAAAAAAGATAAAACACTGAGCGGAAGCTGTCAGTTAGGGAAATATCTAAAAGAAAATGGCTTAGATTATCATGATTTCTCTGAATTTCAAACAAAAGAAGAATTCATTCGATATCAAGAAGAAAAGCTCCAAACAGAGAAACAACAGCAACATGCACAACAAGGAGAAATTGAAAACCACCGTGAAGAAGAAGAAAACAAATTGTTAAGACATGAAAGCTGCAGTCAAGGTAAATCACATCATAAATCTAGAAAACACATAAGGCATTCAAATCAATTAGTTCAACAACAACATCAACAGTTTATGCAGTACCAGCAATTTCAGCAGATGCAATATCTCAATCAAATGCATCAAATGCAACAATTACAGATACAATATCTCAATCAAATGATTCCACGACCAAATCCACTTATTATTTATTACCAACCTGTTGTGTATTTGCAATATCCGTGTTATATGAATCAAACACGTTTAAATTTTGCTCAATCTATTATTTCTACTCTTGAATAAAAATCATTTCTTACTTTTTTTTTCGAAATGTAAATCAATCTGATCTCAAGTTTTATTGAGTAATAAATGATTCACGTCATGTAATTGACATGAAACTTTTCAATCAATAACCAAAGAATAAATTTATATATATATAATTATTTAAAATTTATACAAACAAACATATAAAATAAATTATATTAAGCTTCAGCTCTAAAATATATCGGAGTCATAAGTATCTTCTTCTTCCTCAATTTTATCTTCAATAGGATCTAATTTAATTGTGAGATTAACATTAAGTTCAGAGGTCTTCTTAAATTCATTTTCATGGAGATATTGAAGCGCCTTAGCCATAAGATCTTCTCTTTTCTTTTCTCTCGATTCATCTTCATTGAGTTTTTTAGCACCAATTGGAAATGCATGGAAAGCTTTCTTCAATAATCTTTTCTCATAGAATGATTGAGCAGTAAATTCTTTTCTTCTAACTACATCAATATATGCTTCTTTCATTTCATTGAAATATGCTTTGAGCATGAGAGGTTTAATTGCATTTTGAGCTCTTTCAATTTTAGCTTTACCAGAATTTACATTCTTCATGAGCAAGTTAATCATATATTTCTTTAAATGCCGATTTCTAAATTGTTCTGCTTCTTTAACTTGTTTTTCTTCTTTTCTTAATACCATATTTCCGAAAGCAATAAATGCTTTTCTTTGAAGTTTCTTTTCATGATGTTGAATTGCGATAACATCTCTTTGAGCAAGTTTCTTCATTGCTAAAGTCCATAAAGAGGATAAATGTTTCCTTCTGTAATTTGTTGCGATTTTTTCAAGTTTCAACATTTGCTCTTTTTCAGCAATCATCTTCTCAAAGTTCTTGTGTGCTTGAATTCTTTCGTTTTCTTGTTTTTGTCTTTGTTGATGCTGATGCTCAAGCATCTTTTTGTGTTCCTCAATAAGCTTCTTTTGTTCAATTTTCTTCATTTTTTCTTGTTTTCTCTTTTCTTGCTCGTCTTGTTTCATCCTTTCTTTGGCTTCATTGATTTTCTTCTCTTTAGACTCTTTCGCGCGTTTCAATAACTCTTCTGCTCTAGGATCAGCAACTATAGGAAGAGGAGATGGTTTTCTCTTCAAAACATCAGGAGGACGAAGATATACAGGAACTTTCTTTGGTTGCTGCTGCTTTGATGGAGTTTCTGGCTTCTTTCTCATCCTCTTAAGCCATTTATTGAAGAATAATGCAATGGTTAATGTATTAAGCTTGATTTTTGCTGTATGAAGTTGTCTTTGAAGTTTAGCACTATGAATCCTTTGTTTACATTCTTCTTCATATTTTCTCCTTTGTTCAAGTTTAAAATCAAGTTTGGCTTTCCATTGTTTGAAACTTTTGCGAATAAGACGAAGCTTACTCAAAGTTGCTACAGTATATTCTTTCCTCTTGACTTTTGATGATTTTTCTTGCCATCTAAAAAATACTAAAGATTTTTGAACAAGAATAAATTGGTTGACTTTGCGTTGTAGTAATTCTTGATTCAATTTTGGTTTTTCGTCTACAACCTGACTTCTTTCTGCTTCTTTAATTGTTTCAATAATATTTACATTTTTATTAGGTTGTTTATTCACTTGTAGCTTTGAATAATCACAACTTACTTGATTTATTTCTTTTTGCGCAGTTTTGGTCGGCCTGCTTGTAAGATTTTGGGAATTTTGTATTTGTGTTGCAACTTCAGTGTGTTTATTCTTGGATTCCGAAGTATTTTCTTTTGAAGGAATATTTTGAACGTTTTTATGCTCTTTTGTATATGTTTTCTGTTCTTGAATCGGTAAATCATCCACGACATTTTCATAATATGCTATTTGTCCTTTTTTATGTTGCTGTTTGGGTTTTACTTCGTGAGTTTCTTTCGTGATATAGTTCTTTTTCGATTTATGATTGTGATGTTTTGGAATTTCTAATGATTTGTTATTTTGAATTGATATTTTTTCTTTTGTTGGCAATTCATTGTTTCGAGGTTCAACAACAATTGCAGATATATGTGTGCCGAGACGTTTAGCAATTGGTGGAGGAATAACACCTAATTTTTTCAGTAAATAATCGCATTGATTCATTGCTTGATCTTCTCTCATTTGCTGGGAGATTTCAGCTGTATATTCTGACTTCAAATTATCGAGCCAGCATGAAATCTCCCTTCTTTTCATTGAACTTCAAAATTTTTAACGTATGGATTGACATCATTTGAAATTTCCATATTATATATGATTGCTCATTTCCTTATTACAAAAGTCCAAAATAATACAAAAAGTCAGAGTAGGGGTAATTTTAGCTAAAAGTGACATGCCTGTAAAAAGTGACACACCCGTGAAGGGTGTGATTACCGATCGGTAATTTCGACAGTTTAGAATTTAAAATTTTTTATGGAACTGTTGCGAGTTTCATAAAGAATTTAAGGAATATAAGCAAAGATTTGAATCAAAATCTTAGACCTAAGCCGATCGATTCGCTCGCGGCTTCCGCGAATTACAGATCAGCAAAGATTTGAATCAAAATCTTCGAACAAAGCCGATCGCTTCGCTCGCGGCTTTCTTTATTATTTTAAATTTGCATATTTCCATCAAAAGTTCATAAGGTAAAAAATTTCGTTTATTTTTACTAAGAAAAAAAAAGGTTTTTGATAATAAATTTATTTTATTTCGAAAAAGTAGCAATAATCGTAAAAGGGTATTGATAGGCTTGCTAAAGTAACTAATTTTAGCTGTCAAATACTTTTGTATTTTGAAGTAAATTAGTATAAATTTGTTTTTACTTTTATTTCGAAAAAGTAACAATAATCGTAAAAGGGTATTGATAGGCTTGCTAAAGTAACTAATTTTAGCTGTCAAATACTTTTGTATTTTGAAGTAAATTAGTATAAATTTGATATTATTTTAACTCCCTTTGAAAACCTCAATTTTCCATACAGAGGGAACGGGAATAGCATCCAATATTCCCTGAGAATGGTTGCGCATTCTCAGTTCCCTCTATATTTCGAACGAAGCTCTCATCGGTCTTTTTTTTTAATACTAAACGTTTTTTTCCCCTGTCACTTTTAGCTAAAATTTGGGTTTGCCTATTTTTTTATCCACCATTTCGCAGAATGGTGATATCTATTTCAGTGTAATAAGTATATTAGATGTTGGTTAAACTACTCTCATCTTAATTACCAAATGTAAACAGCAAATTGAGTTTTAGTTTTAAGGGTGCACTTACCACTTTCTGACATGCTCTCAATTTTTTTGACATCCAAGCTTTATATCCCAATTTTCTATAATAAAAAGTTAATATTTTTTGTCGGGAAAAAGTTATTATTTATCATTGCTTAGCTCCTAACATTGCTATTATACTCTTTTTCCATTAAATTATAGATATGATGATATTATCTGAGCGGGTCAGAAAGTGGTAAGTGCACTCTTGATAAAACTCCATTGTATTAATAAGTAGGTGAAAAACACGAGACCTATCCTACTGCTACTTACTCATGATGCTGATTGTAAAATATAAGATGAAAATGGGAACAATAAAAATAAATGTTCAGTAAAATAGACATTTAATGCTATACTAATCTAATTTGGAGCTACCATTCAAAACTAATCAGGTATGAGCAAAGCTTATTGAGTATTATCCAAAATCACTTCAAATAGTAGTAAACAGTCAACTTTGAGATCAACTACTCAATCAGTACTTTAATTTTAATTGTTAGTTAATGAATATTGGATTTGTCTGTCAAACCAGTCTCACTTTTATTAAACATTCTGGCGTGAACAGAAGCATAATTTTAAATATTTAAATAATAACAAATAATATCAATTCATAAATTTCTTTTAGTCATGCCTAAAAATATATTCTCAGGAATTGAAATCGGCACCATGTGATATAAGAAGTTCAACAATTCCTTTATTATTCTTATTGGCTGCTATTTGAAAAGCAGTTCTTCCAAAAATATCTTTTTCATTGATATTCAGACCGTGTGAAATAAGAATTTCAACTATTTCCTTATTACTTCTTAATACAGCATAATGAAGAGCTGTTTGCCCAATTTTATTCTTTATATTGAAATCCACCCCAAGTGAAATGAGAAAATCAACCATTTCTTTCTTTTTATTATTTGCTGCAAGATGAAGAGATGTTTCCCCAAGATTATCTTTTTCATTGATATTCATGCCATGCGAAATAAGAAATCCAACCATTTCTTTATTATTTTTTTCTGCAGCAATATGAAGAGCTGTTCTTCCACAAGTATCTTTTTCATTGATATTCATGCCATGTGAAATAAGAAATTCTGCCATATCTATATTATTTTTTTCTGCAGCAATATGAAGAGCGGATTTCCCAAAATTATCTTTTTCATTGATATTCGCACCATATGAAATAAGAAATTCTGCCATATCTTTATGATTATTATCTACTGCATAATGAAGAGAAGTTCTTCCATATTTATCTTTTTTATTGATATTCATTCCATATGAAAAAAGAAGTTCAATTATTTCTTTACGATTATCATTTGCTGCAATATGAAGAGCGGTTTTTCCAATATCATCTTCTTCATTAAAATTCGCACCATGCAAAATAAGAAAATCAATCATTTCTTTATGATTGTTATTTGCCGCAATATGAAGAGTAGTTTCTCCAATGCTATTCTTTTCATTGATATTCATTCCATGCGAAATAAGAAGTTCAGCCATTTCTATTTGATTATATTTTGCTGCCATATGAAGAAAAGTTCCTTCATTTTCATCTTTTTCATTGATATTGGCACCATATGAAATAAGAAGTTCAGCCATTTCTGTGTGATTACTAAATACTGCAATATTATGAGCTGTTCTTCCTATAATATCTTTTTCATTGATGTTTGCACAATGTGAAAGAAGAAATTCAGCTGTCTCTTTACTATTTTTTTTCTACCGTATAATGAAGAGCAGTTTTTCCATTTTCATCTTTTTCATTGATGTTTGCCCCATGTGAAATAAGAAGCTCTGCCATTTCTTTATGATTATTATCTGCCGCATAATGAAGAGCAATTTCCCCTTGATTATTTTTTTCATTGATATTTGCACCATGTAAAATAAGAAATTCAATCATTTCTATATAATTAAAATCTGCTGCAAAAATAAGAGCTGTTTCCCCAAGATCATTCTTTTCATTGATGTTTGCACCAAGTGAAAGGAAGTATTCACAAAGACATGGAATTTCAAACAAAGCAGAATATAAAATGCATTTGTCAACATTATTAGTTTGATCATAATAAACTAAAAGTGCATCAAGATTTTTATATATTCCACAATATTCTAAATCGATCTCTATATTGTACTCATTCGTCAAGAATGTAACAAAATCAATGTTGTGGGAAATAATTGCATATTTCATCGAATAATTATCTGGCCTTTGATATTTCAAACATTCACTCATGATCTCTTGATTTCCGCATAAAAATGAAAAGTCAAGACATATTTCAGTTATTGTTGATTTAAATTTCGTTCTTAATAACTTGAAACAATCAACTGCTCCGTAGTAACAACATACTTCAAGTAATGAATATTCTGCATTCGAAAATGGAAATAAACTACTATTAAGTTTTTGATTCTCATCAAATTCATCGCATTCTGTAAATAAAATGAATTTTTCGAGGTTGTTGTCAATAATTGCTCTATAAATTGTGTTTTCTGAATGAATGATTAGATTTTCTGATTTAATATCTTCGAAATCACTTGAATTGTCTAATTTAATTCCATATTCTTTATAAAACATGAAATTAAAGATATTTACAATGTTTCTGACCTCTTTAACATGATAATCATCATAAATGAATTTGATAAGTTTCAAGTATGACATTGTGTAGCGGTTGTTATACGGGATAATACTTAAAATACTTCTTATAAAATTTTGAGGAGGGTATTTCATTGAATCAATCAATTCTGTTTTGATAATTTTGTAAATCGAGTTTAAATCTTCTTCATCTTTTGTTTTTAATTGATACAATGCAATGAATGAGTCAATGTAGTATTTGTAGATGCTTCTCAATCGACTGTATTTATTTGGATGCTTGTCAAGATCAGACATTTAAATTTAAAAATTCAAATTTTTATATATCTTGTCTTTTTTGATGCTTAAAACCTAAAAAATTTCACAAAAATAAAAATTATCCTAAAATATTTTTGTGATATTTTTTTGACTTCGCAAATTTTGCAAAAATCTTCCAAATCGATAACTTTATCTCAAGTAATCCTATTCATGACATAAATGAGACAATACCAGCTATTTGTTCAGGGCTGGGCTAAATAAATAAGGTCTGCAAAAATATCATTGAGTTTTTTCTGACACAAAACCATATAATGTCAAAAACTTTGAAAGGACAATTTTTTAGTGTCAGATATTTACAAATGTATATTTTATGACAAACAGAGTCTCAAAAAATGCTCAAAAGGTGACTTTTTAATTCCGCGCTTTTTTGTCCGCCTTATACAGGATTCTAATAAATTATAAAAGATTATTCAAAAGGCGTGGGTATAATTCATGATATGCGCCAATACAAGTAACTGATAACGAAATTATTCAATCAGGAACTCATCTAACAAAATAACTTATCTAGGATCAATGAAAGTTGATCCACTTTTTTAAAATACAATTAAATAGTGCCAATTCGTTCATATTTTTTTGCTCATATTTACACTATTTAACTGGAGAAATATCACTATTACTTGAGTCTCACTAACATGAAAAAAATAACAAAATTAACTGTACAATACATATAAATTGTGGTCTATCATTTTCGGAAAAGGATTCCTATAATTCATGTTAGGAAATGTGGGTCAATAAAAGTTAAAAATAATAATAAATATATCATTTATTTACATCATTGCATATCTATCTAAAAGGATTCTAATTTTTTACCATGTTTATGAAGCCTTTAATATCAAGTTAACAATGTGACATATTGATTGTGATAAAGAGTGTCATTTTTTTAAATGAAACTATTTTAGAGTATTATATCAGAAACACTTACAATTGAATTCACTGGCAACAAAACCATTAGTATTCCACAAGATTGTGTTAGAGATTCGGTAAAATATATTGTTGTTGAGGATGGATTTGAAATCCTTCCTTCATATGCTTTTTTAAACTTAAAAAACCTAATAAATGTTTCTCTTCCGACATCACTCACTACAGTATGCGACGAAGGATTTATATTCACTTCTTATATGAAGCACATATTTTTGCCGAAAAATGTCCAGCTATTTCTTGGAACTCCTTTCGATCAATCTCCTATTGAAGAATTCGAAGTTGATAAAGAAAATAAGTATTATTGTTCATTAGATGGTGTTATATTTAGCAAAGATATGAAAACATTAATTGCTTTCCCAAAATATAAAAACGTAACAACCTATATTGTTCCTAACACCGTTGAAACCATTGGAACGGCATCAATGACGCGATTTGTTTTTCTTGAAAGAATTATCATTCCAGATTCAGTAACATTAATTAATCCTGCATTTCTATATGAAACTTTCAGTAAAGTAAAAGAAGTTATTATCTTTCGAAGTTATCGCCAGAAAAATCCAATTTTTGCCCAAAACATTAATTCTTTTCGCAATTCTGATTTCAAAGAAAACAATATTCAATATATATTTTCAGCACAAGTAGTGAATTCGTGTAAAATTCTGTCAAGATACTCAATATCTCACATTAATTTGTATGTTTTTATATTATTGTAAACGTCGTTTCTATTTCACATATATAGATAAATCTAAACTTTATCTTGAAGATATTTTACTCTTCAAGATATAACACATTTGAACATTAAACTTCTTTAAATTCTATTCCATTTTAATGACGTCAAACAAATGTGAACAAAAATCTCGTTAGTTTTTAGGATTAATAATTACGAGGGGATCTTAGTACATTTCCTTTAAAGCAAATGTTGATTGATAATGCATTGTTTTAGTTTTTTCCTCTATTAATATACATTTTAGATATTCCTATTTTGTGTTTTTTGACAGTAAGATAGATTACTAATTTTTTTATATAAAAAGTGTCATTTTTTGTTTATCCTCTTCTGAGGTATTTCTTCTGATACACTTACAATTGCATACAAAGAAAACAAAACCATCACAATTCCAGATAACTGTGATAGAGATGCTGTTAAATACATTATAGTCAATGATGGTTTTGAAATTCTTCCTTCAAAAACTTTTTTAAATTTTAAGAATTTAATAAATATTTCCATTCCAACATCACTTACTACAATATACGACGAAGGATTTATACTCACTTCTTATATGAAGTACATATTTTTGCCAAAAAATGTCCAGCTATTTCTTGGAACTCCTTTCGACCAATCTCCTATTGAAGAATTCGAAGTTGATAAAGAAAATAAGTATTATTGTTCATTAGATGGTGTCATATTTAGCAAAGATATGAAAACATTAATTGCTTTCCCAAAATATAAAAACGTAACAACCTATATTGTTCCTAACACCGTTGAAACCATTGGAACGGCATCAATGACGCGATTTGTTTTTCTTGAAAGAATTATCATTCCAGATTCAGTAACTGCGATAAAAGGAGCATTTTTATATTATAATCTTAATAAAATAAAAGAAGTCACAATATTTAGAAGTTATAGACAACAAATACCAGATATAACACTTGTAGACTCCTTTTACCAATCAAATTTCAAATTAAATAATATAACTTATATTTATTCATCTCAAAAAGTGAATACATGCAAGGATAATTTAGTATTTTCTTTTATCGATGGATGCATCATTGTTATTCTAAATTTATAAAGCTATAGATGAAATTATCTTAATAATAAGTTTTTTTCTCCCATTTCTTATATTCATTCTCATCATGCACATTAATTGCTTATCCTCAATACAAAAATGTAACTTCTTATATCGTTCCTAGCACAGTCGAAACTATTGGACAAACTTCAATGACTAGATTTGTTTATTTAGAAAGAATAGTGATACCAGATTCAGTAACTGAAATCAAGGGATCATTTTTATACACTACAAAAGATAAAATTAAAGAAGTCATTATTCTTAGAAGTTATCGCCAGAAAAACCCTAAATTTATTCTAGAAAATTCATTTGTCAGCTCTAATTTCAAATTAGAAAATATAACTTATATTGTTTCTACTCAAATACCAATATCCTGCAAGTTTCAGCTGAGATTTTCCATAATGACGAGCTGTTTATATGTTTTTATCTTATTATAACAAATCAATAAAATAATTATCCATAGATTTATAATTTCCTAAAACAAATTCTGTAAATGAAAGTATAGTTCTTCCTTTATGTTTCTTTGCAATTTTGTCAAGATCGCGATTATATGATGCCATAATGAGTGGAATATATTCATTATTATTCTCTGCTTCATATAAAAATAATTTTTATATCATGCAGAATTGAACGGAATATCTCCATCATTTTTCTTTTTGTCTCTCCTATGGAGATCAGAAAATTTTGCTTTCACAATATCTTGAATTAATATTCTTTAAGGGAACAAGTAGCTGTTTGTGATATCCTCTCACAGCTAAACTAGGTAGAATATAGTGATATATTGTAGCTTTTTCGGGCCAAAAATAATAACATTGTATCTTAGAATGTTGGTGATCCAAAAAATTAAGAGATAACTAGAAAGTTGTAATTGCAACCTTTAAATATGTTTTCATTTTTACAATATATGTCTCACAAAAGAAATTGCAGAAGATAGTTTGAGTATAACGAAAATTCCAAATTATAAATAAAATTTTTAATACAAAACAAAAATAAATATAATATAAAGTAATTATTCCATTTCCGCTTTGATAACATCAATAAGCGATGTAATTTGTTGAAGTAAATCCGTGAGATTTGCTCTAAATTTCGTAGATCTCTTTTCGAAGCCTTCATGATCAATTTTATTTTGCTCCCACGGCATATTAGATTCGTTAATATATTTGAGAAGGTCTTGTAGCTGTTGGCTTTCTTGAATCTCTGATTTAAAGAAATCTTGGTTTTCTTCAACAAGCGAATTGATTTCATCAATTTCCTTATTGGCTTCTTCTAACTTTTCTTGTATCTCATGAACAGCTTGGTTATTAGTTTTATAATTATCAGAACAAGAATTAATTTCTGATCGAACATTTTCGGCTTCTTTGAGCTGTACTTCTATTTCTTGATATTTTTGCTGCTTTATGGCGACTTTTTTATCGATTTCCTCTAATTCAACTAAAATTGAGGCAATTTTTGAATCTGTAAGTCGTATATTCTTTTCACGCTTTGCGTTTCGTATTTTCTGTGATTTTAGAGATTCTGCGAGTTCTTTTTCTTGATTTTCAAAAGCAAAAATGTCAATTTCTTGAACTGGAGCTTTTGGTGCAATCCCACTTAACCTTTCTATTTCTATCTGCGCTTGCCGTGCTTTTTCTGATTCTAATACCAATTCAGCTTCTAAAATATCGATTTGATTTAATTGCTCCATTGCTCGTAGCATTGCATTCTTTTCATTAGCACTAACATCGCCAAATTTCAAATTAAACGCGTCATTTATCAATTCTAGTTCAATTTCACCTCTTTGAATTGATGTATTCAGCTGTTCGAGTTCAGCCTTTCCATCATCGATTTCGGATCTTAGTTTAAGCTCTGCTTCCTTAAGCTTTTCGATTTTCACTTTAAGATCGTCAATTTTTTCTGTTGCCATAAATAAAAAAAAAAGTATCAAGAATAAAAACGGTTTTTATCGGTTTAAAAAATGCTTGAACGAGCTATTTTAGAGTTTCCTGGCGATAGAACTCGTTATGAAGTTGACAACATCGCAAATTATGAAGGACCTAATGAGCTCGGTATGCTAGAAGCACTAGAAGCAAAAGTAGACACAAGAGAATTAACTTTAACATTTCTCGGTGAAATGTTTCCAAACTTGCAAAAACTTCGCTTAAATAACTCAATCATACCATCAGTTCGCGATATCGGCTGTGAATTAGTAAATTTACGATTTCTTTCTCTGGCTAGCTGCAATTTAACTTCTTTAGACGGAATTAGTACACTTTCTCACAACCTAGAAGAATTATACGTAGCATTCAATCAAATTACTGATTTCTGTGATCTTTTAGGCATGGAACGTCTCAGAATTGTTGATTTTGAAGATAATCTGATCGAAAATCTCGAAGATATCGAAATTCTCACTACATCACCACAACTTCAAGCATTGACACTTGCAGGAAATCCAGCTGCGAAAGTTCCAGATTATCGCGAAAAAGTTGCGAAATTACTTCCTAAATTAGTATATTTAGACGAAAAAAGGCTTAAGCCTAGGAAGCCCAAGACGCCTAGGATACAGAAACAACCTTCTACCGTTAAATTTGAAGAGGGCTCAGAAAATAATGTTCCAAGATCAATAGAAAAGATGGTCAAAGAGCCACCATCACCACCTCCACAGCCTGTAGAAGAGCCACACCCACCAGCATCACCTGAACCAGCAGACAAAATCACTATTGCTCCGTTAGATTTCAGCCATATCGATGACGACGAAATTTTGATGACAGAACAGATTAGAGATAAGATCGACGATCGACCACCGTCATCTTACGGATCCTTCGAATCTAAAGGATTTCCCGGATTTTTCAAAAATGCTCCGACGAAGACGTCCTCGAAGAGCATATTGACGCCTGGAAAGCCAAGGATTTTCCGCCCTGTGTCTGCAAAGGGAAGGCCAAGCCATTAATCGCCATTTTCGGAATTTTTATATTATATTTGTAAATAAATTAGATTTTTAGATGTTCTTTCATAATAGAAAGCTTTTTCATTAGCATTTGATTAATCAAAGTTAAGGACAGGAGATTCGTTATTGAAATTTTGAATTCGTTATTATGAAATTTCACCTCTTATTACTTCATTTGATTACTGATCAACTATAAGATCAGATTTTCCAGTGTTTCAGAACTATAACCCTGAAATTTTATTTTGGAAAATTCCTGACATCGGAATTAGGCAAATCATAATGTATCGCATAGCGCGAACACAGTGTTTTCATTGCTAATCATCAACTCATTCTAAATTTTCAATATGAATCCGATCAAAATTCTAATATAATGGTTTTAACGCATCCTTAACTACGACAATAAGCTTAACTTGAGCATGAATCAATGAGTATTTAATAAAAAAGAGTCAAATATTCATGCATGAAAAAGTTTTCAAATTTCGATACAGATAAAAATATTCAGTCAAAAACACACATAAATCAAGTTATATTAGATGATAGGCAATTGATAAATAAAATAATTTAACCGCATCATTTTATTAAATTTTGAACTTGAATAATTTGTAAATTTATGTGAAATTGAACTGTGTCAATGATAGAATCGCTGCCATATAACATATTTTTTGGGTTTCTCAAAGTCTTTCTTGAAGAACAAACTTGAAAATTTATCAAAGAACGTTCCTTATATTTTTTGGCGTTTGTAAACTGTTTACAGCCAGTTTACATAAAAGTGGAAGATTTCTATATGTAGAATGCACACTGATATTGAATATCAATGCCATAATTAAAATCATTTACTGTTTTTTTTGTGCTTTTTGAAAAGTTTACGACGAAATTAAATACAATGTTGAGATCTGTTTGCATTTCTTCGCGAGGAGGCTTTGTATTATTCTCCGCGGACTTCGAAGGTAACGGTAAAAATATTCACAGTATTTCTGGCCTTCTTACAGCTTTAACAGATATCTCAAAACGTTCAGTCGGATGTCCAGTTTCATATGTTTTAATGAAAAATCTTGCTATCACAATAGTTCAATCCGAAGAAACTGGTATTAAAGTAATTTTATTCCACGATGCAGCTTATTTTCGCGTTTTAGCACATAGAATTGCAACAGAAATTATGAAAGCATTTACAGAAAAATTCCCTCCAAGCACATATAATGGCAATGATAGTTCAATCTTTAGACATTTTAACAGTTCACTTGGTCCTGCTATTCGCAATGCTTCGTTTTTCATATTACATTCTCTTATAGAAAGATTACGTGGTGCTATACAATTTGCTGTAGTTTTAATAGATGGCGATGCTGCCTTTACATATCCTTCAAATGCAAATTCATTATCAGTTGCTGCGAACTCGCAAGCCCTGCAATTTTCACTTAGCGAAATAGCAGGTATCACAGATGATCAACCTTACGAACTTATTATTGAGGGTGTTCAGATATTCACCCATGTAGTTTTATTTGGCACGGCTGTTGTATTTCTTCAAATACGTGCGGATTATCACAGTACTAAAGTTGTCGCAGATCTAACAGAGACACTGGACATGCTTAGATTATGTTTCCAAACTTCTGAAGGCCTCATGGCTTAATAAACATGACTGTATATCACTATATATAAAAATGTAATTTTTATAATTGTTACTTTCTTTCTTTTTTTTTTGTCAAGTTTCAAATTTTCTTTTTTTCAAGAAAACTAACAAAAACAATCAACAAATTCATATAACAATAGTCTATAAAGATTAATTATTTCTCTATGAACCTCAGTTTAATACATATCTTCAATATTATTTCATCGAATTCATCGATTAGATACTATTGATTGACTAATAAGTAACTTACTCTTTATAATATCATGTGAGTTAGTAGTTCCTAATGAATTTGACTTTAGAGTCTAAAATATATTCTAAAATCATCAATTAAACTGATCCAATATTCTTACTTGGTTAACATCTACAATGGTTGAGCTTGGTTCTGTGGAAAAGAAAGGATAAACAAATAAAATTGTTGTCAGAATTTTATCGATAGGAAATTGAATATCGTAAAATGGCCGTTTGAAATTTTGGTGATACCCCCTAAACTAAAATCATAGAGTGCTCTAATTTAAGATGTCAACAGCCGATGATATCAATAAAGAGCATAATGAAGCAGTAACTAATGAAACAAAACCAAAGACAGAAGATCCAATTCAAAAACTCTTCGATTCGGCTCCTCTTCCATTTAACTATGTTAAAATTCCAAAAGAAGACGAGCCTGCAGTAGAACGTGAAAAAAGATTGAGTGTTCACGTCAATAAAGTTATTACAGAGCTATCAAAAGATGCATTTATTCATAGTGGCTTTGATTTAACAGAAGATAAGATTAGGTTCAATGCAGCATGGGGTAGACAATATCCTGTTATTCAATATTCTAGTTTTGCAGCATGGCAGAAAATCAATCATTATTGTGGAGCTACTCTAATGGGTAGAAAAGACAGACTTACATCTAGAATGCAAGAACTTAAGGAAAGAGTTGGAGAATTTGCTGATTTTTATCCTGAATCTTACTTAATTCCTTCTCAAGCCAAAGAATTACATGAAGTATGGACAAAATACCCACTTTGGATTGTTAAACCTGTTTCCATGTCTCGTGGACGTGGAATCTATCTTCTTTCTTCCCAAAAATCAGAACCTCCAGTCGAAGAAGCTGTTGTTCAAAGATATCTTGAGCATCCTTTCATAATTACAGGTAGAAAGTTTGATTTGAGATTCTACGTATTAGTAACATCATCTTCACCATTAAGGATCTACATGCATGATAGTGGACTCACAAGATTCGCTACTCATAAATACGATCCAAATGCTCCACCAGAAGATGCTCATGTTCATCTTACAAACTTCGCTCTTAATAAAGATGATGAAAGTTTCACTCGCGCTCAAGGAAATGATGAAAAAGTTGAAGATTCGAAATGGTCGATTCCATTTTTCATTAATTTCCTTAAAGACAACGGATACAATGTTGATGAGATCTTCAAAGATATTGAGAGAGTTACAATCTCAACAATTATCGCTGGTTTCTGCTCAATCAGAAATCATCAAAATAATTATGTTAAACATCGTCAAAATACCTTTGAGTTATATGGTATTGATGTTATCCTTGACGAAAACATGAAGTCTCACGTCTTAGAAATTAATATTTCTCCAGGTATGAGTGGAACAGATTCAGTTCTTGATCATACCATCAAAAACCGGCTGATGCATGATACTTTAAGAATGGCACGCATCATTGATTGTGATGCAAGCCTCAAGGATCCATGCCCTGGAATCTCCTGCATTGAATACGAATGCAACGCATCATTATCGAAGGAAAGAATCCGAAAAGTCGAAGGCAGAAGTGTGAAACCATGTGATGATCCTGTTTTCCATGATTTAATGACTGTCAGAGACTTTATTGACGAAAAGCACATAGAAAGTGGATTCAGAAGAGTCTTCCCTAAGAGAAAGACTGTTGACACTTTCATCCCTTGCTTTGACAGAATGAAATATGATGACCTTGTTTTCATTGATTTCATCAAAATGTCGAAAGAAGAAAGACTCAAAGTCGTCCAAAAGAATTTTGAAAAGTATCAACAAAAAATGAGAGAAGTCGTAGAAGAATCACGCTCAAAACTCTCAACTGATAAAGCCCCTCCACCACCAGATCATCTCTAACATATTGTTATTAAACAAATGATATATAAACTTATCCCTAATTAGAGTCAAATTTTTTTTTGAAACGAAAATTATAAAATTTGATGCAAATATTAAAAGGGAATGATTTCCTTTGATTTCTTTTTCAGAAATCAGAAGAAAATTTTTTTCAAGTCGTAAAAATTTAAAATGGAAGATTCAGAGCCTATTGACCTGGAAATCGATTACATTCATACAGCAAGAAATCTAAACGACCATATTCGACCAGAATTATGGCTTTGCACTTTAGAACCTGCAGAAATTGCCAAAAAAATTTTGAAACACGTTAGAATCGATGTGAAAACATTTTCAACAGTTTGCAAAAATGGTCGCGTTACATTTAGTTCTCCATATGTTTATGAATGCGTCCATAAAACTCAAGTTATTTGCCAAACACCTCAAGAAATCTTAGAATTGCTTGACGTTATTCATGAATACCTCGGATTCAAGACAATTGATGCTGTTAAGACTTACATAGAAAGTACTTTAGATCAAAATCTAAATAATAATGCAATCTTAGAAAAGAAAGCGCTTGTTGAAGAAAACGAACAATTAAAATTCCTTCTTGAAGAAAAATCTAAACTTCTCGCAGATTGTACAACCAAAATTGAGTATCATAAAGATTTAGTTGTGAAATCTGCTGATTACATGACCCAACTAGAAAATTTACGAGATATTTCAAATGAACAGTTAGAAGAACTCAGTAATAAAATTACAGCAAAAGACAAAGAGATAAAAGAACTTAAAGATCAAATACAAAAGAATGAAAAAGAATTTAATCATAAATATCATGAAGCTTTCGGAATGAAAGATAAAGAGATTGATGAATTAAAACGTCAAATAGAAAAGAACAAAACAGAAGCAGAAAATAGATATTCAAAAGCTGTTTGTGAACGAGAAAATGAAATCCGTTCATTAAATTCGATTAATGAACAATTACAACAAAACATCAAGACAAAAGATAATGAGATAAAAGAACTCAAAGAAGAGATACAAAAAGTTAAAACAGAAATGACTACTAAATATAATAACATTGTTTCATCAAAAGATAATGAAATAAAAGAACTTAAAGAACAATTACAAAATAAAGAAAAAGAAATTGAAAATAAATTAAATACAATTAATAATGAAATTAGAGAAGTTAAAGATAAGAATAATAAACTAGAAACTAGTGTAAGAATGCATTTAAGCACAATAGAACAAAAAGATGCATCAATTAGTCAATTAAAATCTTCAATCAGTTCTAAAGCAACTGAAATTACTAATCAACAATATAAAATTCAAAAAATGACAACTGAAATCAATAAATTAGAATCAAATCTGACTGCAAGTAAAGAATTAGATGTTAAAAGAGTTAAAGAAATAGAGAATATGAGACAAAAAATAATGAATAATGATGTAACAATAAATGAACTTAAAAGCACAATTGCTACTAAAGAAAGGGAAATAGAGAATTTGAGATCAGGCACTGGAATGAATAATGAAGATATAGATTATCAAGAAGAGCTTGATAAGCTTCAAACTCTATTCACTGATTTAAGAGTTGCATCTAGAGGAAAGAATATAAAAGCTTTGAATTCTGCAAAAGATGTTCTAACAATGATTGACGATGCATATGATGCTGATAAAAAGACAAAGATGAAGATAATAAGTACTATTAATTCTCAGAAATTACCTGATTTCATAAAATTGTTTACAACTATCGTTGCAGATAAATAATACTATATTAGTGCGTGTTTAAATAAATGTTGAATTTAATAATTTTTATTGTTTTTAATGAATATGAGCGAGAACATTTCTTTATCCGATATATGTAAATTTGAAGAGTGAGTGTATTGAAAACTGATGTCAATAGAAAATTATTGAATTTTTAAAATACATATTTCTATTGAGATATTTGGATTGCTTAAACAAACAAATAGAATCTCTGTGCTGATAAAACATATCTTTTCCAGATTATCGAAGATTATGTTTTTTTCTGCTTAATTGAGTATTGATCTTTAATCTATATCACTGCATTCTTTCATATAATGCATACACTCAATCACCTAAAGTTAAAACTGTTAGAATAAGAAATTCGTATCAAAAAATATCGAAAATATGCATTTTTATTGCAAATTTATGCAAAAAACATATCTGTTGGAATGCATATACTATTTTTTCTATTCGAAAATCGGTCAGTTTTTTGAAATTGTCAAAAATAATAAAATGAAACTCTTCAAAAATCTCGGCTCAGAGTTCACTTATTTTTGGAAATCCTTTTTAGATAACCTACCAGAATGGTTTGCTACAATATGTCTTGCTTTGGTATCTGTAGTTATCGCATTAATGATAGAACCTAAACAAAGAATCGCATTCTTCCAAAATTTCAACGAAAGATATCCATATTCAGGAGAAACTCTTGGTGTTCCAGTTGTTGCTATTCTCATTATTATTCTTCCTTGTGCAACTCTTGGTTTTCTTGCAATAACGTATCCACGCAAAATAGATTTATGCCTCGCAGCAATGAGCTTAGCTCAATCACTTTGTCTTACTCTTTTGATTACTGAAGCACTCAAGGTTACTGTTGCTCGTCCTCGTCCGAACTTTTTCTCTTACTGTCAATATGACGAATCTTTAAAGAAATGCACAGGCCCATCATCCCACAAACGTGATGCTAAGCTTTCTTTCCCATCAGGACATGCATCAAACTCTTTTGCAACAGGAACTTGGATGTGCTACTTCTTAGGCAAATTCTTTAATAATGGTTCTGAAATTTGGTGGATAATGCTTCGTTTTATCCCTATAATGATCGCAACATTCATTGCAGCAACAAGAATTACAGATTACATGCATCACGTTAGTGATGTAATCGGAGGAGTTGTAATTGGCATTGGATGCGCAACTCTTATATATAGAGCTCAAGAAAATAGAATTTTTATTCCAAATAGAAAGAAAGATGATGAATTATATCAACTCTGAGCTTAATCCGATCTATTTATTTTGTTCATATATACGTAAATAATTTTATCGCCTTATTATGTTTTATTACGGGAAATAAATTTTTAATTTCTTTCATTCCGTAAAATATAACAAAAATATTATAAAACAAACAGAATTTTTAAGTAAAAACACAAAATCTCTATAATAAATCTGCTTATTGTATACAAGAAAACAGATTGAAATAATAATATAAGAAAAGTAAATAATATCGAGAATGTAAGCATGAATATCTTGTAAAACCATATTTTCTTATGGATCTTTTTGTTGGCCATCGTCAGAAGCGGACATTTGTGCAAGTTGTCCATAACCACGTGATTTTCGATCTGCTATTTGTATTTGTCTAAAGAGTATACAGACAAATAAATGAGATATGAAATGGGCAATTAAGAAAACACCTCCTCCAGATAAATTTAAGCTAAGTCTCTTGCACATCTCAACATAACATGCATGAGTTGGTGATGAATCGCATGTATCATCTTTAAACTCTTTAACTGTACGAAATCCGCAGCATTTAAGATTATTTTGTAAAGGAACAATTTGAGGGCTATTAGTGAGGAGTTCAAACGATGGATATAAACTGAGGAAGAACGGATTTGTGTTCAAAGTCCAATAATATGCGTAATGGATTTCGATTGAAGCTACAATAATTGAAAGAAGCAAATTGATTAGATATAAAACATATTTCTTGGTAACCATGTAAGTCAAAATCATGAATAGTGTAATTGAAAAAAAGAATACTGGGACTAATGAAACTAATAACGGTGTTTTTGTAACATAACCGAGGCCACTACTAACAAGCCATGCTTTAGTGGTAACAGCCGTTATGATTCCACCATATATATTACAGATTATCATAACAATTGCTGTAATATACGATCTTAAGTTCATAGATTTTGTCAATTTTCTGAACAAAAGAAAAAACTTTTGATTGACAAGAATACAACACTGTCATATGATTTTCATAGCTTCTATGTCTATTGCCATAGCAACATATAATAGCTTGTCATTGAGCATTATTAAGTATACAGCATCCTCGCAGCTAAATTTTCCATTATGTAAACCTCGAGCCGCAAAAGTGACATCAAGGTTTACATAGATGGGTTATATATATAGAATTAAAAGCATGAAATGCGGATCGATTTTTATCAATAATTGGACATTCTATTTTTTAAAAAATAAACATATATTTATATGGGAAATTAGGGAGATCTGAAACTCAAAAATTATTTTTGAATTTTAATATGATAAATATAATTGTGATGATATACATCGCAAATAAAATATTATTTCGGAACAACGATGAAATGTGATAAATTTGATTCTCTCAAAAATCGATTTTGATGTTTTGATATTAATTTATATCTTATATACATATAGGATATATAATAATTTTATAACATCAAAAAGTGACAATTTGCGGTTAGAAAAAGTCATCAAAACAATTTTTAATGATTTGATTTAACATAAGCATAGACCATCTCTTTGATATTTAACTTCAATTTCCCGAAATGAAAAGGATTTGAACAAAAACGATTATTTTACGATTATTTTTTGTAAATTTTTTTAAATTGAGACTGACATCTCTAAAATCTTCTAAAAAATCCAAATATCAAATAAAATAATATCATTAATATTCCTCTCAATTTAAAAAATTTTTATAAATTGAGACTTCAATCTCTAACATCTTCTTAAAAATCCATATATCACAAAAAATCACGATTTTATTGTTATTCTCAATTTCAAAATTTTTTTTCTCGTAACAAAAGATCTTTTTGCATGACAGCAAGGCAGAAATTTGAAACGAAGTTTCAAATTTCTCAATCTTGCATTCTGGGCACGTAAGTGCCCAGAATGCTAAAAGGCGCGTAGCGCCGTCTCTAAATATCAAATTTATTATTATAATTATTTTATTAAATTTCACTATAAATCGATCTGTTATAACACACTGGTGCATGACAGCCTTGTCCATTCATGGGTTATATATATACGGTCTAGGTGAAGACATTGCGGATCGAAGATCCGCAATGTCTGAACCCCCCAAATTTATATTAAAAAGTATGTTATTATATGGGAAAAATTCGAGATTTCGAACTCAAAATTTAGAATCGGGTTATTTTGGATTCTTTCGCTTTGGGAGGGCGCAAAGCGCCCTCCCAAAGCGATAAAAGGTCGAAAATGCTTATCGAATAAAATCTTATATCAGAAAAAATGACTTTGGATATGATAAATATCATTGTTATAATTGATACATATTATACTGCACATTATTTTGAAATTTTATTTTTTCAAATTTTAATTTTGATTTATATCTAAATATTATATGATTTTAAGATAGCATCTCTCAATTTTATTAAAACGGTTTTTGGTTTCCCTCAAATATGTTAAAATTGAGAAAAACAAAACATTTTTAGGTGAAGCACTCTGAAGTTCTGAGCCAGACTTCAGATATCTCGATACAGTGAAGTACCCAAAATCATGTGCATTTGCCATAAATATTTATCGCTCGAATTTTACAATTGAACTTTGCGTTCGATATTTGATTATACATACTTTCGAAATTGTAAGACCTAGCGACCACACACTAACACAATCACTCAGCCGAATCAATTGATCCAATTCTCCATTATATTATTGGTTTATAATAAGAAAATTTGATAAAAAGTCAAAAAATAAGCGATATCAAAGATTACTTTATGGGTGTACTATTAATTGACCCTTTTCTGATTAATTGCGAATTACTGAAATGTATTTATTTGTTAGATTCTTATATAAATTTGAAAAATCTCTTTATTTTCTTAAGTTCTACTTACAATTTGTAATCTTTTATTTCATAGATATATACTTTTAATAAAATAACAAAACTCAGTTTCATTATAACAGACTTGTCATTTAATTCTATCGGCGCGAAGCGCCGATAGAATTAAGACAGTATATAAGGTAGTCACAAAATCTAAGTAGAAGGGCTTTGAAATATTGAGGGGATTTGAAATTTTGGCTCTCAAAATTTACCCTTCCTCACTACTCGAATTCCGAGCCTCTCAATGAATTTCCTCTCAATTTTGAATGGTTTATATTGACTTTTGAATACCTTTATTGAGAACAAAAAAATAAATATATTAAGATTCGTATACTATTGGCATTTTTCATAAAATGAAGGCCTAAAAAACAGGGCCATTCAAAAAATGAATTGTTTTGGGGAGTGGTGGATCTAGCATCTGTGTAACAAATAATAAAGATTGGCCGTAAAAATTAGGCCTAATCTCTTTTTGGTAAAATTTTGGAAATTGATATCTCTTTATATTCGTCTGTCGTGAGGTACAGATAACAAGATGATGGAGTAAATGTTTTTGACATATTCACTTTTCACCATATTGGCCGAAATTAAGTATATTGTTGCTAATTTTTTGTTTTTTACATTGTTTTTAGGGGCACTACTATTTATTCATCTTTGTATCATTTTTGTTGAGCTCGTATTGAAAAATAATCAATGAAATTTATGTTTTCATTTGAAATCTGATAAAGTTAAACGTGCATATAAGTTTCTCGCTGATATCACTCAATTGCAAATTCATATATATGCAATTCAAAAAAATGAGAAAAAATTCGGATTGTCCAAATTGAAGGATATAATTTTTTTTTCTTTAGCCAATAAATCAATGTATTATATTGCATTCATTATCCAATGAGTAGTTACACATAATATTAGCATATAACACTCTTGCTGTTTACAAATACAAATTTTGATTTGATTATTTTGTTTAAAGCTATTCTATTTATAGTGATCTCTTATATAACATGTTGTATAAAATATCTATATTACTATTATTGTATTTCATGAATCTTTTTTCATTAATAAAATTTTATTGGAAAAATTTCAACTTTTCATTAATCTAAATTGACATCTGTGATGCTTCCTATTCTGTTACAACTATTAAAGCTTACATTTAAATTCGAATTCAAAATTTCAAAATTTTTTAAATTGATCAATACAATGATTTTAATAATATATATTTGTTTGTGCTTTTAAATTTCTTAAGCTTTCAAAATTTAAGAGAATTGATAACTTAATACAATATGATCTTAATGATATAATAATTAATAATTCGCAAAATGTAAAAAAGTCTTCTCAAAACTAAATTCAATGCCTTTCAATCGAGATTTTGAGGTAACTTTATATTAAGGATGTTACGAAGACTTTGCGGATATTTATTCTACAATAAATTAGATTCTTATTTTTATATTTTTTATGACTTATTTTTGATAGTTTTCGTTCAGAAATTTTAATCATATTTTAAGTAAACATATATTAGTATTCTTCATTATTTGTTTGGCGCAGATCGCCAACCAAATAGTGAATATTTCAATTTTTCAAAAAATTATTAAATTTGGCCGAAGGTGGCGTGCTTGCCCTTCGGGCAAGCGAAGCCACCTGAGGCCCCAAATTATATTTGATCAAATAGAGTGGGGGACAAACTCGCCCATTGTCACTTTTTCATTAACCTTAAACTTGTAATTTTCATTATTTTTAATTAACCTTATTTCTTTCCCAATTCCTGATTTATTTTATTCACTTACTATTAAAAGTCACATTTTAATAAAATATAATAATTTATTTATAGCATTTTTTACTATACTGTAATAAAAAATTAATTATAATAAATTAAATGTTTATTAAATCAAATGTTTTCTTTGCAATAATATTTTTAATGTTGAGTAAACAATGTTGGGATCAAGTGTATCATTTTTCAGACCTTTCTGAACAGCTTCAAGCATACTGATGCATTCGACTTTTTTAAATTGTGTCATTTCTTCGAAATCTCTTGTGACTTTTTTGATAACTTTAACACTTCTCTCTGAATCCAGACCTTTAATTTGCAACTTAATCAGGAATGAAGGAACAACACTGGAATATAACTCGATGACAAGTTCATCGAGTCGAAGATTTGGTTGTACACCACTTGTATGTGCCGGATACCATTGTGTCAAATTTTTTCTGAAATTAACTTTAAAAGTACTAAGTAAGATCATGAGATATAGCAATATATGTTTAAACCAACTTATATTTTGGTTGTACACCACTTGTATGTGCCGGATACCATTGTGTCAAATTTTTTCTGAAATTAACTTTAAAAGTACTAAGTAAGATCATGAGATATAGCAATATATGTTTAAACCAACTTATATTTTGGTTGTACACCACTTGTATGTGCCGGATACCATTGTGTCAAATTTTTTCTGAAATTAACTTTAAAAGTACTAAGTAAGATCATGAGATATAGCAATATATGTTTAAACCAACTTATATTTTGGTTGTACACCACTTGTATGTGCCGGATACCATTGTGTCAAATTTTTTCTGAAATTAACTTTAAAAGTACTAAGTAAGATCATTTATTTTTGCATAATATAATGCCAATATGGTTTCTTTTGATTTTATTTCATTTATAAGCAAATCAGATTTACCCAAAAACTCCACTCCATAAGCGTTCATTTGCTAAATTAAAAAGTGACAATGGGCTAGTCTGTCCCTTTCTCGATCAAATATATATCTTCACACTGCAGATCAATAAATCACATGATATGTTTGTTTAAAGTTAGTTTTCTGAGTAAGAAAATAGTCAACAGAACGTAGGTCCATATTAATCTTCTTTTTTTGGCTTATAAATGACAATTTGAAAGCAGAATAGATAACGATTATTTTTCTTTGAAATCACTTTCCATTCAAATTGTCGTTTATTTTCTATGGATTTTGAAAATGGCGTTCTAAACTTCATAAATTCGATGTATAGGAATGATAAAGCACCACTAACACTTGATAGTGGTCTTAAGGAGCTTGCTCAGAAAGAAATACGTGATTACAAAGGAAATGGAATTCCAAATCAAAGTTTTTACTTTAAAGTCCCAATAACACAAACACCAATTGATGGATCAATGTTATCTACGATAATTATCCAGCAAATTATTATCAACTCAGACGTAACATTTGATTTTAAATCAGATCAAGTTTCAAAGCTTGGTATTGCCTTCCAATTGAAGAGCAAGTCAATTGCAGCACTATTTATATCAAATCGTATATTAAAACAGCAGTTTGAATTTTGTAATCAAAAAAGCATCTCAATTACTCCAAAATCAATGAAGAAACAAGTCAAAATTGTACAACCAGTATCATCCCCTGCTAATTCCAAGGTATTAAAGCATTCTCCGCCATTACAAGTCAAAGATCGACCAAAGAAAGCAAAAGAACCAATAATAGAAACGAACAATTACCTTATTCGTGTAAGATCTGAAGCTCAGCAAGTCGTAACATTGATAGAAGAGTTCTTAAACGAAAAAAGGAGAGGTGCACAGCTTCCGGAGCTTAAATGCGATAAAGACACGCTTAAGATATTTATGGAAATGCACAGAAGAACAATTCTGTCAAGCGATAGTGTTGAAAAAGAGAATTACAGCAATTTTGAAAGTTATTACGATAAAACATTTGTTTTTACTCAAAATCAGGAAGAATCGATGAAGAACTTCGTAAGCATCGTTCAGGATCATCTCTGGAAGCGAATTTCAGATGAAACTCACTCTTATATGGAATTATTCAAAGCCTGTGACACATTGCTTGTTTCTGTTTTCGAAACCCGAAAATTCTTCTCTGCAGTTGTTTTATTAGGTCAAAAGAAGCAAAATCCGGTCCTTCCAAGATTAGATGATCTTACAACGAAAAATGAGGAAAAAATGCTTTTAAATGTTGTTTTCTACAACGTAATAGCATTCAGGAGTAATAATGACAGAGAAAATCTTAAAACAACTCAGTTATTGAAGGACCGCGCAATGAAAATTTCTCGAGAGTACAAAGGACAAATAAACAAGTGCCCAAGCTCGTTCTTCTATAGCTCGAAGAGAGCTAAAGGTCTATTTTTATGCGTAAATCCTAATAATTCTCTTGTCGAAAGCTGCAACCTGATCAAGAACCTTGAAAAGCTCCAGAAAGAATATATACTTGATGAAAACTGCAAAGGTGTTGGTATTGGTTTATGGACAGATAAGGATAAGAAATTAATTTTTATTACGTTAGATAAATAAATGTATTTATATATTATAAATAAGTTTATCCAGCATAAACAATTTTGTAATACATTCTGGCCTCTTTTTGCGACGGAATTATTGATCAAGTTTTTTATTTCGGGATTTCTTCCTCAAAAAAATTTGAAATTATATCAGCTTTCCCTCATTGCGAGTGGGAAAATTGTTGATGGGATTTAATTCAAAGCTGGATACAATTTTGATAACGAGAATTGGCCGGATAATCGTTGAAATATAAATTGAAATAAAATTTATCTATCGTAATGAAAATTGAGTAATAGTGATGTAGCTCATTTTAATTCGAGAAACATTATGATTCCAATTCAATTTTTGTCACTTCATTTTTCATTTATTGAGATGAGTGAAGATAAACCTTTCGTCAATATTCATTCATTGATTTCCTTAAATGGTAAGATGGTCGGCCCATACTGGTACACTGAAAATGGTAAAGTTTCTATGAGTGATTATGAATGGACATCAGCCAGTTACAAGCCAGATGCATGGCTTTGGGGAAGAAGAACATTTGATGCTGTTTTGCCATCAATTGATAACCCATCTGTTAATGAAAATGAGACAGAATGACCAGAAGGAGACTTTTATGCCGTAACCGATGCAAAAATGTACATTGTTGGCATTGATCCTTCAGGGAAACTTCCATGGGACAGAAATACCATTAAATTCAACGAACGTCCAGAAGCTCATGTAATTGAAATTTTAACAGAAAAGGCATCTCCACAATATAAGAATCTCCTTCGTCGCCTTAAAGTTTCATACATTATAGCTGGCAAGGATGACATTGATTGGAAATCTGTAATGTCAAAATTAAAGAAAGATTTCCACATTAATGTGATTTCTGTCGAAGGTGGTGGTATGATTAACTGGAGTGTCTTGAAAGCTAAGATTGTTGATGAAGTTAGCATACTTATGTCTGCTGCAGCTGATGGAACTAGAAGTATTTCACTTTTCGAGCCAAATCCTTATGAAACAAATACTGATCCAATGGAATTTACATTGAAATCTGTGGAGAAGATCAACTCAAATGAAATTTGGATCAAATATATTCCAAAATATTAAATTATTTTAAACATTATCATTGATTTATTATCTTATTTTCTTTTCTAAATTTCCCTACTACCAATTATCATTTTGCTCAGCTTATCCATTACTTAATTCAATATTTGATAGTATATTGAACAAGAATGATTTATAGTTGATATAGAACGAAATAAGTAACATCAATTCTATGCTTTTGGACTCAAAAAGTAGCATTATCTCAAATAATGTTTTATTTTTTCAATACATCTTTAATATTATAATCATCACACATAAATTTGGGAAGAGCAAAAATATCGCATAGTATGATATCTTTTATAATATTTTTTGGAATGTGTTTATTTGAATCAATCAGATTTGCTTTGATCATATCATTGCATCATGAGAAACAAGAAGTTGGAGTATTTCTTTATTATCATTCCATTTTGCATAATGACAAGCGGTAAAATTAGAATAATCTTTTTCATTGATATTTGCCCCATGTGAAATAAGAAGTTCGACGGTTTCTTTGCAATTTTTGTATGCTGCATAATGAAGAGCGGTTTCTCTCCATTTATTTTTTTCATTGATATTTGCACCATGCGAAATAAGAAGCTCGGCTATTTCTTTATTATTATTCTTTGCTGCATAATGAAGAGCAGTGAATCCATTATTATTTTTTTCATTGATATTTGCACCATGTGAAATTAGAAGTTCGACCATTTCTTTATTATTATTCTTTGTTACATAATGAAGAACGGTGAATCCATTATTATTTTTTTCATTGATATTTGCACCATGTGAAATAAGAAGCTCGGCTATTTCTTTATTATTATTCTTTGTTACATAATGAAGAGCAGTGAATCCATTATTATTTTTTCATTGATATTTGCACCATGTGAAATTAGAAGTTCGGCAGTTTCTTTACTGTTTTTCTTAGCTGCATAATGAAGAGCAATTTTCCCATCTTTATCTTTTTTATTGATATCTGCACCATGTGAAATAAGAAGTTCGGCAGTTTCTCTGCTATTAAATTGTGCTGCTATATGAAGAGCAGTTTTTCCATTATCGTTTTTGCTATTGATAATTGCACCATGTGAAATAAGAAGTTCAGCTATTTCATTGCTATTATTTTGTGCTGCATAATGAAGAGCGGTAAAACCATGTATATCTTTTTCATCGATAATTGCACCATGTGAAATAAAAAGTTCGGCGGTTTCTTTACATTTATTTTGTGCTGCGATATGAAGAGCTCTTCTTCCATTTTTAGCCATTTTATAGATACATGCACCATGTGAAAAGAAATATTTGCAAAGGGATGGAATATTGAACCATGATGAATTAATATAGCAATTGCTAACATCATTAGTTTGAACGAAATATACTAAAAATGATTCAAGATTATTGAAAATTCCACAGTATTCTAAATCGATCTTCAAATTGTATTCATTCATCAAGAATGTAACAAAATCGATGTTGTGTGAAATAATTGCATATTCCATGCAATCATCATTTGGTTTTTGATATTTCAAACATTCACTCATGATCTCTGGATTTCCTCCTAAAAATGATAATGCTAGAGATTTTTGAGTTATTTTTGAGATGAATTTTGTTCTTAAGAACTTGAAACAATCAACTGCTCCGTGATAGCAACATAATTCAAGTAATGAATATCCTTTATAATGAGATGGATATAAACTACTTTCAAGTTTTTGATTTTTATCAAATCCATCTCTTTCAGTGAATGAGATGAATTTTTCTAAGTCATTATACATAATTGCTCTGTAAATTGTATTTTCTGTATGAATATCCAGATTTTCTGAGTTGAAATTTTTGAAATTAGCAAAATCATATATTTTAATTCCAAATTTTTTGCAATATATGTAGTTAGAAATTTATTTTACATCGCTGACCATTTTCACTTGATAATCATCAGATATGAGTTTGGCAAGAAATAAATATGACTTTGTATAACGATTATTATACGGAATGATACATAAAATATCTCGCATAATTATTTGGGGATGATATTTATTTGAATCAATCAATTCTGTTTTGATAAGTTTGTATATCTTGATTAATTCTTCCTCATTTTCCGTTTTTAGCTGATACAACGCATTAAATGTATCGATGTAGTATTTGTAACTACTGCGGAATTTAGTGTATTTATCTGGATGAACGTCTTGCTCAGACATAAGAAAATTCTAATTCTTAAGAAAACTAAAAATTCCGAAAATATGCATTCTTGCAAAAAATATGCATCTTTCCATTATAATTCCTTGAAATTCAGTATGATAAAAAAAATTTCCAACATTTTCTTCTTATTTCATATGGGGTTTAGCAATTTTTGATATTTAGAGCTAGTATAGAGCTTTGTTCATATTGGTTTATCATATATATACTTGTATCTTCATACAACAATGCAAATCGGCACAAAAATTAGAAACTGCATGAATATTTCGATAAGATTGATTTTCTATTTGCAATCCATCATAATCCCATCATATTTTCACTCGAATTTTAGTTTTCAAAAATTGAACGAATTAAATCGAGAAAAACCATTGGAGAAGAATTTAAAATAATTTTAAAGATATTTAGAATTGATATGAAGTGGTGAATCTGATTTTTAAATGCAACATTTTCGGGGGATAGCATCATATTGAAAAAATAATCTTACTTTTAAAATGTAAAACGCATTTTAATGAATAAGATTAGAAATGTATTTATCAGTGCATCTGACTAAAAATCAATTAGTTTTATTGAACTTCTAAAATCGCATTGAAAATTTCAATAAATTTTTTCATCTAAATTTTTATTGTTGATTTCAGCATTTCATTGCATTTGTAAAGCATTTTGTAAAATCAAATTTACGATTTTTGTGAACTATGAATTGTGATTTTACTGGAATTTTAACATTTGGATTATATGTAATATGTTAATGATTTTCTCTTTTAAATTGTGAGTGTATATTATTGAATGCTTCCACAAAATTTTCAATATGGATGTTTTTTTGTCATATTTCATAGTTCAACAAAGGCACATGAACGCCGAGAATCCATATACATCCCTCAGCAACACAGAATTTAACCAGTTAGCTGAAGTAAGCGAAGAGGAAGCTCAGGATATTCTATCTCGTTTCTTCCTTAACCAGCGCGAAGGATTTTTCAACAGTATTCTTGTTCTTGCTCAAACAATTAAGGATGCTTACTATTATCATCTCTCAGTAAACAGGAAGTTCACACTTGCTCAGCCAAAATCACTTGTTACCTTATTCGCCGCAAATTTGTTCCAATATTGCGACGCATTAGCTCCATACATTGATATGCTTCCTGATATGTTCTTAGCTCTCAGAAAGGCTCATCAAGATCTTCTTACTTGCGGCACAATTTGCCTTAATAGCGATCTTACAAAGGTTATGGTTATTGCTCATACAATCACACCACATCAGTTTGCTTTTCCAAAAGGAAAGATTGATGAAGGTGAAACACCAGTAATGGGCGCAATTCGTGAAACAGAAGAAGAAACTAACTTTAATGTCTCTCAATACATCCATCAGAATCATTTCTTCTCATATAAGAGGAAATCAAATTCAGAAGGAATTTTCTTCTTTGCCACAGATGTTCCAGAAATTGAACTTAAGCCAGCTCTTCCACAGGAAATATGCCGCATTGGATGGGTTGACATTAATACAATGAAGAGTGATGACGGATACGAGTGGACACCGGATGGTCCAACTGCTTTAATCTTCAAGAATCAGCTTCCTGCATTTGTTGAATCGCAGAAACTCCTTAACAACAGCCAATATATATAATATTATTTGTTTTTTTATATTAAATTTGTTTATATGTTTTTATAGTTAATTGTTTAATCTATTTAATTGGTTATATTATATGTTGTCGATTTTATGAATAATAATTCCCTGATATTGTGGATTTTAAATTCGAAATCGATTAAGACATAATATTGTTGCGATACTCTTCTACATTCTTTTTTACATAGCATATCAACAGAAGAAAATGCTATTAATTACTGATAATTTGTTGTTAAGTAAATACAAAAATTTTATTTACAGTTTTTGAAGCTTAATTCCTAATATATTATGATTAGGAGTTGAACCATAGATTTTTTCATATATTTTAATGCCTTCTTCTAAACTTGTAACACCAGGAAGAATATTATTCAGCCCTTCAGTGTTAATTAGAGATTTAAACGATGAATACTTTTTAATGTCTACAACTTTAACTTGAAATGCTCGCTTGGAACCTGTGTCAGAATTATAAAATTCGATAATATCTCCAGGTTTTATTTTAGACCATTCTTCTCTTTCAAGTCTGCCCTCGATTGTCTTTTTTCCTTGCTCAACATAAGAAAACCAAGGCTCGCTGAGGTGCTTACTAATCATTCTAAGTTGGCACTTTTTAAAAAAAATTGAATTCATTTACTAAAAATCTCTGATTTTATTGAATGCAGCCATTCTAATTAGCTAAATGGTTTAATGGCTTATATTGGCAGCTTATGCAATGATCAAATGAATTGACTTACCAAGTATTAGTGTATCTATACCATTCTGATTCATATAAAGTATTATTGTTAAATTTATATCTCTTAAATCATTTTCTAGTACCTGTTACACATAAGATTAGTGTCTTGTCAAAAAAATCTATGCTTTTTAAGGGTCCACTGTAAGGCCAAATAAGGCCTATCGTCGCCCCAAAAATATTGCTCAAGATGGTGTTTTTACTAAGGCCCAAAACTTAAAAAAACACAAAAAAATTAACTCTACTCTTTTGAGATCCCTATCAGATGTGCATCAATTTGATGCAGTATCGCAATTCGAATCCGATTTTTTAATGTAGATGTACTCTAACATTCTTGAAAAAATGCAAAACAATATTAATTAAGCTTTTCATTTCTGTATCATACACGAAACAAAATCATTCATTATACTAAAATTTATCAAAGTTTGAATAATGAAAAAAATAATATCTAAATTTTTACATTGAGTCGTCTATTGATATGGTTAATATTAAGTCGTGCAAAAATGGGTATTGGCCAGAATAATACCCACTAAAATACACTTTTTTTTAAATTTTTTCAATTTGTTATGGTGTATCTTTATGATAATCAATAAAATGCTTATTTTTCATAAGTAAATACATACTTTATGCTTAAACACAAAAAATAACACCAAAATTTTTGACCAACATATCTAAACTAAGGATAATGTTTTGAATATATAAACAATAATACTTTGTCTAGAGAATTAAATTTGTGCTATCCAATTGTCAATTCTTTGAATTTTTTTTAAAATGCACGGTATTCCGGCATTAGCCTCAATAAATATAAACTACATGCATCATAATATTAGTTTGTAATGGCATTAAAGCGAAATTCTTAATTTCTTCTCAATTAAATTCCTAGAAAAACATCGGAATTAATGATTGGAAATAGGTCAAAAAAATTCCTAATATAAAACTTATACTTAAAATTAAATCAAAATTCGAAAATATCTATTTTTCAAAACATGCATCCAAAAGCGAAAATATTCGAAAAAATCTTGTTCTTATAAAACTCGCTGATTTTGCAATTTTTATGCGATTTGAAGTGATAGAATATATTATCATCTTATTAAAGCATATACTTCATTGTTACATTTACAAAATATTAATCAGAACACTAGGGAAAGTGTATTTTCGAAAAAAGACGATATTGATTATTTGCAAATTGCCTCTCAATTTTGAGAGACTTTCAATTTTTACAGTGGACCCTTAAAATTGTTTGATATCTCAAGTCCTATTCCGAACTCTTTTTGGGCAAACCCAAATTTTAGCTAAAAGTGACAGGGGAAAAAAACGTTTTGTATTAAAAAAAAAGACCGATGAGAGCTTCGTTCGAAATATAGAGGGAACTGAGAATGCGCAACCATTCTCAGGGAATATTGGATGCTATTCCCGTTCCCTCTGTATGGAAAATTGAGGTTTTCAAAGGGAGTTAAAATAATATCAAATTTATACTAATTTACTTCAAAATACAAAAGTATTTGACAGCTAAAATTAGTTACTTTAGCAAGCCTATCAATACCCTTTTACGATTATTGTTACTTTTTCGAAATAAAAGTAAAAACAAATTTATACTAATTTACTTCAAAATACAAAAGTATTTGACAGCTAAAATTAGTTACTTTAGCAAGCCTATCAATACCCTTTTACGATTATTGCTACTTTTTCGAAATAAAAGTAAAAACAAATTTATACTAATTTACTTCAAAATACAAAAGTATTTGACAGCTAAAATTAGTTACTTTAGCAAGCCTATCAATACCCTTTTACGATTATTGCTACTTTTTCGAAATAAAATAAATTTATTATCAAAAACCTTTTTTTTCTTAGTAAAAATAAACGAAATTTTTTACCTTATGAACTTTTGATGGAAATATGCAAATTTAAAATAATAAAGAAAGCCGCGAGCGAAGCGATCGGCTTAGTTCGAAGATTTTGATTCAAATCTTTGCTGATCTGTAATTCGCGGAAGCCGCGAGCGAATCGAGCTGCTTAGGTCTAAGATTTTGATTCAAATCTTTGCTTATATTCCTTAAATTCTTTATGAAACTCGCAACAGTTCCATAAAAAATTTTAAATTCTAAACTGTCGAAATTACCGATCGGGAATCACACCCTTCACGGGTGTGTCACTTTTTACAGGCATGTCACTTTTAGCTAAAATTACCCCTACTCAACAATTTTGACAATTTCATTTCAAATTTAATGGATGAATACAAGGATGATGAAGCACAGAAGCAAAGCAAGTTAACAAATCCGAACGAATGTGATATAGAGAATTACATTTCAATGCTATTTCAAGAAAATATTTATCAACAGATTACTGGTTTCCATATTCTAAAACAACTGGCCAAAAGAAATCCACACATCTTCACAGATCAAGATATTCTTAGGAAAATAATGGAAATTCTTAAGTATCCACAAGATGATCTTGGTATAAATTCTGAAATTCAAGAATCTTCCTTAACAACAAGGCATGATTTGTATTTTGAATTCTTGGAAACGCTTGCAAGCACATCGAATGAAATCAGAGATATTGTTTTTTATGAAAATGATGAAGTTATTAATTCAATTTTTGATGAAATTTCATTAAACCCAATGCCACAAGTACTGAAAGCTATTTTAGGAGTTGTTTACGTGCTTTGCCAACACAATTCTGACTTTTCACAGTATTTTACTGAAAATTTTTTAGAAAATGCTGCAGAACTATTTCAATTAGCAAAAACTTTCAAGACTCCCTCAGAAAAGCACTACTGTATTCAATCACTTTTGAAAATTCTTCCATATATTTTTCAAAAATTTACTTTAGAGAATCAGCAAGTACCTCCTTTTGTATTCGAGATTATCATTTATGCTTTTGAACTCAAAGAATCAACAGATGTTATAAAACTAGCTCTTTCTTCGATTTCAAACATAATTATCGTATTGGATGGAAATAATTGTGATTCTTTAGTAAATCCCGACTTTATTCATAAAGCATTAGAGCTAGTCACTTCAAAAAATGTAGATATACAGCTAAATGCTATGATTTGTCTCAGAAATTATTCATCACTTGATGATTCTTTAGTTATGCCTCTTGTTCAATTTGGAGTTCTAGAAATAGACTATAGTCAACTTGAAAATGATAAAATTCAAAAAGAATATTGGGAAATGATCAAAAATATTTCTGCTTGTTCAGATCTTGATATTTTAGCTGCATTTGAAGCAAGTACTTGCTTCCAACTGATACTACAAGCTGATTATGATACTGTGCCATACTTTTTCTCTAATTCTGCTGCAATAATTGTATCAAGAATTTTATCTCGCGATACATCATTCGCACAAAGGATAATTAACAATTACCATACATTGCTTGATGTTGTTTTAAGGTCAATTGAGTCAATTCGAAAAGATGACGTCTTTCCTGTTTTGAAAATGATCTACAATTTAATCAAGATAATTAATATCGACCCCAATGGCTTTATTACACCATTGATTGTTGAGAAATTGCAAAATGAAGATTTAATTGAATTTATTGAAGAATCTACTGATTCTGATAACAAAAGAGTCGAGACACTTGCAGAAAAGATTTTATCAGAGCTCCCTCAGGATCAGGAATAATATATTATTTGTTTTAAAAATCTAAATATGTTTAATAATTTTCTTGAATTTTTAGAATATAGGGTCGATTCATTGGCAAACAATAGTTATTTTTAGGAGTATAAGCTGTTTGTATTGTATGAACCATGAAATACTGATTACATATGGAAAATTATCAAAAAAAGTTCAAAATAATGCTATATAATATTAGGCGAAAACTATCCTTTAAAAGTGTGCATGTTAATTATTATAGTATTGGACACCAATCAAAGGCTCAATTAATAGAAGAAACCGTCAAAACCGTTTGGTCGACCTTTTCGTGGATGCCTTTCAAACAATTCGTTGAAATCGGCCGTGTTGCCCTCATTAACTTCGGTGAACTTGTTGACAAGCTTGCTATCATCGTTGATATCGTTGACGACAAGCGCGTTCTCATCGACGTTCTTGAATTCGATGCTCCACGCCAGACCATCCCAATCCAACGCCTTAAGCTCACCGACTACGTCGCTAAGATCCAGCGTAATGCTGCTCCAGAAGCTGCTAAGGCCGCTGCTAAGGACTTCATCAAGCAATTCTACGAATCTGCTTGGGGCAAGCAAGTCATCGCTCGTAAGAACAAGGCTCAGATGAACGACTTCCAGCGTTTCAAGTATGCTCAGCTTGAGGCCAAGCGTGATGCTCTTGTTGCTAAGGAGCTCAACAACCACTAAAGATAAGATTTTTCCTTAAATGCCTTGCCTTATTTTCTTAATACAGCATACTAAATTTATCAATTTTACATTCTAAAATAGATTTTATTAAGTTGAAAAAAAAAATGAAAAAATTAATCAAATTGGATCATATCCAGCTTGATCTAAATGATCTAATTCTTGCCATGGTTCGGTAATAAACAATAATCCCATGGCAAAACTGAACAGATCTGATACTGGGAAGCACCAAATCGTCCAATAAACTTTGTGTAGTGGATTTGAGAAGAAAATAATCGTTGCAAAAAGTGGCACTGGCAAAAATCTTGTTACGAAAGACAAAACGATTGCTCTTGTTGCCAAATCCATTGCTTGGATAAATGTTGCGCAAATAAATTCTATACCTAAAAGCGCAGCACATAAGTAGTAAGTTCTTGTCATTTTCGTAACAGCTGTAACAAATCCGATATCACTATCGAAAAGTGACGCTATTTTTCCTCCTAATGTCATTAATATCGCTTCCATTATTCCGCACCATAATATACTGAGAATGAAGCCAGTAATCAAGAGTTTCTTCACTCTTGTACCATCTCTTCGTCCAATGGCGTAGGAACAAGCAGGGAATGTGCATATGGATAAGGCCATGGCATAAGAACCTGGTAATGACCAGAACTTGGATACTGGGTTGAATGCAGCGAACATTTCTTTGTAAGTTCCGTTTAATTTTGAGCCCATTTCGATGTATTTCCTAGATACGAACGAAGGGATTGTGAAACAGAACTGAGAAATGAAATTTGCGAAACCAATTTTGATCGCAGCAAATGTGTATGCTGAAATACCGCAAAAGAATATGTTTTTGAGTGCGCATTGTGATTCGAACTGTTTGAGGGCAAATAATGTCCCGAAAACAACGAGCGCAATGAAATCTGAAAGAATTTTCGCGTATGCAGCGCCTTTAAGGCCAAATCTGCAAACACCAATGAAAATTGGATCGAAAATAGCCATATTAAGAGTGCATGCAATTGTCTGATCAATGCCAGCGATGAGAGATTTTCCTTCCGATTGTAAACAGCCGCAAAGAAAGACATTTATGATAGATACACCACATCCAATGATTGAGGGGAATAAGTAGTCTTGGCCGGCTTTCCTAATTTCGCCATCAGCGCCGAAGAAAGTAAGCATTGGATCAACGCATGGTAAAAGTATTGCTGGTGTAATTACTGAGAGTATAATCGCGAATCTTAGTAAGTCTGCAAACACTTGAGGGCATTGATCTGATTTGCCTTCACCACGAAGCAATGCTAATTTGTATGCTGCAGCATAACCCATAAATGCACTGAAGGCTTTGATGATAAGCTCCATGACAGTAACAATTGTCATAGCAGCGTTACCAACTTCGAATGTATATGCAGATATCCAATATGTATCCATTAATTCGTAAAGAGCTTTGAAAATTTCGGCCAGAAATGGACCTCTTGAGCACATTAAAATCGTTGCCAATGGATTTCGCTTTCCGAAACTGTTGTAGATTTTATCGGCAATAGGCTCTGGAACTTTGACAGGAGAACTATCGCTAGAAAATGATTCCTGAGATTTCGATCTAGATAGTCTGTTAAATTCTTTGTTCAAACCATTCATAGATTGCGAGCGATAAAGTTTTTTTCCTGACATTAATAAAAAATGAAAGGTTTCACACCGAATTCATAATATTTATTATTTATATGGTATGGATATCAACAATAGATGTGTGAACTCTGAATAAATTTTTGTCATAAATTTCAAAAAAATTGAAATCAAGGATAAGCGGATTATATCGAATCAGTCCATAATCAAAAGCTTATTCCAATAAATAAAACTTAAAAATAATAAACTACAAAACAATATTTATTCAATTATTAAAAGCAAATGCTTTGAAATTCCTTTCATTATCTCCCTCTCTTGATGGCGATCGATCTGTGATGCACCAGGCCAATTAAATTGAAATGTTGTTATTATTAAATTGATAAATTTGTTCAATTTTTCTTTTTCTATGTCCTGTACATACATGTTATGGGAAAATAGTGACACTGCGTACGATTCTATCATCAGAGAAGCAATAATTGCCGAATTTATACTCTGATTCTGACTGTTTTTGCAAATTGATTTAATTTTATCAATATATAAATGAAAATTATTGATAAAATCGTTGCTGGAGAGAGATTCTTCACAAGAAATTACTTTTGCAATAAATTTGCGAGAAAGCCATTCATGAATCAAAAATCCTGCTGGAGAGTGATAGTCTAGATTGTGGTATACGTTGTAGTAATTTTGGATGCATTTTGGTTTCAAATCATTGCTGATTAAATCTGAAAGCTCAGTAACAAGAACAACACTTGGTAATTCGGTAGTTTCAAGTAATTCATTGAAATAATCTATGAATTGCTGTGGAAGTTCTTTCTTGAAATGAGATAAAACTAATAAACAAAGTTTAATTAGGGAAATTTCGATTTTCTTCGAATCAAATACCTCGGTATTATAGAATAAACTCTTTCTGCAACATGATATTGCATATGGTGTAATCGATGGTGTTGAAATTCCAGATTCAAGAATGAAAAATAAGAATGGTTCAAAATCTAAGCTGTAATCAGGGAAATTTGAAGAATATTTCTTGATTTCATCGTAAATTTCTATATTTTCTGTTAAAATCATTTCCTGAAGTAAAGTAAAAATTATATGAGGCGACATCGCAATCATTTTATCATGGTTCATGATTGTATGCCATAACCATTCGGTTAGGCGAGGGAAGCATAGAATTTCAAGTTGATCTGAATTAATAAATTTTGAAATCAGTTCTGGAGTTAAAATTGGCTCCAAAAACTGATCGATATTCATTAAACTAATCTCATTAACTAAATTTTTGTTTTCAACTCCTTCAGAGTTTGAACTCTCTTCACCATCTGAAATCATTGAAAAAGAAAAAATGAATATTTATCATATAAAAGGAACACAAATAGAAAGACCTAAGTTGGTATATTGGTATTGCAGATATATACTCATGTCCAATACTTAAAATTATTATCAAACAAATAATCTCATTGATAAAGATTAGCAAATCTATCTCGAATAGTTAAAAAGGAATTCAGTGATTTCTAAACAATAACCTGATAAATAATAGTTTTTTATTTTGATTTCTCTAACATAATAAAATTAATTGAGCTTTAAACCGACTTTAGCTCTCATTTCTTCAACAGACAATGGCTTCATAACACCAGCGAGAAGATCCTTTTCAGAACCATTGCGGTCTGTAGATACATCAAATACTTTAGAAGAATTAGGAATAAGAATTGTTCTCTGTGAGCTAAGCTTCCTATCTCCACTTGATGAAAATTCTCTTGAATCAACAGAAATATTAGTTGTGTTTGCAAGAACTTCATCCATAAATGCTGCAAGTTTGTTTTCAATCTGTGTGAGGCAGTATGATGAATTGAGTGGAGTAACATGCTTCTTTTCATCTGGCATACCATCCCAAGGCAATTCTAATGTAACATATAATTCCTCAAGGGATTCATATACTTTCTTGATTTGAGCATCATTTGTATCTTTAATTGCTGAATGAGTAGCAAGGCCCTTCTCAGTGTTTTCCATTTGTTCTGCAAGAACTTTAAGCTTTGCATTCTGTTGTTCTTCTGTCAATTCAACATTTGAATCGAGTTCAGATGATCTTTGTGTTAGAGCATCGATTTCATCGATCAAACTAGATTTTTCGGCACCACGTTGAACAACAAAGTTAAACAATGAATAGTTTTCATTCTCAAAGTTTGCTAATTTATCAAATAATTCATCTAATTTCTGGCATTTGTTAGCTGTAATAATTTGATTTACCAATGATGACTTTGTATCAATTTCCTTCTGCAATTCTTCCTGTTGATCAGTTTGGTTTGTGCTTTGACTTGATAATGATGGAATTGGAGCTTGCTCTGCATGAGGATGCATTGCAAGAAGGCTTTGGCCTTCAATCATTTGATTAAGACGATTTAATTCTGCTTCATCTTCAGCTTGATCTTGTTTTTCTTCTTTTTGAAGTAAAACGAGATCAATTTTCTTTTGATCACGGATTGTATATGATTTATTTGATTGGTCGATAAGAGATGCAATGTTATCTGCATTACGTGTTTGTTCTTTATCTAATTTTCCGTAAACTTCGTTGAAATTTTGCCTTTCTTGAATAAGTTCTTCAATTTGTGTTCTTGATGCATCGAGTTTCTTAAGTTGCTTATTGTAAGCGTTGAGTGCTTGGTCAAGTCTGTTTTCGATTGTGCGCACTTTAAATTGAAGATTTTCATTTTCTTGGGCTTGAGCAAACATACCGCCTGCTCTTGATCTTGCTTTGGAGACTTGTTCTTCGAGTCTTCTTCTTTTATCATCTTCAGCCTTAAAATCGGCTTGTAAAATTCCTAATTTATTTGTTAGGTTTTTCTTTTTGGCAACAAGGTTCTGACGTTCTTCACTTGATTTGTAATCTCGTATGTTTTTCTCATATCCTTCGATTTCTTCTTCATACTTCGTTATTTGCATTTTAATCGTTTCATTTGCCTGTTTTTGCTTATCAATTGCTCTTTGTTGTTTACGAACTGTGTTAAGGATATCATCCTGAGGGAATTTCATCATCCGCAACTTGTTGCGGAGCTCTTTTACCTCCTGAGGATTCTCCATTTTAGAACTTTAAAAAAACGGACGTTTATTTGTCACTTTTATGGATTTTACAAATAAAAAGTGAACGTTTAAGATTTTAAGAAAAATGGATCCTTCCAATGTATTAATGAAGAGAAAAGTAGGCGGTGTTAGAGTAGCAAGAACAACAACTCGAAACTCTCAAACGACGAACCAAGATAAATACACAATTCAGTACTTTCAACAACTGATTGATATCGAAACAGTTTGCGAGAACGCTTTAAGGTCGTTAAGACTCGAAGTTGAAGAAAATAATGATATTCTTCAAAAGGTTCAAGAAGAACAATGGAAGAACCAATTTGATATCCCTATTTTTACAAAATATTAAATAAAAAGAATGTTTGTATTGATATTAGCAATTAAAATACTATTTGTTTTTATTGTGCATGTTCTTTTATGCTAATTCATGTAATTCTTCGAAAAAATCGAAAAAAGATGAGTAAAACTTGTAAGAAGAAACATTTAGACAAAGATAAAGTTTTATAAATATATAAGAATAGTATGATGAAGTAAGTTAAATTTCGATGTTGAATTCTGGGAGTCCTAAATCTAATACATCAAAGGACCCATCACTCTTGTTAAGAAGATTATTCTGGACAATTGATCTCCTTGGCTTCCTTCTCTTCGGCCAGTTGAGCTTACTTGGCGATGCAAGCTCTTCGAGATCAATTAAAGATTCACTATCAGAGAAATTCGTAGCAACAGATGGAGCAACTGTTGAAATTGATGATGAGAACTTGATTGGTGAAGCTGGGAGTGCAGAATTATTGTTGCAGTTCTCATTCTGCTTTGCAGAAGCAGTAAATTCATTAGAAACAGCAGAAAATTCAATAATCTTGCCCATTTCTAATTTAACTGAGTTGTTTCTTGGCTTGACATTCTTATGTACTGGTTTCCTTGTTTTATTCTGAATTGGTGTTGTTGTTGTATGGATAGATAAGACAGGCTTTGTTTCTATTTCTAAGTCTGAATCCATAATGAATTCTTCACTTGCTTTGAGTGGATTGAATTCTGTTTCAAATATTGGTTTTGGAATGTTTTGGAGTTCATCTTCTGGTCTAGAAATTTGAACTGGTGTTTTAGATGCCTTTGGAGTTTCCATGATTGAAGAATCATTTCTCCTTCTGGATTTCTTGGTTTCGCTTGGATTGATAAGGTTTGAATTTGCATTGGAATTCTCCTTTGTATTCCTGATAATTGAGTTTCTACTAACAGGAATACCTGATTTGCGGCGTGAAGTTTCAGCCTGAATTGGTTGTTTTTGAACTTCTGGCGCTTTCTCATGAGGTTCAATGATTGTTGTTTGAACTTTTTCTTCTTTTTGTGGTTCTTCAACTGGTTTTTCTTCTTTCTTCTTGCCAATCCTTTTAAGCAAATCGCTTTGAAGTTTAGCTATCTTGGATTCTGACTTTTGTGATGCAGCTGATGGTTTTGCTTCTGGTTTCTTTTGAGTTAATTTCTCATCGATACTGAATGATGGAAGATTTTCACGATCGTGCTCATTTTCATCATTCTCATTATCAAAGAACTTCTTAGTCTTTTGATGATTTTCTGTTTGAGGAGCACGAACAGGTGATCTTCCTGGCAAACATTTGAAAGATGATGTTAAGCGACGAGAGGTAAGTTTTTTGGTTGGAGTCTTCATAACTGTAGTTAAAAGTTCGATCGGAGCTTCTGAGTTCATGAAAATTCTCTTGCGCTTATGTGTGGAAGAATTAACTATGACAATATCTGGTCCAATTGATGCAACGATCCAGCCTGAACGTAATAATGGTTCTAATGTATCTTTATATAATTCGCTGAGTTTGATATCTTGTTTTGTTACACGAACATGGTTAATTAGTGTTAATTGGGGACCAAATGCTATCAGGCACATCATATTTAAGTATTCGAAACTAGCGATTGGAGATCCTGCAAATGAAATTTGTTCCAATTTTGGTGATTTGACGGCACCGACAAATGAATTTAATTTAGTTCCTGATACATTCAATTTCACAAGGTTTTCCATCAATGGCATGCCTGTAAAGTCCTTTATATTAGTAAATGACAAGTCCAAATTTGTGATGACTTCAGGACGGACTAAATCTGGAAACTCTGATATAGATTGCTTGAAATAAGATCTAACAGCAAGTCCATCTTGACCATCTTTGCTCTTCTTATTAATGAAAGGAGAGCGGAGATGAGAATTCCGCATTTATGATAAACGTACCTGGGAAAATTTCTAGCCAAAATTATGTAATGTTGTTCAGTGATATATAAAGAGCAATATTACGATTAAAAGTTTATTTTATTTTTGTGATCATTCAATTTTTGTGATCAATAATTTACAACTATTGAATTTTCTGCCAACTTAAAAATTGGAAATAGTCGATTTAAAGTTAATTTTATATACTGACAATGGCACATTTGCGAATTTAAGAGCAGAAATGTTCATTTTATACTAATGAGTCAACATAATGGACCTATAAAGCCAGGTTTTTACTGGTGTGAGTGTTGCGAGAGATTTGTTGTTAACAACGCAGCTTGTAGAAGAACTCATAACGAGACAATTACACACAAAGCGAATGCAGCCAAATATGAAAAACGAAAAAAGCAAGAAAGACTCCAAAACGAAGCCGCCAATAGAGAGGTTCAAGAGCAACTTGCAATCATTAAAGCTAAAGCAACTCAAAACTACTTAAAAAACGATGTCCAAAAGCAAAACGATCGCAGTGCGTTAGATGAACATGTTAATGATTTAGATGAAGTTGAACGTGCAAAAGAGCTATATGGTGAAGAATTTTACGAGCAAGAGGTGAAAGAAGGTAAACAAAAGCTTGATAAAACAGAAATATATAATGATTTCATGAAACAACTTCCAACTCATATATTGGCCAAATATCGTCAGCCAATTAACAAATTCCAATAATCAAATTTAAATTGTTGACGAAAGCTATTGTTTTCTCCCCAAATTGTTGGATACCAGAGTAATCATAACGATTTTGCTACGTTATTTTAGAGAAAAATTACTAGATTTTCGAAATACTACCTCTCCTTTTTTTTCCTTAGCCGAATTTGAAAAACATTTCTATGGATCTAAAATTTATACCAATGCGAAGCAATCCTTATGACTATTCTAACTTGAATTAAAAGATCATTTTAGTCAACTCAAAAACCACAACAATGATTCAGAATTCATAGTAAATCCATTAAGATTTAGTTAGAAAGAACTATGCTTCTGATTTCATTAAATAAAATTACTTTCAGGTAGAATTTACTACTTTATTTATCCATTTTCTTATATATTCCGACTAAATTATTTAATAAATCAAGAAGCTGTGCATTTTACATACCTAGTACTTCTATGTTTTTAAAGAATAAACTTTAGTAAATGCAAAGTAACAATTTAATTAATTTTTTTTTACTTATAGCGATAAATTTGTTGTAAGTCATCTTTTTAGAGTAAATATTTATTACAACGAGCCTAAATTTAGCTACAATATTTAGAAAATTATATTTTACTTTAAAAATGAGTTTATTTGATTCTAAAATAAATGATTTCGTATTTGATTGAAAAATAAAATATATTTGTAATTCCAAAAATATTTCATTTTTCTATTTTTGTTATAAAAATTATATTTTTTAATATTATTTTTGATTTTTTGAATTTTTTTTGGAAAAATTAAGATGAGATATGCAATGCATTGAGTGTTTATTCCTATTAAGCACATTTAGTTATTCAATAATTTCCGGAAATATGGCATAAAAAACTCTTGCTTGTGTAAATTTGATTCATATTTCCATAAAATAAGTTAATTATATGGATTATTAAAGAAAATTGTATATAATTGGAAAGAATCCTATCAAATATAATAAAAATATGAGAGTAAATTGGAGAGATAAACTATAACAAATTTTACTCAGCGTTGAACTTAGCGACAGCCTTGCCACCTTCTGAGACGGCGTGCTTGGCAAGATCGCCTGGAAGAACAAGACGAACAGCTGTCTGAACTTCGCGGGAACCGAGTGTGTTACGTTCGTTCATATCGACGAGACGAGCACCTTCCTGAGCGATACGCTCGAAGATATCTGTAACGAAGGAGTTCATGACCATCATAGCCTTGTTGGAGATACCGATATCTGGGTGGACCTGCTTAAGAACCTTGAAGATGTAGGATGAGAATGTTTCAGCACGCTTCTTGTGGCGGAGCTTCTTATCTTGCTTGGCAGCGTTGGCAGCATCGACGCCCTCGACGGCTGGCTTCTTCTCTGTTGGTGTTTTAGAGGCTGGCTTCTTGGAAGACATTCTAAATAATGATCACTTTTTCGGCGCCAAGGCTAGTTTATCGTCCTACGAAAATCAAATGGTCCAAAATGACATTTTTTAATTTTTGGCGAAATGCCGTTTTAGGCCCTTTCGACTTTCAATATTTAAGATTAAAAAAGGGCGCCAAAATATTTCAGTTCATTATTTCGTAATGCCAGCTAAGAAAGGTGTTAAGAAGACAGCAACAAAGACCGCCGTCGATGGCGAACGCCAACATCCAAAGACACGTTCATCCCGTGCCGGTCTTCAGTTCCCAGTCGGTCGTCTTCACAGATTCCTTCGTGAAGGCCGTTATGGTGAGCGTGTCGGTGCTGGTGCTCCAGTCTTCATGGCCGCTGTTCTTGAGTATCTTACTGTCGAAGTTCTCGAACTTGCCGGTAACGCTGCTCGTGATAACAAGAAGACACGTATTTCTCCACGCCACATCATGCTTGCCGTCCGTAACGATGAAGAATTGAACCAACTCCTCTCCAACATCACCATCGCTTCTGCAGGTGTTGTTCCACACATCCATAAGGTTCTTCTCGGCAATCCAAAGAAGGGTAAGGATGCCTCTCAGACACAAGAATAAAGATGTTTATGTAGTTATTATCAATTTTGCATATTTAAGTTGAAATTCATTTGGTTGAAAATTTTATGGTCAAATATCAAAAAGTTATATGTGACTTCAATAATCAATTAATAACTGAAAAATGTAAATGAGTGTTTTGCCAAAAATGATATTGTAGTATAAAGATTATCATGAGCCAACGTGAAACTACCCAGTTTACCTATATTGATTATGGAACTAACTCGATACAGGTTGGAGATGGGAAGAATCCATGTATTTCAGATATTAAAGGTACTCTTGAAATTCCTTCTCAAGTTAATTCCAAAAATGTAACATCTATTGGTAACTATGCATTTTCAAATTGCAATATCAGTAACGTTAAACTGCCTGATACTATTCAATTCATTGGTTCTTTTGCATTTATGAATTGCAAAATAACTGAGTTTATTTGTCCCATAAGTGTAATTCAAATAGGGACATTTGCTTTTTATGGTTGTTCATGCGTGTTTGCTAATTTTGGTGAAACAAAAATCAAAAGATTTACTGGAGAACATCATTTTTTTCAATCACAACTTGCCAATGTTCTTCTTCCAGATACCTTAGAAGTTATTGCTTATCATATGTTCTATAAAACAAATCTTAAAAATATCACTATTCCAAAATCATGCAAAGAGATTTCAGCCGGAGCTTTTATTGAGTGCATTTATTTAGAAGAGTTTTTCACAGAAAGTCCTGAGTTTTGCATCAATAATAAGGTACTTTACAGTAAAGATTTCAAAACTTTAATTGCATATCCATCTAACTGTTTCCCTGATATTCTTCCAACAGTAACATGCACTTCTTCTGCTAGAGGCTTTTCAGGAACTTCATTTGTCAATTTCACGTTAACAATTCCTCTAAAAGTGATTTCCAGTTATGCGTTCCGAGGTTGCCCCAATCTTGAGTATGTTGATCTAAGCTGTGCTAGAGTGACTTCCATATTTGATGCCATATTTTATGATTGTAACAAATTAGGAACAGTGATTTTACCACAACAACTTAAAAGTATAGATAAGAACTGTTTCTCCTATACAAATATCATCAAATTAGCTATTCCTCCAAATGTGAAAAGTATACACGATGCAGCTTTTATATCTTCAAAAATTACCGAAATATATTACTGCGGACTAAATACATTTGACTCGATTTCTTTACAAAACACAAATGTGATAATACATGTTTCAGATTATTTCCCAAAAACTATTACTAAATTGTTAGGTTGTCCAATAGAGGATAGAACATATACATGTCAAGAGTATACATGCAATAATATGATAGATCAGTCATTTATGGATTGCCCATCAATGAATATTTGTCTGTATTCCAACTTTTATGCAAGAATTTTATTATATTCTGTTTTTATTGTTATGTAAAATAGATTTTTATTTATAAAATTGCTTTTTAAATGGATGTAGACTATAATATTGAAACACGAAGCATCTCAAAACATAAATCCTTTCTGATTTATAATATTGACGTGTAAACATCTCAAATCAATTCAAATCATTTCACATAAACGGGCGAATAATAAAACAGAAGGATACGAACTGCTACCGATGCAGCAACACCCGGTAACTTCTATAATTTTTCTAAATGTTACACGCTGAATCTCTCCATCATCTCAAGTAAATTGTCCCTTTTCAGACAAAATTGCTTCAAAAGAAACAAAATTGTTGTAAACAGAAATTCATCAAAAGTGACACCTCAGAAAAGCTAAAATATTGAATTTTTGGAACTTTTGATAGAGCACGTTTTTAAATATTAATTAAAGTAAATGTATATTTTGTAAAGATTCTTTTTAATAAAAAAATAAAATTTTGAAGAAGAACACAAAATCTTCTGAAAAATAATATCACATAAACTCATATTATTTTCTAATATATAACTATTTTATATAAAAATCAAATTCAATGATCTTAAAAGCGAAGGATAAACCTCAAAATTTACGAATATAATGAGTGGGAATATAATGCTTATCTATCATAAAACCATATGAAATATCAATTTTTGCTTTACGCCTAATTTTTGACGACAATTAGCAAAAAATGTTAAATGTTAACACTCAGTCCATTTGAATATGAAAAATAAAATTGACTTTGATTAAATGTTTTTATTTATCATGCAATTCTTCTTGCGACCAAAGATTTGAATAAAAGTTCAAAAAATAAGATAGCTTAAAAAATAATATACGGTAGTGTTTACTAATAGATGAATAGTATATAAATTCTATTAAAATGGATTTGATCCAAAAAATATAAAACCAAAAATAATTGTTATAATTTAAATGAAGAAGTAATTTAAAACGATTTTATTTATGATCAAATTTTATATATTTTTTTGGATCAAATCCATTTTAATAGAATTTATATACTATTCATCTATTAGTAAACACTACCGTATATTATTTTTTAAGCTATCTTTTTTTTTGAACTTTTATTCAAATCTTTGGTCGCAAGAAGAATTGCATGATAAATAAAAACATTTAATCAAAGTCAATTTTATTTTTCATATTCAAATGGACTGAGTGTTAACATTTAACATTTTTTGCTAATTGTCGTCAAAAATTAGGCGTAAAGCAAAAATTGATATTTCATATGGTTTTATGATAGATAAGCATTATATTCCCACTCATTATATTCGTAAATTTTGAGATTTATCCTTCGCTTTTAAGATCATTGAATTTGATTTTTATATAAAATAGTTATATATTAGAAAATAATATGAGTTTATGTGATATTATTTTTCAGAAGATTTCATTCTATATGCCTATGAAAAGTACTCTCAAAACTAACTTTTCCTAATTATAATTAAATCTAGAATATTGTATTATGCTTAGTATTATTTCATTTTTCTCATTCAATTTAGAATTTACAAATGTCAAAAAATTGAGAGCTGTCACTTTTGATGAATTTCTGTTTATTATAAAATGAGAATGATTAGGATAATCCAGTTCCTTTATCTGATTTGATTTATAAATTTGAAGGTCTTTCAAAATTGAAAAACCACTCACCCGTTTTGTAAGTACACAAAATTGAAAGTCTAACAAGTCATATAATATCAGATTATTAGGTCTCAGAATACACAAAAATATAAACGAGTGATTCATAAAATTCTTTCCCTTCTCAAAAATCATTTTTAAGAAATTTACGAGTAATGGAGCCGCTTAAATGCGTTCTTGTTGGTGATACTAATGTTGGAAAGACATACCTTATCAAAACTTATAAAAACAAACAATATAAGAACGAAAAGAATGAAGCTACAGTGTATGAAAAACATCAAATTCAGATTAAACAGAAAAAGAAGAAAATTGATGTAGATGTTTTTGATACAGCAGGTTCCGAAGACTATGACCGCTTAAGGCCTCAATCCTACAAAGACGCAGATGTCTTTTTACTTTGCTTCTCTTTAATTAATCGTAATACCTTAAAACATATTAAAACAAAGTGGGTTAAAGAAGTTAGGCAAACTAGCCCTGATGTTCCGATTATTGTTGTCGGTCTTAAAATGGATCTTCGCGATAATTTCGATAAAGCAGATATTGATCGTAATGAGGATGGTGTAGAACCAATTAAAAAGGAGAAAGCTCAAAAGCTTATTCAAAAAATCGAAGCAGTTCAGTACCTTGAATGCAGTGCTAGAAATATGCAAAGATTAGACGAAGTTTTTGACTCGATGCTTTATTACGCACAAAAGCACCATAACCACGGCCAAGGATGCTGCAATATCGCATAATTTAATAATTTTTTTTTCCTTACGTTTTAATTACATTATTTTACCGGATATTTGTTCTCTTCACCTCATTATTTTAAGTTTTACTTCAATAAAAATTTAATCATTTTATATTTTGGATTTTTTCTTCCCAAAAACCATTGAGTTCATACAATATTCTCAAGCAGAAAACAAAGGATATAAACAAATTTGTTTTATTATGATAAGAAAATTATTTAATACAATAAAAAATAGAGAATCAAGAGTAAATTACTTCTTCTCTGAATAAATACTACTGACCTGTGGTAAGTGCTTAAGATGATAGTTCTCACTTACCCAGATATCAGTAACACTCTCTTCAATTCCCGTTGTCATTCCTTTTCCACGTTTCAACCTTCCGAAATATACAGGGATTGTATCGTTGATGTAAATTTTGATGTTCTTAGTACTGTATAAGTTGCAATCTGGATATCCGTTGTAGTTCCAGATTCTTATGAGGGATATAAGACGTGGCTCGCTATATTCAACCCTGAGAACAATTGGAGACTCAGAAATTCCGGCAATCCACATATCATCAATATTCATCGTATTTTTATCATCTTTAAACAAGTAACGAGGCGAAGATATACTTGCACCATTGAAAACTTCGATGTTTGTAATCAAATCTGACGATAAAAGTTTTCCATTCAGATCAAAGAACTCAAGGCCATTTAAACCGAGTCGGGGCTTTCCAGATGTAGAGTTGTAGAGTTTAAATGATATTGATGACGTTTTCAGAATTGGTAGATTGCCGAAATCATCTTTCAGTCGGAGGAATGTTGGAACTTTGGGCGTAACTAGGAAATTCTCTATGGGAGTAATATTTTGGAAGTCTGAAGCCTTCAAAGACACCGTTGAACCAAAATCTAATGGAACTGATGTAGTTTGGATAAATTTTCCGGCTATGTAGACGGATACTTCCTTTGTATTCATCGATTCTCCAATTTTAGAGTTAAAGACTCTGATAAATTCAGGCGGAAGGAAAGCAGAAACGAGGATGTGAAAAATCACAGGTGATCCATTTGGAACAAAATCAGCATGCCACATTTCGTTCATTGTAGATTTTAATAGGCTGTTTGATGTGAGAAAAGAAATGCTTTCATTAACATATTTCAAATCTTCAGGAACAACTGTTACATTACTAATGGGAATGCGATCTTTTGTTAGAACTTCGATCTTGGAAAGACAGATCTGGCTAGGATGGCCGTAATTACTCAATAAGTGTAAGTCAATTTCGTATTTTTGCTCTGGAAGATCCATACTTTGTGAAGGATGTATAAGTTGCATCGATTGGTTGCGATGTGGAAGTTGAGAAAATGTTGGGGATTCAGAAATTCTTCGTACAGGCATTCCTTTTGGCTGAAGCATGATATTTCTCCCACTTGCTGATGTGGATATTCTGCGCATAGGATGAAAGCCTGCCTTTTCTGGAATAATTAGTTTGACAGAACTCATTTGGCTGAAGAAAACAAATAATTAAAAAAATGTAAATACTACAGAATTTATGCTGAATAAAAATAACCGCAATTTATTGAGAAAAATTGAAAACATATACTACGCATATTCTTTTAATTTTCTAAATTGCAATTAGTTGATATTTTCATTTCTCATAGGATCAGAATTAAAGCACATTCAAATTATTCAAAAAAATAATGAAGTCAGATCATATCGATAATTAATGACGTTGATTGAGAATTATGAACATTGATGGTTTTCATATCATAGTTCACATAATATTGGCGTTCATTCGATGAAACTGTAAAAAATGATTGCTTTGAATGGTTTGTTTTATTTGATATGATTTTAACTCTAACTAATGGTTGGTTTAATGGATTTAAATGAAAAAAATTGGAAAAATGTAAACAGAAGTGATCCTACTCACAAAAAATGAGATCTTAGCTTCCTCTTTATGATTTTTAGAATTAGTATCTGATGTAGATATTAGATTGATAGTTTGTTTGCACTTCATCATCAACGTGCTTCATTCAATTTCACTCTTAAAATGCAAATTTTCTCACTTTTTCATATTTGAAATATGATGTTTAATAATAATTTCCAGGAAAAAGGCAAAAATAATTCTGGGGAGCACGCTATATTTGGTCGCATCGTATTTTCATTTTCGTATGGAAATCGGGTATTCTATTGATATTGATGCAGATTTTAAACTCCTATTATGTAGTATACATAACATTGATCAAAAACAAGTATGATTGCTTCCACAAAATTGCACAAAATTCTGATTAAATTTCTCAAATCTCGGATTTAAAATCTGTGCAAATGAATGATTTTATTTTATAATTAAAATGGATTCCATAAATTTGTTTTATTAATAAGATTACAAGACTTAAAATGGCTAGGTTCCCATAACAAATTTATGATTTTGATTTAACTGAATTCGATCAACTAAACTAACTATGATTTAGGATTCAGACATGCTAAATTTTAAATCAAAAGAAGTAAATTTGAATTTTCTAGATATTATCTTAAGGTAAGATTAATTTGTCCAGATTTGAATATATTTGATGATGGTTTTATCATGCTTAGAATAGTGTGACTGATGTTTGTCATAATTAATGATATAAGGTAGAAGAATGTGTTTCAAGTTAGATATGTTAGCTTTTGAGAATAAAAATATACGATTTTTGGTAAATATCTGATAGAATTTCACAATTTAATCTTATGTAATCAAACATTCAATTATGTCTACCCTTGATTTTATGTGTTATTATGGAAATAATGAAACATCAAATTCTTACAGTGAAAAAATGCAAGGAAAAGGTCAAATTATTTACATTTGATATTAAATAGATTAGAGAATACTGTTTTATCATTTTGGTCGTTCGGGGAAAAAATAATTCTACAATTTTGTATTGATTGGCCGAAGTCAGCAAAAGTATTAGCAACAATTCTTGAATTCTATACGTTTATCAATATTGCTTTCGCAATAATTTATATTCAAAATGAAATTCAAAGCGAATGTCTGAATTTATGGGACAAATTTGCGGATGAATGGAACATGTTATCTACCAGAATTTTTGAACTATCAGTGATAGAATGAAATTGAAATATTACACCGTAAAATATATTTCAATCAAATTGAAAATTTATGTGCTTACTTGATAAAAAGAGCTTAATATGAATTACATTAAATATATGAAAAACGATTATGTTGAAATGTGAGTAAAAATTGGTTGGGAAAAGAAATGATACTCATATATGATAGAATTAATGTATTGCAAGTAAAAAAACGAATTTGATTTTTTCTATCGGTAAACGAAGAACTCAAAATTTTGAGGGTCAATTCAATATCCTACGGATTCATTTTTTAGGATTTTTCTGAAATCGCATTAAACGAATTGAACTATCTATTGCAAAGACAATGAAGTAGATAGTAAAAAATTGGAAAGATAATACAATGAGACGATAAAGTCACATTGAATACCTTACCGGGAAATGTATCAAGTCATAAATTTCATTATCTATATGATATTATTATATATTTCACTTTTTGGCCTGACAAAGTTCAATATCTAAATTTGAATTATCCATTTATTCAATCATTTCTTTATATGAAGGAAGACCCAGCTGTTAAAACGTTCAAAGGAACATTCGAAGAATTAAAGGCCCTTGTCCAGCAATCACACAAACTATTCGTTGTTGATTTCTTCGCGAATTGGGCTATCCCTTCAAAACGATTATTACCACATCTCTCAGAAATTGCAAAAGAGCATCCAGACGTAGAAGTAATCAGAATAGACATAGACAAAAACGAAGATATATCAGACCATTATCAAATTGTCTCCGTTCCACATATCAAATTATTAAAATCAGTCACAAATAACGATTTTATGGAAGTAGCATTCGTAAATGGATGCCAACCCGATGCAATCCGCTCAAAGATTGCCCAATTTAATTAATCTGTTTAATAGAAATGTTATATGTAAATAAATGTTTGATATACTTATATTAATTACATAGTTTAATATATTTTTCATTTGGATGGATTTATTTTTAATGATTTAGAAGTCAAATGGATTCATTATTACTAATTTTGGGACATTGTTTGTTATATGGGTATTAAATAGTTATTTAATACAAATTAATGGTCTGTATCATATGATTTTATATGATTATATATTCAGATAAAACAAAAGCCAATATCAGACAACCTAATAGAAGCCAATAGACAAACCATGCACTTATTAACATGACTACAATATTCATTTATCAGTAAACTTTTGGTATTTAAATCAATAATTTTCGAAATTAAAATTCGCTATTTTGAAGTTAGAACATTATCTCTATAAAGGAAATCATGATCTTTTTGTCAACATATTTTTTGAAAATGAGTGAAGAGGAAGCCGAGTTAAAATTAATGCCAAATATAGGGGAAACAATTGCCAAGAAATTAAACGAAGTTGGCGTGAAGACAAGTACTGATTTGAAAAAGCTTGGCAGTAAAAAAGCTTTCGAATTAATTCGCAACAAGACTGTAATGTGATCTCATTTGAAGTTTTTTGGATTTAGAGGTGAAATAAATTGACGTATTGCACCAGTATGTTATAATAGGTCGATTTATAATAAAATAATAATTATAATAAATTTGATTTTCAGCGACGGCGCTACGCGCCTTTTAGCATTCTGGGCACTTACGTGCCCAGAATGCAAGCTTGAGAAATTTGAAACTTCGTTTCAAATTTCTGCCTTGCTGTTATGTAAAAAGATTTTTTTGGGGAAATTGAATGTGAAAATAAAACTTAGTTTTTTTGTGAGATATGGATTTTTAGAAGATATTAGAGATCTAAGTCTCAATTTATAAAAAAATTTAAAATTGAGAGGAATTTTAATGATATGATTTTATTAGATATTTGGATTTTTTAGAAGATTTTAGAGATGTCAGTCTCAATTTATAAAAAAGCGGAAAGGTACATTCACTATTTTTGACAAAATTTTAAATTTTCATGGGGTTGTAAATCTTATAATAACTAGATGAATAAAGAATGAATCCCAGTATAATGTGCATCATTATATTAAACACTATATGTAAGGCTAATGATTCTATTAACACTTATGAAGATCTATAGTATTTGAGCAGATAAATTTGATAATTTCCAAAACTCTTATATTTCAAAATTAAAGTGTGCGAATGCATTTAAATGAGAGCAAAAAGAGATTGATGCTGTTAAAACTAGGTGTTAATTTGCAATTATTTCGCATCACAAGAACTACCCAGTAAATTCGGCTATCTTTCTTTGCAATTATTCTCCATTATACATATAATATAATGGTTAGGGTTTGAAGAAAAGTTACTAGAGAATTATTGACTTTTGAAATAATGCAGAATTTTACTTGAAGAAATCATTAATTTATGAGTTCCAAATTGCTAAGCATGACGAAGGATCATTAAATTTGCTACAATTAAATACACTTATTGCAGAATTAAGATTTTTGAAATTAAAAGTTTGAAATATTGCCTTTTTGAATAAAAATTTAAATTTTATTATATAATCATGATAATATCTTATAGAAATTAAAAGAAAATATTTTAAACCATTCAAATATTTTGAATGTCTTATCAATTTAAAATATTAAAAGATAGCTTGATTTTATCATCATTAGTTGTTATCAAAGTTTTCTTCTTTTGATGAACAACAGTAAATGATTTGTTAATTACTTGTCTTCCTTTTTCGCAGCAAACTCGAAAGTTATGATGATAATCTTGCTGTCAATTTTGAAACTCTCTGATTTACAAGTAAGCATTCCTTTGGAAAAGCAGTCCTATTCTGTTTTCAAGATATTTTAAAGCCTCCATTTCATACAATGCGCAGATCTATTCGAAATTGCAAGAACTCTCAAGAAAAATGCAGCAGCAAAGAAGATTCCATAGTTTCTAGCATCAAAAATTTACAACCTTAATACAACAGTTAAAGAGAAGCTCGAAAAGAAAATATTTAACCATAAAGCTGGAAACCATTCGATATCTACTATTGGATCTAATAAAAAGTTAATTATAACATATTTAACATGCTATTTGTTGACTTTGTTCCATTATATTACCATATATATCTTTTTGAAATCTAAAATATTTTTACGATTTTAACCATGTGTTGTTGAAACCATATATCAATCTTAGCTAAAGTATAGTTTATGAGTCTGTCACCATCTAACGTATGAATTTTCAAAAATGTCAAATATGTTCATTTTTTCTGTAGATTCAGCCATAATTTCACGTTGTTATACTATTCAACTATTATTTAATATTTTTATTGATTTAAATATATGATGAGATGCTTAGTTCTCCTGGAAATCGATTTTTAATCGCAATTTTAACTTTCCAAAAAAAATTCAAAAATAAAAATCCCTCTCAATTTTCTAAGTTTTATAACTCGCCAAATCTCTAGCCAAATTTTTTTGGCCCGTATAAATATTGTTAGGCACTATATAGGGATGCTATTTATCCTATTTTCATCCCATTTTACTGTTATCGCCTAGTGAATGTACCTTTTTTTCTCATTTGACATTCGTATCTGATTTTTTCAAAAATTATTTTTATTAGAATCAATTGATCATCAGTTGTCAACAATAAAAGACGGCAGATACAAAGTGAAATGAAAAGTGACTTTTGTTATAAATGAATCGGATTATATAATTATTATATGATTAAATAATGTTGAACTTTTTTGGTTGGATCGCCAATTGTCATTTTTGTCATGTCTGACATTTTGCCATCCAGGAGATTTTTCATGAATTTTGATAAATTCAGAATTATTTTCGGTCATTTAGAGTATCTTTGTTGTGATTGTTTGAACTATCAAGTTTATTTTATGCATAATTTTATTGTGAAATCAAATTTCATCGGAAAATTCAGATCATAAAGAATCAATTTAATTTAAGTTATTGATCACCACCTTGTTCTTTAACTGATTGTCTTCTTTATAAACAATAGATTTAAAAATGAATCTGAATTATTTTAGAATCACATTGAAAAGTTTATAAAGGAAGATACTCATTTCATTTACGGCATCGTTCAACATTAATTTTTAATGAAAGATGGACAAATAAAAAATGAAGAAATAAAAAGAGAAATAAAAACGTATATCGAATTAATAATTTGTATAAACAACAAGTATTTATTCATCAGCTGCCTCTTTCTCTTGTTTCTCTTCTTCTTCAACTTCATGTGGTCCGAGTTTATATGAAGAAATAACGAAATAAAACTGCTGCTGCTTTGTTGCATAGCGCTGGCAAAGAGCGACCGATGTAATTGGAGCTGGAGTAAGTTTTGTATCTGCACCAAGTTCAGCAATGGAAGGAAGGGCCCAGCCGTTGCCAACAGCCCATGCCTTCTTTATAAGTGTAATATTAAGCGATTGTGGAACGTCAATTACGTCTATTCCTGCATTACGGAAATCTTCAACAAGAACTGCTTGTAAATCCTTCATATTCAACGATACGTTTGAACCACGGAATTGGGCAACGTAACTCTTAGGTCCTTCGTCTGTTTGGCCGTAAGAATTGACACCTTGAATTTCGGAAGTAAATTCAACTGTCCAATCGTAGCTTTTAACTGCTTTCTTCATAACATCTGCTGCTTTTGAAATTGACTCTTCGTCAAGAAGGCGAAGAGAACATAACAAAACATTCAGTCTGTAAACGTTATCGAAAGCATCTGGAGATAATTTGCAAATGTTGTGAACTCGTCCGAGGAAATCGCGTACTGAATTGCAGAAAGTTGCATTCTCAACTGTTGGAATGCAAACATAATGAGTATATGGTTGAGCAGCAATGACACTATCAATATGTGCACGAATAACTGTGATTGCTTCATCTAATTTTGTCTGTGAATTTGAAGAGATAACGAAAACATTGGTGTTTTGGCAATCAGAAACAACAATTCTGCAGCCTGTTGACTTGCGAAGTTCATTAAGATGTACTTTCTTCGGACCAAGAAGTTGGTCACGTAATACTGTTGGAAATTCGACTGATCCTTTTACATCTTTTGATGCTGTTTTTTCAGCAAAAGCATCTGTATTTTCCTGTACACAATTGCCGTGTAATCTAAACATCATGCCATTCTCTGTCTTGAGAAGAACATGATCTGGGGCTCCAGGACACTCAAACATTCTATACGCCATCAACTTTTTTTCTCTCTCCTAAAATTTTGGAGATGTCACTTTTTATTCCATCAAACTTCTACTTGATTCATCATTTTGTGCCCTTTTCTCTTAATTTAATATACTAAGAATAACTGAATATACTAAGTTTGACCATTATATATCCATTGTCAGCTGATATAACATATTTGAATGAATTTTCCAAAATTCTTCTTCGAGAAGCATGGTAATAGCACGATCATCCTTGAATCATGTGTGACTTTTGATATGGAAAGATTATTAATGAATTCACATATGCTAGCTTTCATGTTATGAAGTTCACAGCTTTTTCTAGTAATTTTCTTTGGGTTTTTCTTGGTTATATGGGGATTTTGTTTATCCAGTTGTTGTTCCATTTTGCTGTTATCTTCCGAAATACATTGAAAGTGAGGAGAAAAATTGATCAAAATTTCATAAAATTATGACAAGCGTGTTTGAATGTATAGAAAGAAGAAGAACTATTAGGCATTATGATCAAAATTGGGTATGTCCAAAAGAGCACCTTGAAGCTATTGTAAATGCAGCTCTAAAATCCCCAACTGCATGTAATCGTCAAAGTATTGACCTTCTCGTTATTACAAACAAAGAGGTATTGGATAAAATAGGTGAAGTTGGTCTTAATACATTAAAGAAAGGTACAAAAGAGCATATGGAAGAAAGAAAACATGAAGGATACAAAAATGTTTTTACTTGTGATGCTCCTGTGCTCTTTCTTTTGGTTAAAAACGATAGGGTTAATCCATTATATACAGATGTCGATGCTGGAATCATGTGCGAATCAATTATGCTCACTGCAGCAAGTTACGGATATGGAACAATGTGCATTGGTGTTCTAAGAGCAACTGACTTATATGAAGCTGTAGGAATTCACAAAGAAGACCTTGCAATGGCTGTTTGCATGGGTAAAATCGAAGATGGATACGTTCCACCGGAAAAACCAATCAAATGCAAAGCCACATACATAGAATAACTTTATTGGATTAATAAACATATTTTGCGTTATTTATTTTATAAATTCAATACCAATATTTTTAGAATTGAAAGCTATCAATGTATATTTAAAAAATTGATAAATAACTATGATAGTTCAACTGAATCTGTTTATAAAACATTACTTTGAAGAAGAATCAAATAAAAATAATCGAAAAATATGCTTTTAAATGTGAAATTGATCGAAGAAATTTTAATATGGATAAATATATATAACTTTGTATTAACAAAAATTTCCAAAAAAACCTCAAAATCTCGATTTTGATCTAATTTTCATCGAAATTTTGATTTATTTCTGAAATTTTAAATTTTATTTGGAATTCAAAAATATTTGGATTCCTAATCAGATGGGATATTTATTCATAATCTTCACATTTACAATGTTATCTTAGAATTAATAATTTGGCAGATTGAAATCTACTCATTTTACGAGTTCAATTTAGCAATGAGATTTATTATGATTTACATGATTAATCCCACATATTGCTTATCATGGTTGCTCGATCTGAACCAATTTCTAAACGTTCATTCTGCAGATGAGTGCTACATCTTCAACTGCCGAGGGACAGCCCGATGAAATCCTGAACATTGTTGTTCCACCGAATGCAGAGACAGAAGAGGACTGCATATTTGAGGATTCATGCATCCTCTTCCGCTATTCAAGAGAAATCATTGAATGGGTTGGTCGAGGAATAGGAATTGTTAAAATTCTCAAGTCCAAGAAAACAGGTACATATCGTATATTAATGCGTCAAAATCAGACATATCGTGTATGCTTAAATCATCAAATTCCATACCTCGGAAATTTACTTCCAAAGAAAGATTGCTCCAGAGAGTTCATTTGGACCGCGTACGACTTTGCTGACGGACACGAAGTTCGTGAACTTTTCGCAATTCGTTTTGGTTTGCCCGAAATTGCTTATAACTTCAAAACTGCATTTGAGCAGGCTAAAGAGGAAAATAAGAAAATCCATGACTCAAAAGCAAAATAATTGTTCCATCATGTCCATATATTTACCATATAAAAATTATTCTTGATCATTGGCCATTGTATTTTCGATTCTATTATATCTATTTATATTTTCGACACGAAATTTTGTAAAACAATTCAAGTTTTTAATTTCTCTGACATAACTTTGCAATGTCAATAATATTGGTCTTTGGATTTATTGATCTATTCCACTTTTTTTCAAATTCTTCTTTTTTAACTCAATGAACTTTTTATAATCATTCAATCAATAATGATGGATAAATTTAAATTCATAAAAAATAAAATTAAATAATCCATGAAAAAAAAAGAAGTTCTTGAATATAGGTAAAAATGAGAATATTTAATACCTGTCTTATTGTGGAGCCGGGATGCAAACTCTCAACTTCTCTTCACGGCGCTGAGATTCTTCGATGATGACCTTGCCCTTGTCAGCTTCGTCGAGGTTCTTCTGGATGAGTAATGAGCGGTCGATTCTGAAGCGGCAGTCGGAAAGAAGGAGTTCATCTTCATTGGCATCGCCCAGTGGACGCTTAACGATTGTCTGCTTGATGTCCCATAAAACCTTGTCGCCCTGCTTGATCTCCTTGCAGTAGTCACCATCGAGCTTGGCTGGAACAGCGGAGCCGTTCTGTGTGATTGTGGCTGTAATAACTGTATTCTTCTTTGAGCTTGTATCAAGCTTGCAAACGAGGCCTGTCTCCTTGCCGTCCTTGAATTCCTTGATCTCAACTGGGCCCTTGATGCCGATGATTCTGTCACCGTAGACAATACCCCAAACCTGGATCATTGGGAACTCCCACTGGTATTCTGTGCCGTCCTTGAGCTTAAGGTGGAAGATACCTGTCTGGTTGATGTCGACTTCGCGCATGCCAGAGGCAATTGTGAACTTGCAGTGGCCGTGGCAGTACCATTCGTCGTTTGGACCGATGATTTCGAAGTCTGAGACTGGTGGGTGGTGGGATGTCTGTTCACCGTAGATCTTAGCACCATTCTCGTATGTGCCGACGTATGTCTCGCCGAGAACTGGGTTCCATGGCTTCTTGCAGGCCATGTAGAGGTGGAAGCCAGCAGCGATACCAGTAGCGATGTTGAGGAGGCGCTCGTTGGAATCTGTTGCAGCATTGGCCTGTGGGATGTACTTCTGGGCAAGGAATGTGAAGAGGTCGGCTGTGCGTTCAAGGAATGAGCGTGGCTCGGAGTAGAAAACTGGGAAGCTGAACTGTGTGAAGTTCATTGTAAAGATGCTCTTTGTGAACTTGGCAACCATAGCCCAGTTGTAATCACGTTCTTCCTTCTGCTCTTGCTCTGTCATTGGAAAGACACCATACGGGCCGTTGTGGTTGATGGCGCGATCTCTGTACTTGGCGTAGTCTTCATCTGGGTATTCGATAACTTTTCTTTCCCAGTCGGCGTATGAGCAGTTCTTGATTTGCTTGCCTAAAACTTCGCCCATAACTGGAGATGTTTCAGCTGTTGGAGCTGGTCCACGTGAGATTAAACTCATTGTTAAAAGTGACGTAAATCTGTGTCAGTGGGATTATTAAAAAATTGAGATAGTTCGTTCGTATGATTTTATATCAGAAAAAAACTTGACGATAAAAGGTTATCTAAACTCTCACCGGAAATTTATATATCATTTTAAAGCCTAGTCTTATCTATCCCAGGAGGTCTCAAAAAAATTTGATTGGCTTGAATTCACATTTTACTTGCCATCATTACCCACAACCGTAGATCTAAAATTAAGCTTAGTCTTCTGAAGAAAAAGTTGGTTGCGAAAGATATATTAATTATTGACCATATTTTTGAATTTAGCCAAATCATCGCTACTAGAAGAATCAAATATGAGTCTCCCATTTTTCTAAGCATGACACTGGCTATCTAATTATTAGAATCTTAACTTTAAAATCTATATTAAAATGGGATTTATCAATATTTGGAAAGCTCATCTTCGCAATTAATGAAAGTTATTCTTACATATAGCAATTCTGCTTACAGTCATGATGCATGGCAAATTCTAATCAAAATAGTTTAAAGATTTCTCCATGGTCGCTATATTTTTGTATTAAAAGTAATTTCAGCCGGATATAATTATTGTACGATCTGAAGTAAGATCAAATACATCCTGCAACAAGTTGCAAACGATGATATTTAATTTTTTTTTGAAAATGTCTTTTCATTAAATATTCGTTTTGCAATAAATAGCACTACTGTTATGTAATTTATATTACAATAATAATTTGTCAAAAGACGATCAATTATCGATTTTCGCTGTTTCGAACGTATAAAATGTTTATCTCTTCAAAAGAGAACGAAAATAGTTAAATATAAAATATATAAAGATGATATTAATATCTCTTCATTTCTTTCTTCTCAGATTTGTGAAATAAGTTTTTAATTCCTTCTTAGTTTCTGCAGAAAGCTCCGTATATCTCTTCATTTCGACAGCTCCTTCGAGTGCATAGAGCATATGAAGGCATGCAGTTTCATCATTTTCCATCATGTAAACCTCGATGTTACTTTTGCGGCTTCGCTCCGCTCGGCCGCAAAAGTAACATCGAGGTTTACATGGATGGGTTCTATATATATATAGCTTGACCGGTAGAAAAGCGGATCGATTTTTATCAATAATTGGACATTCTATTTTTAATAAAATAAACATATATTTATATGGGAAATTAGGGAGATCTGAAACTCAAAAATTATTTTTGAATTTTAATATGATAAATATAATTGTGATAATATGTACATTACAAATAAAATATTAATTCGGAACAACGATGAGATGTGATAAATTTGATTCTCTCAAAAATCGATTTTGGAGTTTTAATATTAATTTGTATCTTATATGCATATAGGATATATAATAATTTTAAAACATCAAAAAGTGACAATTTGCGGTTAGAAAAAGTCATCAAAACACTTTTTAATGATTTAATTTAACATATGCATAGACAATCTCTTTGATATTTAACTTCAATTTCCCGAAATGAAAAGGATTTGAACAAAAACGATTATTTTACGATCATTTTTTGTAAATTTTTTAAATTGAGACTGACATCTCTAAAATCATCTAAAAATTCCAAATATCAAATAAAATAATATCATTAAAATTCCTCTCAATTTAAAAAATTTTTATAAATTGAGATTTCAATCTCTAAAATCTTCTAAAAAATCCATATATCACAAAAAATCACGATATTATTTTTATTCTCAATTTCAAAATTTTTTTTTCTTGACTTTCTTTTTGCATATTTGCAAGGCAGAAATTTGAAACGAAGTTTCAAATTTCTCAATCTTGCATTCTGGGCACTTACGTGCCCAGAATGCTAAAAGGCGCGTAGCGCCGTCTCTGAATATCAAATTTAATTTAATAATTATTTTATTAAATTTCACTATAAATCGATCTGTTATAACACACTGGTGCATGACAGCCTTGTCATTCATTTCTATCGGCGCGCGGAGACACATTTCAAAAAGCATTGTAGAAGCTGATTTTATTTCTATATTTTATAAAATTAATATATGTTTGTATGGGAAATTCGGGAGATTCAAAACTCAAAAATTAAAACTCGATAATTTTAATATATCTTGATTCACATTTGTATGTAATAAGGGTTTCGTTTTGCTAAAATTGTCACTTTTATAGCATATTTGTTTTTGGATGTTTTGCGAAACCAAAAAAAAACTATGATATACAATGTGTGTGTAAAGAAAATACTTTATTTACTAGTTAAAAAATCATTTGGTATTGATCAAGTTATTTTTTCTGGATAAGATATTATATGGATAATTGGATAGAAAATACAATTATATAATCTTGTACCTGGTTTAATTAAGCTAATTGTCATCAGAAACTTGTAATTTTTATGAATTTCAGATTTTCTTTTCATTACTGCTTTTCTTAATAGGTCAATTTCTTATTTACGTTATAAAGTATGATATTTACAAATATCAAGTTATCGTGTTTTTTGAGAAATTATGAGAAACAAACAAAAATGAAAAAGATAGGAATAGCAATGAATAGTGATGTGGGTATAGAAAATGTAAGAGATATGAATGCAAAGCAATCAGTATTTAGGATATTGACCATAGATTTCGAAAAAAAATGCTGCATATTGAGCGAAAACTATGATTATATTATAAGGCTGTCATTTAAAGCATAATGAAACTATTCCCTTTTCATTTTAATCGAATAAGATAGTAAAGATTTTTGAATTAGCTAGAAACTGATGAGATGTTTTCACAAATCAGATTTTAATCTCTATAATGCATAATTCACTCAATATCTCAATTTTGATATTGCGAGATATTTTTGCTATCGGGTTTCGCAATTTTGACACAATAGCAAGAGGGTTCTTATAAGCATTATTATCAAACGTAGAATCTGAATATCATATCAGAAAATGTCGCAAATCTGACATTTACCCGACCAAATAGCAAAATAATTGAATACTTTTCGCAAAAACTTTAAAAATCGATAAAAACATGAAATATAGATATTAAAGAGACTTTTTATATAATATTCATAAAGATTTTCCAAAAATATGATACCGCAAAATTAAAAAAGTGACGTCTTGAGTGGAGTCAAAGGTCGAAATTGCTAGCTAAATGTTTTTTTAGCGAAATTGCGTATTGTACGTTTTTTCGCAAAACGAACCCCTTATATGTAAATTAGTATTAACTTATTAATATTTATCAACTCCATGATTCAAATTTATTGATGTCAATAAAATTCATTTATATTATGAATATTAGACTATGTATGGTATGTGTGTTCTGGTAACATTAAAATCTCATATACTGGCAATTTGGCACTTTTTGTCACTTTTCATGAAATTTCAGATTTCCCGAACTCGATTTTAATAATTGTTTTAGAATGCTAATATAATGTATAATTTATTTATCCAATCAAAATTTAAAAAAGTTTCAGTATTTGCCATTTTAGACTTCAAGCTCGCGACACATTAACCGCTTTTAAAGGTACATTCACTAGGCGATAACAGTAAAATGGGATGAAAATAGGATAAATAGCATCCCTATATAGTGCCTAACAATATTTATACGGGCCAAAAAATTTGGCTAGAGATTTGGCGAGTTATAAAACTTAGAAAATTGAGAGGGATTTTTATTTTTGAATTTTTTTTGGAAAGTTAAAATTGCGATTAAAAATCGATTTCCAGGAGAACTAAGCATCTCATCATATATTTAAATCAATAAAAATATTAAATAATAGTTGAATAGTATAACAACGTGAAATTATGGCTGAATCTACAGAAAAAATGAACATATTTGACATTTTTGAAAATTCATACGTTAGATGGTGACAGACTCATAAACTATACTTTAGCTAAGATTGATATATGGTTTCAACAACACATGGTTAAAATCGTAAAAATATTTTAGATTTCAAAAAGATATATATGGTAATATAATGGAACAAAGTCAACAAATAGCATGTTAAATATGTTATAATTAACTTTTTATTAGATCCAATAGTAGATATCGAATGGTTTCCAGCTTTATGGTTAAATATTTTCTTTTCGAGCTTCTCTTTAACTGTTGTATTAAGGTTGTAAATTTTTGATGCTAGAAACTATGGAATCTTCTTTGCTGCTGCATTTTTCTTGAGAGTTCTTGCAATTTCGAATAGATCTGCGCATTGTATGAAATGGAGGCTTTAAAATATCTTGAAAACAGAATAGGACTGCTTTTCCAAAGGAATGCTTACTTGTAAATCAGAGAGTTTCAAAATTGACAGCAAGATTATCATCATAACTTTCGAGTTTGCTGCGAAAAAGGAAGACAAGTAATTAACAAATCATTTACTGTTGTTCATCAAAAGAAGAAAACTTTGATAACAACTAATGATGATAAAATCAAGCTATCTTTTAATATTTTAAATTGATAAGACATTCAAAATATTTGAATGGTTTAAAATATTTTCTTTTAATTTCTATAAGATATTATCATGATTATATAATAAAATTTAAATTTTTATTCAAAAAGGCAATATTTCAAACTTTTAATTTCAAAAATCTTAATTCTGCAATAAGTGTATTTAATTGTAGCAAATTTAATGATCCTTCGTCATGCTTAGCAATTTGGAACTCATAAATTAATGATTTCTTCAAGTAAAATTCTGCATTATTTCAAAAGTCAATAATTCTCTAGTAACTTTTCTTCAAACCCTAACCATTATATTATATGTATAATGGAGAATAATTGCAAAGAAAGATAGCCGAATTTACTGGGTAGTTCTTGTGATGCGAAATAATTGCAAATTAACACCTAGTTTTAACAGCATCAATCTCTTTTTGCTCTCATTTAAATGCATTCGCACACTTTAATTTTGAAATATAAGAGTTTTGGAAATTATCAAATTTATCTGCTCAAATACTATAGATCTTCATAAGTGTTAATAGAATCATTAGCCTTACATATAGTGTTTAATATAATGATGCACATTATACTGGGATTCATTCCTTATTCATCTAGTTATTATAAGATTTACAACTCCATGAAAATTTAAAATTTTGTCAAAAATAGTGAATGTAGCTTTTGAGAAAATTTAACGTATTAAATAATCATCCCAGATAGCCAAAATGATATTATCTGTTGTAAACAGAAATTCATCAAAAGTGACACATCAGAAAAGCTAAAATATTGAATTTTTGGAACTTTTGATAGAGCACGTTTTTAAATATTAATTCAAGTAAATGTATATTTTGTAAAGGTTCTTTTTAATAAAAAAATAAAATTTTGAAGAAGAACACAAAATCTTCTGAAAAATAATATCACATAAACTCATATTATTTTCTAATATATAACTATTTTATATAAAAATCAAATTCAATGATCTTAAAAGCGAAGGATAAACCTCAAAATTTACGAATATAATGAGTGGGAATATAATGCTTATCTATCATAAAACCATATGAAATATCAATTTTTGCTTTACGCCTAATTTTTGACGACAATTAGCAAAAAATGTTAAATGTTAACACTCAGTCCATTTGAATATGAAAAATAAAATTGACTTTGATTAAATGTTTTTATTTATCATGCAATTCTTCTTGCGACCAAAGATTTGAATAAAAGTTCAAAAAATAAGATAGCTTAAAAAATAATATACGGTAGTGTTTACTAATAGATGAATAGTATATAAATTCTATTAAAATGGATTTGATCCAAAAAAAATATAAAACCAAAAATAATTGTTATAATTTAAATGAAGAAGTAATTTAAAACGATTTTATTTATGATCAAATTTTATATATTTTTTTGGATCAAATCCATTTTAATAGAATTTATATACTATTCATCTATTAGTAAACACTACCGTATATTATTTTTTAAGCTATCTTATTTTTTGAAATTTTATTCAAATCTTTGGTCGCAAGAAGAATTGCATGATAAATAAAAACATTTAATCAAAGTCAATTTTATTTTCATATTCAAATGGACTGAGTGTTAACATTTAACATTTTTTGCTAATTGTCGTCAAAAATTAGGCGTAAAGCAAAAATTGATATTTCATATGGTTTTATGATAGATAAGCATTATATTCGTAAATTTTGAGGTTTATCCTTCGCTTTTAAGATCATTGAATTTGATTTTTATATAAAATAGTTATATATTAGAAAATAATATGAGTTTATGTGATATTATTTTTCAGAAGATTTCATTTTATATGCCTATGAGAAGTACTCTCAAAACTAACTTTTTCCTAATTATAATTAAATCTAGAATATTGTATTATGCTTAGTATTATTTCATTTTTCTCATTCAATTTAGAATTTACAAATGTCAAAAAATTGAGAGCTGTCACTTTTGATGAATTTCTGTTTATTACATATCAACCATCAAAAAATTCCGATTGATCTGAATTTCAATATTCTGACCAGGCTCACAGAATTTTTTTTCACTCATAAATGCAAAAATTCAGCCAACCTTGCCAACGCAGAGGCAACTTTCATTCCCCAAAGAAAAAATGGACTCCTGAAGAAGACCAGCTTCTAATGAATGCTGTTAAAAACTTTCCTGACATGAAATGGTCAAGTCTTGCCACACAAATTCCTGGACGAAATGGAAAGCAATGCAGAGAACGATGGTTCTATATGCTAAACCCTAGCAATGATAATTCCCCATGGACAAATGAAGAAGATCGCTTATTATTTTCTCTCCAAAAAAATTCACCTAACAACTGGGCTAAACATGCTACTTTATTGAAAGGACGTTCATCAATGGCTATAAAGAACCGTTGGAGATGGTTAAAACGTCATCATTTCAATCCGTCATTTTCTGAAAATACTGATTTACAAATAGCAAAAGCTGAAAAGGAAGATGCAGATGATTGGTCACCAAAACCCCTTTTCAGAAAGGCCACCATAGAATTACCACATCCACCTCAACTATTTATTGAAAAAGATCTCAATTATGACAGCTTCTCTTCTGGACATAACATTAAGGAGTTATTGTCCATTGCAAATATGCTTAACTAATCATTCAATTCAATCTTATTTTTATTTTTTTTGATATATTCAGAAATGTGTATTTATCTATACTCATACTGAATAGTAGCAGTTTAACCTTGTTTGTTATTAGTAAATCATAATTTAATAAATTTTTATTATATTTGTTCCTCTAATTATTGTTTAATCACATGTTTTCGTCATTTTATCCAAGGCTTATAGACGTCGCAGCGTTCTTGGAAATTCTTGATCATTTTGAATATCAAAATGAATTAATTAGCATATCATTTATTCTAATAAAACCCCATGGAAGTTTAATGAAATACTTTAACTTGGTAATGAATACCCAAGAAGATTTTTTTCTTCAAAACAAATGAGGTCAATATCCTGTAGAATCTCTCCGATTTATTGTAGGGAATATATGATTTTAGCATGCTTAATACCTATCCTGGCAGCTTTCGGTTATAATACTCTGATATCTTTTGCAAGTAAAAAACATTATCTTATTTTGCTTTATAACTTTGGAAACATATTATACTATATAGAGAATCAACAGACCTTTATTCACTATTGTGGCAAATCACTTTTATTTTTAGAAATAAAACGTTTCTCAATAAATTTGCAAGTTGTGTTTATTTTACTTAATGGCAATGCAAGTTTGGTCTTTAGTGCACCCTTAACTTTTTAATTTTTTTTAATGTCTGACCAAGACAATCATCATGATAAGTATAGTGAATTCAGAAGTATCTACAAATACTACATCGATTCATATAATTCTTTATATTAGTTAAAAACGGAAAATGAAGAAGATTTAAACTCGATTTACAAAATGATCAAAACCGAATTGATTGATTCAAAGAAGCATTTTCCCCAACATATCGTAAATAGCATTTTATGCATTATTCCGTACAATAATCGCTATGCAAAGTCATTTTTATCTCTTGCAAAATTCTTATGCGATGATTATCAAATAACAAAGGTCAGAGGTATACCAACTATTTCTAACTACATTTTTTATAAAGAATATGGAATTAAATTATACAAATCTGATGATTTCGAAAAAATTAAATTAGAAAAACTTGATATTCATACAGAAAATACAATTTACAGAGCAATTATGTATAATGACTTGAAAGAATTCATCATATTCACTGAAAGAGATGGTTTTGATAAAAATCAAAAACTTAAAAGTCAATTATATCCATATTCTTCTGATGGATATTCATTACTTGAATTATGTTGTTATCATGGAGCAGTTGATTGTTTCAAGTTATTAAGAACGAAATTCAGCTCAGAAATAACTCAAATATGTCTACAACTTTCATTTTTAGGTGGAAATCCAGAGATCATGAGTGAATGTTTGAAATATAAAACACCAAATGAAAATTGCATGATATCTGCAATTATTTCACACAACATTGATTTTGTTTCATTCTTGATGAATGAATACAATTTAGAGATCGATTTAGATTATTGTGCACAGTATAATAATCTTGAAACCTTTTTAGTACATTTTGATAAAAATAATTATATCGACAAATGCTTAATTAACTCGGTGGTTTTTAATATTCCATCTCTTTGTGAATATTTCATTTTGCATGGTGCAAATATCCATCATCATAATTATTTTGGTTTGACATCTCTTCATTTTGCAGCATGTAACAATTGCTATGAAATAGCAAAACTTCTTCTTTCACATGGTGCAAATGCCAAAGAAAAAAATTATGAAGGAGTAACACCTCTTCATAGCGCTACAGTTAATGATAGTAAGGAAATAGCTGAACTTCTTCTTTCATATGGCGCTAATGTCAGTGAAAGAAAATATTCAGGAGGAACACCTCTTCATAGTGCGGCATATAATAATAGTAAAGAAGTAGCCGAAGTTCTTCTTTCACATGGTGCATATGTCAATGAAAAAGATAAGAGGGGCCAAACAGCTCTTCATCATGCAGCCAGCAATAATAGTAAAGAAACAGCACAAGTTCTTCTTTTGCATGGTGCTAATATCAATGAAAAGGATATATATGGAAAAACATCTCTTCATATTGCCACAGAGAATAATAATAATGAAATAGTCGAATTTCTTCTTTCACATGGTGCAAATATCAATGAAAAAGATAAATCTTAAAGAGCCGCTCTTCATATTGCATCAAAGAAAAATTACAAAGAAACAATTGAACTTCTTCTTTCATATGGTGCAAATATCAATGAAAAAGACAACAATGGAAAAACATCTCTTCATATTGCAGCATATCAGAATAGTACTGAAATAGTCGAAGTTCTTCTTTCACATGGTGCAAATATCAATGAAAAAGATAAATCTCAAAGAACCGCTCTTCATGATGCAGCATATGCAAATAATAAAGAAACTGCCGAAGTTCTTATTTCACATGGTGCAAATATCAATGAAAAAAATTTTAAAGGAGAAACACCACTTAATTTTGCTAAATCCCAGAATAACAAAGAAATAATTGAACTTCTTATTTCTTATGGTGCTTCATTTTGATTATTGCCACATTACAAGGTATCAGTAATTTAAATCCAATAACAATATGAGATCTGCTCTTCTCGATTAACAGCCCTCAATTAATTGAATATATAAACTAATTTTGATAAGAATAAAAGAAGAAATTTTACATATTTTTGTGGAATTTATCAATTTTTTTTATTTTATTGATTAATTCGGCAAAACTAGTCGTGAACATCACATATGAAACAAAATAATTAAGATTCTTATTGCTCTTATGTGAGAAATCATAAATAAAAACGAAATTCGAAAAATGTTCTGACCAAATAGTGTAAATAGTATAATTTCATACTATTTGTTACATTCTCATCATCCAAATAAAACATATTTCAGATTTTTGTGCGCTAAAAACATCTTTTCTAATCAAAATTTGAAAATTTCATATTTGATTGAAGGAAAGTAACGATGAAAGTTGACAGATTTATACAGACAAAAACAAGTATATATAATATAACGCACTTTGAAGAAATTTTCTTCAAAGAAAATTTTTTCTAAAATCTATAAAAACAAATTTTCTGAGAGTTCACTTTTCTATGCGAGATCGTCAACATCTACTGGCACAGATGTGGCGAGGAAATCAGCCCTTGTAGTTGGCTCGACTCTAGTAGCAAATTCGGAATTAGAAGGGAATATGAACTTGTTTGTTGCATATTTCGTAATTTTGCTAATTTCGACTTGAGGCTGGGTTTCTGAAGACCAGCCAAGCTCGCTTTCTATTGCATTGACTACATCATCGCATTCTCCGAGTAACTCAGCAGAAAAATGACCTTTGACAGTCGCTCTATTAATTAATATGGAAGGCGTGTTTCTCATCATCCTAGGGATATCAGAGACAGGAGCCACACGAAGAGATGTACCTATAACCAGCAAAAGATCGGCCTCTCTTGCATCATTTTCTAATTCGAAGTCATTCAAGTTAACTGATTGCCCGAAGAAAACTATTCCTGGCTTGATGGCACCTCCACAGAAGATGCATCGAGGAACTTCACCTTTTTCTACGGAATCTCGAATGTCTTCGATTGTATGAAGAGCATCACACGTCATACAATATGATTCTCTCCATGATCCATGAACACATCTTAAATGCTCGGGAAGAATGCCGACATCGAGAGCATCTACGTTCTGCGTGTACAATCTAAGCAATTTTCCACGCTTTTCAAGGTTTTCGAGGAAATAATGCGCTTGGGAATGGCGCGGATATCTTTCTGGGAAAATTGTATGGGCAAAGCGCCAGAAGACTGATGGATCATCCATAAAAGTATCTAAATCGAAGACTTGGCAAGGATCTTCGAAGGCGCCTTCCTTGGCAATCGAATCATATAAGCCTCCCGGGGATCGGAAGTCAGGTCCGACGCTTCCGCCTGCACCAAGAATTACTACAATCTTGGAAGCTTGGTCTATCAGCCTGATTATTGAGTCAAAGTCCTTACAAATGGGCTTGAATATTGGCTGGAACCTTTTGCCCCCATGATAGGTAAGATCGTAGAGTTTTTTCCACAAGATATCTTCATTGTCAGGTAACTCCCCAACGTCTCGGTTCAAGAGCGAGGATAGGAGTTCCTTTGGGTCAGAGCGACATTCCAGCCCGTTAAAAACCAAAGAGCTGTGGTACTCTTGGGATACCGGTCTTCTCATCGCCATTAGACACAGTTGGTCCATCAAACAGACATTCTCAATTTTTCACTCATACCCGCGAAAAATTGAATACATTTTATACGTTAGGAAAATATTTTACCTTAATATTGCTTAACTATACGTATATAGTAGATCTAGTGAGAAAATATCGTTTAAAATTTCCCGCCATTCTCATAACCGAAACGATAATTATCTGACCATTTAGTGAACTAAGGTTGTTTTTTTTCGAAAAATAGAATTAGATATAGGAATTGAAGTCTGATTTAATATCCAATCCTATCCGAATGCCCCTCAAATTTTTTTTGAAGAATCTTCAAACTCACCGATTACTAATAAAAAGCTAATATTTCGTGACACCTTATCATGAGTGTTCAGATGTGCATTCTAAACTTTTGTTCCGTTGTAATTTTCTTAATTTTTTTCAGATTGAACGATACTGTATGAGTTATATTGGGTATCTCATATGCACTTGAGGAATTTATGAGCAATGCATAAATTATGAATGTTCTCCGGTGAATTATTTTTTTATAGTTTTTAATCCTTTCATTTTCACACTCTATGATAATAAGAAATATAATGTACTGTATGGAACTAAAGCAATGGACATCCAAATAGCTAATTCCATTCTATTTAGTAAAAAAATTAATAATTTCATGAGTCAGATTGCTACTTAGTGGCATTCATAGTATAATCACTAAAATATGATAGGTAATTGATTCATACACTAAAAAAATCATATAATTTATAAAGAATTGTGATTACCAGAATAAACCCGGGGATGATTAGCAAATCATCCAAAATTGTGAATATTATTTATATTAATACCAATTTGGGGGATCAAATGCAATAATTTTTGATTTTTCCATTAAAAATGCATCAATTTAGACAATTGGATGGAAATGTTAGCATAAATCATTGAAATTCATTAATGTAGACATTTGCTAGTCTTAAATTTATTCCAAAAAGATTGTTTTATCCTCAATGATTTGAAATTGTATTTCATATTATTGAAAGATATTTAATTATATGGAACAATATGATGGAATACACTAAACAAGCTATTGGTTACATTAAAACCATATGTTTCCATATATAAATATCAAGAAAAATGATTACAAAGTTATATACGTTTTTAAAATCTGTCACTTTCCCTTGAGATATGAGTCACCCAGAGGAAACGGAGTCATTGCTTGATGTGACTCTTAAAAAGTATCCAAAGGAATCTATGAAGAAGGTTTTCAACCTCAGATTATTTATTGTTACAAAAACTTCACCAGAACCTAAAAAAGAAAATATTTGCAACTACTTAAACAAATGGTGCGGACAATCTGAAGTCGATCCTATCCTTGGTATGTCATATTTATATCCAGGATGCACAATTCATCTTCTTCAGAGTAGTACTGAAAAAATGTTTACATTTTTAAGAGCATTAAAGACAGATAAAGATGTTCATGAGTTATGGCCAATCAAAATCCTTCTTTCGACAGATAATGTTCCACCAGACACATTCAAATTTTATCATATTGTCCAAATAGAAACCCTTAAACAAGATTCATTTACAGCAAATGCACCAATTGAAATATCTATTGCAGAAGTATATAATGCATTCCTGTCTTTAACTGAATCTCTCAGTTCAATGGGTGATCAAAAGCGCAAAGACGCTCTTGAGAACCTCCTTCGTGAATATAATATATTTTTACCAGCCGACTTTAGAGTACTCGGATTTGCTGAAAATAAGGAAGTTTGTTTGCTTGATGAATACCTCGAAATATTTGATAGCCCTGTTACATGGTCTCCAGCTCTTGAAACATCATGGCCACCGCCTAAGCGCCATGACCTTAAGGATATTGAGTTCATCTCAGAAGTTGATAGCGATGAACAAAAGGCAGGTCAGTAATTTCATTGGTTTTAATTATAAATATTTCAGTATTATTTATAAATTATTAAATTTTCTTTACTTTTCATAATCTAATTTCATTCAAGTAATTTTCTATTGATTTCTTAATAAACAACATGATCTGACATCAGGTATAACTAAAAAATACCATTTCAGTTATTAAACACACAATAACAGAGATATTGCTTTAATCATTTCACGATGTAAAATCCACATAAGAAAAAATTATGGAAAATTCTTACCATTAATCTTTTTTTAGAAGCTATGGAGGAATCCTGTTGCAAGTTTGATTTCTTCCTCCAGACAGGGAAAGTGCATGCCGTGGAAGTTCTAATCACATGATTGTATTTTGAATAGGCAGGAAATATCGATATGACTAATCAAATTTTCCAAGATAGAATCAATATTCAAATCTCTCTCATATCAATCAATTTTGTCACTTTTTTCACCAAGAAAAAAATGAAGGCATCAATTGATTCAGTCCAATTATATATGAATAAAGGGAATTTCGATATATCACTATTAATAATAGATCAGATTGCAAAAGAATCAGAACTTACTGAAGAAGTTCAAAATTTCAAAATTGAATGCTTGTATTCTCTTCATAGATATCTAGAAGCACATGAATTAGCCAGTAAATATGCTGAAGAAGGAAACGAAAGTCAAAATCTTACATTTTTAAGAGGATTAATATGCTTTGCATTAGAATTATATGAAGAGGCCGCATCTCACTTTAAGATAAATAAACAATGGTCTCGTTGGGTTACTAAATCGAACTTGATGCATCAAATTTCAAGGAAAGATGTACAACCAATAATGTTTAGTGCAGAGCCAAAGCTTTATGAAAAAGATTCATATTCACTTTCATGGTCACAAACAGAAAATGAAGTTATTTTATCAGTAATAATTCCAAACATTGTACCAAGCCAAATTAAAGTACAAAGTTTTCAACGATCACTTGATATAACAATTACAAATGGAATAAAAACAATAGAATCTATTGCTGTTGATCTTGAAAAAGAAATTTTAACTAGAAATACCTCATTCAACGTATATCCTGATAGAATCGATTTCATTTTACAAAAAGCTGTTTCAGGACAACTCTGGAACTTCGAACCGAAGCAAAACGAACCAGAAATTACAATGGATACAATTCTGGCAGAATTATCAACCTTATCTAATCCATCTCACGATGAGGCAGCTGCAGGTTTCCAAAATATGCTTAAATCTACAAATGCTGATTACACTTCTTCAGATGATGAAAATGATTATTCTGATCAAATTCCTGAGCCTAAATCAGACGATGTTAATATTGCTTAGCTGAAGTATGTTCTGTTTGTTTGTTGTTTTTATTTGATTTTATATAAATATTTGTAATTATGAATTATGTTTTGTATTTTTCTGTTGTTCTTTGCTTTAGCATACTATAGACATTATAAGTATCTATTTTAATGAAAGATGGATGATGATTATTTAACGATTATTCCCAAAAAAGTGACGAATGGCCTTCCTTTCTAAATGTCTGCTCCAATCGTTATTGATGCTAAGGGACATATCCAAGGCCGTCTCGCCGCCGCCGTCGCCAAGCAGCTCCTCAAGGGTCGCAAGGTTGTCGTTGTTCGCTGCGAAGAAATCGAATTGAACGGCCAGCACAAATTCACAGTCCACACCTACGAACGCTTCCTCAACAAGACAACAAACTCCAACCCACGTGATGGTCCATTCCATCAGCGTGCTCCACACGAGATTTTCGCTCGTGCCGTCCGCGGAATGATCCCATACAAGACACACCGTGGTGCTGATGCTTTCGCTAACCTTCAATGCTACGAAGGTATCCCAGCTAAGTATGTCTCCTACAAGCGCCTTGTTATCCCACACGCTCTCCGCTGCGTTTCCATCCACACAGACCGCCCAACAACAAAGCTCGGAAGACTCTCCACAACAATGGGTTGGAAATATGGCAACGTCGTTGCTCAACTCGAAGAACAGCGCAAGGCTGAATCAGCCAAGTACTTCGAAGCTAAGAAGGCTGCTCAGGACAAGAGAGCCGCTGCCATCGAGAAGGTTAACAAGCAACTCGGTGCTCAGGCAGTCAAATTCCTTGAAACCTTCCAGGAATAAATTGATTGTTTTTCTTTTATAAATTTTGGACTTCAAAAAAACATATATTCATCATGCTCATATCAATTTCTTTCCCAAATTCTACGTTCAGCATGTTTTCATAATATTTGATAAAATTTCATCAAAAAAAGAGTTGAGATAACAGCAAATTTATATCGTAATTCGAGTTTAAGATATCATGGTAAATCTGAAATCAATATAATATTTAAGTATGATATCCAAAATCTCTTCTTTTTGTTTTTTTTTTGACGTCAAATCTGACAATATAGAAATCATATGTTTTTTATCCTTTCATCACATTCTTTTTCATTTCCTGAAACATGCTATTTCCACCCATCATTCCCAGCTCCTGTCCCTAACATGACATTGCGCCATGTTGAATTAATGACGAGACATGGAGAAAGAACTCCACACGGCTCTTACGAATTATTGAAACCAAAAGACGATTGGGTTTGTGATTCAGATGATGCTATCTCGGGATACATTGATGCTTCTCCAGAAACACATTACAGAAGATACAGACAAGTTCAAGATCCCCGCTTTGTAGAAATCGGAACAAACTGCAGAGTTGGTGATCTAACAACCAATGGAATGAAACAACACTTCAATTTAGGACAAGCAGCAAGAAAACACTATGTTTCTGATTTGAAGTTCCTTCCTGAATATATGGATCCTTCTCAGTTTACATTCATCGCCTCTCCTTACGAACGAACTGTTAAGAGTGCCCAATCATTCCTAACAGGTTTGTATCCTCCTTTGAGCGACAATGAAGTTTTAAATATCCAAACCCCAACAGAATCATTTAATTCATTAATTCCAGGCTCTTGCAGTGAGTCAGATAAGGCTCAAACAGAATTTGCTCAACTAAATTCAACAAAAGAATACGTCAATACGAATTGGGAGCCATTGAAGGAAATTGCAGCTAAAGGTAAAATCAAAAAGAGTTTCAACAAGCTTTACAGTATCTGTGACTGGATTGTTGCTCAAAAATGCGGTCAATCAAATCTTCCTGACTTTTTCACCGACGAAATCTTTGAACACTGCCAGAAAGTTGAATCATTTTATACATTCGACATATACGCATATAAGCGCGAGCTCGCAATCTCTCCAACTCTTAGACAAATCTTCAAAGTTACCGATCAAATCATCAGTGGACAATCGGAGATCAAATTTGTACTCTTCAGCTCACATGATTTAACAATCGGTGCTTTCATGGGCTTCTTAGGCATCAAAAAAGAAATTGGACCGCCATACGCTTCTGCCTTCTTAATGGAGCTTTACCAGGATCAAATTGGCGATATGTACATAAGGTTTATCTATAATGGAGAACCTCTTACTCTTCCTGACTTCGGAGCTGAACTTATCAGATATGATAGGTTCAGAAGTTGGGCAGAACCACTTATTCAACATTGCTTCGCCACACGAGTTTAATTAACTTTTGTTATTAGTGTCTAAATATTACATTTTTAGAATAAATATTTTAATTTTAGTTTTCAATCATTTTTATTAAATACATGTAACATATTCCCCTTGAACATTTATAAAACAAATAACTAAAGTAGATTTATATCAATTAATTTCAAATTTAGATATAATTTTCACCAATCATTGTAAATTACCTTATATTTATATCCTTTGCTCAAGAGAAGCCAATCTTACTATTAAAAAGAAAGTTTGAATTTAAGAATATAAAATAACAACAAAATAACACATTTTATTTAGAAGCTCTAAGATAAGCTTTTACAATTGGACGATCAATATCTTGGAGGAAGCGAACTTTTCCTTCTTGGATTAATAATCTTTCATCTAATCTTTTCATTGCTGAAGTTAGAACGCGGAGTTGCTGCTGAATAGTATTAAGTGAAGATAGTACATCTCCACCATCAAAATCTTCCTCATTTTCCTTGCTCTGATACCAAACACAAATTTTGCGATCATCGCCACATGTTGCAAAGTGTTTGCCATCAGAACACCATGTAACATTGTTAACACCAGAATCATGCTGCTGGAATGAAGTTATGATGTCTGATGATTTCAATGACCATAATCTAACAAAACCATCTTTGGAAACTGTTAGATAGTCGTCTGTATTAGGATTGAACGAGACTCTGGTGATTCCTTCGCAGTGAGCTCTCTGACGGCGAACAATGTTTGTTGTCCTTAAATCGAACATTCTGATCTTGTTATCATTAGAACTTGCGGCGAGACAAGATCCTAAGTGATGGAATGAAAGAGAAGATATATCTGTCTCAGTACGGGTTGAGATTTTTTGCGCTGCTTTGCCTGTTCTTTGATCATAAATAATAATGTTTCTATCGTTTCCGGCCATTGCTACGAGATCTCCGTGGACTTGGACGTCATTAACCCAGCCATTAATTCCGTTCATAATTAATAAACGTTCGCATTCTTTGGCATCCCAAAGAATAACGGATCCGTCATGAGAACCTGTAGCAATTTTAGACGAATCTTGAAACCATGATACGCATGATACACTTTGTTTATGCGTTTTAGTTGTAAAAATTGTTTCTTTTGTAGAAAAATTCCATAACTTTGTTGTTCTGTCTGTTGAAGCTGTGGCAAATAATGTACCATCTGGAGAAATTTTAATATCTGTAATAGGAGATTCGTGCGCTTCGATTATATCGTTATCTTGGTTTTCTCTGTCAAATATTCCAATTGTATGATCATCTGAAGCTGTCATAATGATCTTCATGTCATTTGAAACTGCCACACTATTGATTGGCTTGGTATGCCGCCTTATTTGATAATCAAGTTTCCACATTTTTGTTTTACTTGATTGTTGTACGTTTAGGTCACTTTTTTCCCCTCTCCCTTTCAAAGTCACTGACCGAAACATGGAATAATTAAGCATATTTAATACATGACTTTGCAGAATGTCTATTATAATATAACACAAAGCATATATTCTCAATTATGGAATCATTTGTCTCAAGCAAAGAAAATTGGAGAAACAACTCTTCATACTGCAGTATCTTTTAAAGGATATGAATTTCTTCTTTCGCATGGTGCCAATGTTAATGCAAAAGGTAAAAAACAACAGCCTGCTCTTCATTTGGCAGTAAAGGAAAATAAGCTTCGATTCTTATTTATGATTCAAATAATGCTCGACATCAGAAACAGAACTAATCATTTGATAGGGATTAACATCTTTCCGTCAAATACTAGACCGTTTCGCTCGCCTGACAAAAAATCAGAAAAATGTGAATTTCTTATTTCATTTACTGAAATTAGTTACTATTAAATGAATGCTATACTAAGTGATTGAAATGTTTTATGTTTGAGTGCCAAATATGAAGGTGAAAATTAAAGATTCCGGCATTTTTTTTCCAGGTCAAAAATTTTCATCCGATATTTGAAAATTAAAATGCATTATCTAAAGCAGAGCAATGTATCATATAGAATTATGGTAAATTTTGCATTGAAATACTCAAAAAAGTGTCTCTGCGGTTGTCAAAATGAATCAAGTAATCTTAGATAATCTCCTTAAGTACGAGCTCAAAATCAGAAGAAACAATGAGAATAACAGCCACCATATTGCCATTGAAACGATTAATCTCATTTTGGATGCAATTAAAAATGCAAAATCAAATGCAAACGTTGAAGACTTAATTCGTCGCATTACAGACAGACTTATCAAAGACTTCCCCAATGATACAATTATTAAGAACATTTGCTCTCAAGTTATCGTTAAACTTGAAGATTTTATAAAGGATTATCACCAAAGAAATACAAATACGAATGCTCAAATGAGAAAGAGCCACTCATTACTTCAAATCATCTCCGATTATACCAATTTTACAAGCAGTAATTCTGACGAACTTTTATCTTCTCACGAATTACCAGAAGATCTCAGCTATGTCATGAAATCTCAGCTTGAAGAACTCATGAACGATCTTTCCAACCCATACCCAGATATCGCAAAGAACGCAAGTGACTATCTTCACGCAAATGATGTAGTTTTGACAATTGGTCGGTCCGAGTCTGTTGCGCAGTTCATTGTATCAGCAAAATGCGAACTTACAGTCTTCATTCCACTCCGTGCTCCTAGAAACGACGGCATAGATATGGCCAATAAGATAAAGAATCTTCTTTCTACGAATAAGAGCAGTTCCAAGGTTAAAATCGTTGTTATTCCAGATGCTTCTGTCTTTGCTATCATTCCAAAGGTCAATGTCGTTCTTCTTTCCGCTAGAACTGTATTTGCTAATGGCGGAATCATCAGTTTCTCTCTTAGCCATGCTGCCGCACTCGCTGCAAGTAGATACTCAAAGACAGTCATCGCATTGTACTGGGAAATGAAACTTACATCAGATATGTATCATCCAGGTGAAACTTACGCGATTTTGAAGGATCCAAGACAGGTTATGGATGATGAAATAGTTGACCAGACTGATTCTACGATTATTTACCCAGATGGAGATTCTATTCCACCAGAACTTATTACATTGATGAAGAATGAGTCTAAGGCTCACGTTCCAACTGATGTGTTCTCCATTGTTCAGCAGAACTACTTCGTTGATGAATAATAAAGTAGAATATATTATTATTTCATCTAAAATATATTAATACTTATATTTAAACGTTTATGCTTTATAATTTTAGCCATTATTTCTTTTTTTTTAAACTCATTTTCCTACATAAAGTCTCCCTATCGTTTTTCTGCCTCAATATTGAGTGAAACTAAGGGTTTCGTTTTGCTAAAATTGTCACTTTTATAGCATATTTGTTTTTGGATGTTTTGCGAAACCAAAAAAAAAAACTATGATATACAATGTGTGTGTAAAGAAAATACTTTATTTACTAGTTAAAAAATCATTTGGTATTGATCAAGTTATTTTTTCTGGATAAGATATTATATGGATAATTGGATAGAAAATACAATTATATAATCTTGTACCTGGTTTAATTAAGCTAATTGTCATCAGAAACTTGTAATTTTTATGAATTTCAGATTTTCTTTTCATTACTGCTTTTCTTAATAGGTCAATTTCTTATTTACGTTATAAAGTATGATATTTACAAATATCAAGTTATCGTGTTTTTTGAGAAATTATGAGAAACAAACAAAAATGAAAAAGATAGGAATAGCAATGAATAGTGATGTGGGTATAGAAAATGTAAGAGATATGAATGCAAAGCAATCAGTATTTAGGATATTGACCATAGATTTCGAAAAAAAATGCTGCATATTGAGCGAAAACTATGATTATATTATAAGGCTGTCATTTAAAGCATAATAAAACTATTCCCTTTTCATTTTAATCGAATAAGATAGTAAAGATTTTTGAATTAGCTAGAAACTGATGAGATGTTTTCACAAATCAGATTTTTAATCTCTATAATGCATAATTCACTCAATATCTCAATTTTGATATTGCGAGATATTTTTGCTATCGGTTTCGCAATTTTGACACAATAGCAAGAGGGTTCTATAAGCATTATTATCAACGTAGAATCTGAATATCATATCAGAAAATGTCGCAAATCTGACATTTACCCGACCAAATAGCAAAAATAATTGAATACTTTTCGCAAAAACTTTAAAAATCGATAAAAATATGAAATATAGATATTAAAGAGACTTTTTATATAATATTCATAAAGATTTTCCAAAAATATGATACCGCAAAATTAAAAAAGTGACGTCTTGAGTGGAGTCAAAGGTCGAAATTGCTAGCTAAATGTTTTTTTAGTGAAATTGCGTATTGTACGTTTTTTTCGCAAAACGAAACCCTTAGTGAAACCCTATAAAAAACTTGAATAAGAGACTTTCCGAAGGAAAAGTATTTTTTTGTGATAATTTTTGAATTTCTAAGACAAATTCTCAATTTTACACATCAAATATGATTTCTAATTCATTAGCATACGGTTATTTATGATTCTAATACTGTTCGGCATTAAGGGTACACTTATATCACTTTCTGACATTCTCTCAATTTTTTTGACATATCTAACTTTATGTCTCAACTGCTGAGGTGAAAAGCTGATATTTTATAGTATTTTACTATTAAAACAAGGATTTGTTCATTTTATGAGAGCTTGTCAGAGAGTAGTATGTACACCCTTATATTATTTCAATTTATTAAAAAAAGATTTTTGATATATTTTGAAAAACTTCGAATTATTCGATTTTGCTCAGTTTCATATAAAATTATTGAAAATTAAATAGGAAAATACAACATTTACTCTATATATAAGTATATTACTCAATAACTTCTTGACTGCGCTGGGTATTAGGCTGCTGACCATCAGCTTGTTGGGTGGCGTCTGCAGTTTGCTCCTCAACTCCGTCGTTAATAAGGTATTTACCCATTTTTCGAATGGTTTCTTCGCCAAATTCTGAATGAAATCTTGCTCCGTATGATATTTCTATCTTTGGACATGCTTCTGATTCTATCTTCTTTTCTTTGAGATATTCCATTTTTGACCAAATATGAATTTGATCAGGCCAATTACCTATAATTTCGGAATCTTTCTCGACACCAGCATTTTCTAACAACTGCCAGCATTGGTCAAGATCCATTTTTCCGTTTTTGAAGTATAATGCAATAAAGATAAACGTTAATATGCCATATTTCTGTTTTTCAAGTGTAGTGAAAGGAATTGGGGCTTCTTCAGGGTAGTTCTTATCTCTGATTAAGAAAAGCTTTGAACTTGTACCTTTCTTTCCCTCAGGAACATATTCATGGATTTTTAGACCGAGAGTTTCTTGTAACATGGCTGAAGCCCTCTTAACGACGTTATTTTTTTTAGAGTCGACACTTTTATTCATAACAGTTTTTAATTGTGCTCTTTTAACGGAAAGTCTTTCACGATTTTTATACAAGAAAAACCTGGCAACACGGCTGGTTTCCTGATCATCGCCATGACGTTGTTCTTCATCGCCTTGATCTCCACGATCTTCGTATGCATCCGAATCGCTCATACTTAAAAAGTGACAGTTCCATTTCAGGAATAATCTCGATAAAAACATACACTTGTAAACAATGATATCAGAATGATTCTGATTATATAACAACGGAATATTACCTATTAACGCATATTCCAAAACCATTGCTTTGTGTTTACAAGTTATATTTTTCCTTGACTCACAAATGACAATATAATACCATTTAGAACGATTTCAGAAGGAACAGGATTCCTTAAAGATCAAAGATTTAAATCGATGGCGCCAATGTACATGGGTGAGTAAAAGAAGTTGGAATAACTCCGCTTATGTTTGCACTGGAAAATAGATACCGCTTACTTCTTGAGTTTTTCGAATATATGTAATAGAAATTTATATTCCCAAAGGTGCAGCTATATATACAAGGGATAGCGAACACATAGCTTCTTTCCATTCAAAAGCTATTTCTGATTCAAATTGTTTTGCATCATTGAAGAATCATAAGAGATATCTGAAATTAAAAGGTATAGGATCAATGGAATTTTCAGCTCTTATGTGCCTTCTCCTTATATAAACAAATTTAATTTAATATTAGCCATTTTTGTAATGCTTCTGGCCACCACATTTTTCTATATCAAGAAAATAGTTTTCTTCACTATTTCGTTCCAAAACATTCATTATTTTGCCGAAATTCTGCGTCAAAATCATAAAATGTTTTTTTCTTTATTTTTAGCATCAACTCTATCAGAAACAGGAGACAAAATCCTAAAAGAATCTTCTGATATAAACAATACTATTACAAATCAAACAGAAACAATCAATAAAACGTTATCAAACGAAAATGAAAATCAAAACGTTTCAAATATAACAAATAATAGCACTTTAGTAACAGAAAACAACAGTACATCAGAAAACACAACCAATACAACTTCAATCATTACAGATGACGAAGAGGAAGGAGAAGATGATATCAAAAAGAAAGAAAAATTAATGGCAGAAAAAGATATTGAGAGGATTCGTAGAATGCATCATATGGGCGATTTTGATGAAGACAGGCCTGAATGTATTGGAAATAATTCTTATCCAAATCGTGTTGGCGATAAATACATATGCACATGCAGAAATGGATACTTTGGCAAGGAGGGCGACGTTAATGGAACAGATTGCTGGACTTGCAAACCATTTTGTCATACACTCGCTAAATGCGTGGCTGAAAATACATGCAAATGTCATGATGGATTGCTTGGTGATGGATACAGTTGCTATCCACCAGCACCTTCAATCAAAAATATAATTACTCCATCTTCTGGAATTCATCCGATTCATGTTATTGTGGAATACACTGAAGTTTCGAGCTTTGAACCATATATGGCTTTTTGCAAATTCGATGAATTAATCTCAGGTGCTCAAATTTTTAAGAACAAATCCATAGCTTGCCTACAACCACAACTATCAGGAACATGCCACCTTTCGATTTCTTTTGACGGACAACATTTTTCGGAAAGCCAAAAATATTCATATGTTTCAACTCTTACAGCACAAAAAATAGATGCACAGCCTTTTGATTTCTCAAAATATAGTCAGTTGTTTGCAATAATATCAATCGTTCTTACAATAACTGCTGCTTTAATTAAATTTAAAGGATTTTTCGGTTCTTCAAAGGCAATCTTTAGAGATCCACTAGGAGTGCCACAGGTTAAAGCTGACTAGATAGCTTTTGTTTTTGTTTTTATTATATTTTATTTATTGTTATTTTTAAAATTAAATGATCTTCTTTCTTGAGATTTATTCACTGTACAACAAGAAATTACACACTTATTTCGCGATTCTTAACCCGCATGACAAAATCTCAATAAAAAACATGATGAATTACCACCAACATCCAAATACTAATTGAAATGAGTAAAAAGCGTATTAAATAAAATCATATTAATAAATTTATTGATAAAGAAGGAGTTACCGTTATACAAACTTAAACAGAACCTGCGGACAAATTTTCAGCTTCTGGAGGATTATTGTTTTCTGGAGTTCCTGCCTTTTCAATAGAACTACTTTCAACATTTCCTTGACTTTCTGTGACAACTTGATCTTGTTTTTGTTCTGGGACCTTTATTGTTTGGGCTTGAATGTTTTCTACTTGTTTCTGTTCTTGCTTCTGAGCTTCTGTGGTTTCATCTGGAATAAAGAGGGAGATAACTATAATGGCTAAGGCAATAAAGATGCCCCTGCATAATTTCTGGTTAGCACGGAACCACTTGCAGCAGGAGCCGTTGCACTTCTTGCAGCAGCAGCATTTCTTGTACCATGGAAGGTTCTTAGCTGGAGATGGTGATGTTTGGCGGGAGGAGCTTTGGCTGGATGACATCCTAAGTGAAAAATAGTTTTCCGCCAAACCTAAGCGGTTTTTCACAAAATAAACGGACATGATTGAATAATGCGTAAACGGACATCCATCTTAAACGTATAAGGAATTTAATCTATCGGTATAATTTTGTAAAACCGTGAAGGTGATTGATGAAAGAGGTAGGGCAACGATAGGTCAAAAAGGCTTCTCTGATAGATTTCCTTGCCTTTTGGATATGCTATAATATATAGCCTAGCATGATAGGATAAAAAAAAAAAAAAAAAAAAAAAAAAAGGTAGTGGGGCTTCCAGGCACTTCGTGCCCTCTAGCCCCCCGTCACTTTTCTGTCACTTTTCAGGAAAAAACATTTTTATTATATATATAAAATGAATTTTACAAAACCACCGTTACCCTTCTTTGGAAATAAGAGTAGATGTAAAGATATTCTATTGAGAGAACTTAAGAAACTACCGAATGGTCTAACATTTGTAGATTTGTTCGGTGGAAGTTTCTATATATCTCATTTGTGCCATACTGTATTTCCTGACTCAAAGATTATATGCAATGACTTCGACAACTATATGAACCGTCTCAAACATATACCAGACACAAACAAAATATTGAAAGAGTTAAAAGAAAAGATACCTATAGGTAAGATGGAACGTATACCATTAGATAAGAAAAATACTGTCAGAGAGGTTTTGAAAAAAGCAGAATATATAGACTGGGATAGTATATCTGCTAGACTATTATATAGTGGTGCTATAAGAGTTCATGACATTGAAACACTTATGTCAAAAGTTTTATATCTTAACTATACAAATGTTTTCAAAGAGAACATAGAAAAATATATTGAGGTATAGAGTTTGTGAGATGTCATTGGACAGAGTTGTATGAAAAATATAAAGACAAGGAAAATGTTTTCTTTATAGTGGACCCGCCGTTCTATAACACATGGGATTTTCAATAAAGTAGACTGGACTTTGAGAGACTCTTTAGAAACTTTAGACGTTTTACATAACCATCCATGCTTTTACTTTACATCCGATAAAAGTGGTTTGGAAAGTGTCATGAGATGGTTAGAGGACATACATGACTATGATTTTAGATACGATAAGATAGAATATGAGAGAGGTCCTATAAACTGGAGAAAGTGTCATAACAAAGAAATTTTACTAGTAAGTAAATGTGGTTTGAAATAGGACTACTTGTTTTAGGTTTTTTCCATTGTGTCATTTACTTATTTGACGTGGCAGAAAAGTACAGAGAATATGAAGATGAACCAATACCAGCAAATGTTCAGCATATGTACTCGTAAGAGATATTTTTATCTAATATTAAATGGACGCACAGAACTTAGCGAATGCACAGCAACCTGGACAACCAAACCCAGAGAATATTCCAAATGAAGTTAGAATACAAACTGCAATGGCAAACTATGGTCAAGTGCCAACAGATGTACAAATGCAAACTGCCATGTCAAATGACGCTGCGTTAGGCTTACCACCATGGTATGCAAATATGAGATGGAAAGAGTTTTATACAAACCCGAAGTGGGATATAAACAACTCTATGCAGATGACGCGAACACAGGAGTTGACCCAGAGTATGTTTTCTACCAGAGGAGAAATAGAATGTATGAGCTCCAGTTAAAGAATGCTATGGAACTCAGAAGGAAACGTAAGAGACTAGGTGGACATTAGATTTTTACATATAGTAAAATGGGTTTCTTTGGAAGAATAGGAAACTTCTTTCGAAATGTTGGAAGAGGTATATGGAATGGAATAAAAACCGTCGGAAGAGGAATTTGGAACGGAGTCAAAAATATTGGTAAAAGAGTAGGTCAGTTCGTTGGTATTATACCTAAAGACCCTGAACCAGAAGAACAAGCTCCTGTTATACAACAGCCTGAACCTGCACCACAGTCTAGTTGGCAACCAAATCCAACACCTCAACCGTATTAAAATTATATTTTTACCGTTCGATAGTAGTTGTATATGAAACTAAGTTCTAAGTAAAACGCGTGGTATAATGGAATTATTCTCTTTCTTCCATCTGTAGTAAACCATACTTGAAAGTCTGAAATACTTCCACTCGGTGGTTCATATAGCTTTGTAGGTTTTTCGTAAAAGTCATTTGCCAAGCATAAAAAGAGTTTTGTGCACCAGAAAATGAAGCATGAACTATAATAGCATCTGAGTCGAAAACATTTTCATATGTTCCATTAGGGTTTTCGACTTCATAAAAGTTCGGGTGTACTGGATATTCTGCAGGCTGATTTAACATCCTCAAAAATCTATACCATGCCAAGTTGTTATATTTTGTAGAAATATAAACGTCTTCTCCAAGGTCTTCTATTCTATTGATTTTAACAGTTGCATTTTTCCTGTCATATATAATATCGAGATGGTACTCTCCTTCGTCAATGTTGTACTGTTTTGCATATTCGAGATAGATATCGTTTATTTTTTCTTGAAAAGCTTGAAGAGTTGTTTCTAAGTTTACAAGCAAACTAACTTGTAAAAGTTTTCCCTGTTCAAATTTCTCATACGTACGTTTTTCTTTGTTATAGTATCGAACTTCAAAAGCGACCGTAAATGGGAAACCATGTATGGCTTCTGAAATGAACTTCATTCTACGAAAGCCAATAGCTTTTGTGACGGATGGTCTCTTAACCATCTTAAGGGGTAGTCAAAACGATAGCCTTCATGCTTTACGGTCTCTGTCTCAAACTTTTGACCGACATTAGTAAAAAGTTCATCTAATGGTTTAGTTGTAGCAACTCTTGAATTTCTTTTCTATTGAAAGCATATTTTATCTAGAATAAAAATGTCGAAAGAAACAGCGTCTATGAGAGAAATACAACACAACCGACAACTCATTTTGCAAGCTCTAAATAAGAACACAACAAACTTTTCAAACTATTCTAAGATATCTGAGTCATTGAAAGAAGGAAACTTAAAACTGACATTAAACCCAATGACAGACGAGTTTCTGTTTCAAGACAGTAAGAACCATACTGTTTGTATAAATCCAACAAAAAGAACTTTAAACGAGAAGCCTATAGATGAACTTCTTTTGAAAGCAGATGTTGGCAACAAAGCTGACAAAGAATATGTCATTGAAAAAGTTCAAGAAGAACATGACAGAGCAGATGCAACATATGCAACGAAAGAGGATGTTGAAAAGAAAGCTGACAAAGAGTATGTTGACGATGAGTTAGCATATCTGGCTAGTGGGTTAGTGAAGAAGGCAGATAAGGAATATGTGGATGAAAAAGACAATGAAATTATAAAAAGGGTTGAATGGTACCATGAACGGACATCGAAGATTTTAGAAGGTAAAGCCAATACAGGGTGGGTTTCAGGATGTTTAGACCTTAAAGCGGATAAGAACCATACACATACCATTGCAAATATTACAAACTTACAAGAAACCTTAAACAGGAAAAGTGACGTTGGACATACACATACCATTGCAAATATTACAAACTTACAAGAAACCTTAAACAGGAAAAGTGACGTTGGACATACACATAGCTTCTTCGCAACTGTTGGTATAGAAAATATTGAAGGAACGGTTGAAGAAACTGGTGGGGATGCAATATATTGTAAACCTCCTAACTTTCCACAAGGTTTAACATCGGATGACGACATAACAACGATGAGAAACATTAGATGTAGAGATGTTTATGTCATGGAGGATGAACATAATATTAAATTCACTGCTCAAGATTTATATGACAAGAAAGCAGACAAAAAAGAGCTTCAAACATTAAAGACAGAAATACTTCAAACCATTTACCCGGTTGGTTCTATTTATACGTCAATGAACTCTACCAGACCAGAAGTAGTACTTGGTTTTGGAACTTGGACTCAAATACTCGAAAGTTTTTTGTATTGTGCACACACTCCAAAGAAAACAGGTGGAAGTAAAACGATATCTGTCGACAACTTGCCACCACATAGTCATTCTGGTACAACAAACTTTTCTGGCGACCATAGCCACTCATTAAGAGACCACCCATTATACAACTCAGAGTATGAAGCTGGCTATGACGTTTATCTCCAGATTATACCATTCAGCAAAAAAGACTTTTCGACAAACTGAACCAGGAGGAAACCACCAACATACTTTTACAACAACATCTACAGGACTAGGTAAAAAATACATGCCACCTTACATGACAGTTTGTGCATGGTATAGAATTGCTTAGTCGTCATTTTCAACTTCTTTAGCATATTCGTCAGGAGTTGTCTTATATTTGTTTGGAACTGTCTTTGAAAGTATACCACCTTGAACCTTAACAAGTTTGAACGAGGTCTGACAATAGTAGTTTTATCTTCTGCTTGCAGTCTGTACATTTTGCCATGTTTGCCTAAAACTTCATAATATTCTCTTGTATACTTTCTTCTATTTTTACGAACACGAATGTGAGTACCTGTCGAGTTCCATTGTTGTCATAGTCAATAGTATTTTCATATGGGTCGCGTTTAGGTATTTCTATTTTTACTTTGTCACCTTTCTTAAGTTTGAAGCCTGGCATTCTTTCTTGTTTGTCTCTTTTGACTAAATTGTTAAATATAAAGTCTTTCTCTAAGTCGGGGTTGTTTTTCATTTCTTCGGGGGAGTGGTTTCCCAAACCTTTTTGTTTACGGTTATTGTAAATATTTAAAACTTGTCTCATCTTTGCCATGGAGAAGTGTCTATACTTGTCGCATATGACATTTCATTTGCTTCACCACCTTGTGGTTGATTTAAGTCTCTTAAGATTTTTATACAACTGTCAATGACACCAAGAGCAGAATGGTTTTGGTCGACAATGAAATATTGGTTTACATTTTTTGAACGCAGATAGTTTTTAATATCGTCTGATTTGAAAGAACTTTCACAGTCAGATGTCAGTTTTGTTGGATGGTATTTGTCAACGAATATTGTCAAAGCAGTTTTCACATCTAAAATATTTTTGGACTGTAATGGTATGGCTTCACAGTATCTTGTGTTTTGACCGACAAATATTAGCCAGTATGGTGGTCCATCTTCTCTATACCTCGGAATGTTTTCCAAGATATCCATAAACCAAGCATTTGGTGTTGAACTAAAGATTTTTATCATGAGTGCTTTCTTTGTCGCTTTAGAAACATAGGGGTCCTTGTTTGGATTCGTCATTTTTTACCCTATAAGAAATGGGTTTATTTGGCGCAATAGCAGGAGTCGCATCTAGATTTTTGCCCGCAGTGGGAACACTAGCCAGAGGTGCATTTGGAATTGGAAGGAAGATTTTGAGTACATTAGGTATACTTAAAGAGAAAGCACAACCTATTATACAAACTGTACAGAAAGGTTGGGAGGTAGCACGAGATGCAGCAAATCTTATTCCAAATCCTGAAACAAGAGGAAAAGTTCAAGGATGGATGGACAATGTAGGAAGACAAGCAGGAAACTATTATAACAAAGCAAATGACTACTATAACCAAGCAGGACACTATATGGACCAAGGTGAAAGATTCTTTAACAGAGGATATAACCATGCACAACAATGGGTAAACAATAACCAACCTCAACCGCCTCAAACGTGGGGAATGTAAAATTTTTTACCGAGATGAAATGAACAATACAGCATTGAGACAAATGGGTTCAAGATGGATTTGTCGACTTCCAGCAGTTACACAACGTGTTTGTCAAGTTCTTCCTATACCTCAGGAAGTTTTAGACCGACTTAAAAAACAACAACAACCAGTTGAAAACAAACCAAACTAAAATTTTTTACTGAGATGAAATGACCGAAGAAGTTGAAACGGTAGATTTGACACCACAAACAAAAAGTTCAGAACCATTGTCAAAACCTGTCAAAGAACTTACCGATGAAGAGAAAAATTCAATAATAGAAAGTGCCAGGTCTGGAAATACAAACCCTAACTACAAAGTCACTTTTCATAGAAATGGAACGGCTAGTATCTCAAAAAAGAAACAGACTCTCACAAATAAAATATTGAAGTCTGAAGGAGCTTTCGAGACAACAGATGGAAAAGTTTACTTCACTGACCAACAGTTCATTATAGAACATCTCATTGACTTAGAGTCGAAATATTCTAAACTTTACAACAAACACAAAAAGTTGAAAGGAAAACAAAAACAAATGGCATATGATATTTATGAAGATGTTGACGACACAACTGTTCCTGCAAGTGAGGTAAAGTCAGAGGAACCGAAAAGTGACGAAAAACCGATAGAAGAAGAAAAACCAAAAACTGAAGATAAACCAAAACCAAAGTTTAGTTTCCAAACTAAACCAAGTCAACCTTCATTAGCTGGTATGGGTTGGCGTCAAAGACTTATGGCAGCAGGTGGTTATGTAAAGTAAAGAAAAAAAATATTTTTTTATTTTTATAAAAATGCCCCCATATAGAATGGACAGAAGGTCTGCTAGAATAAAAGCAGAGTTAGAAAGATATGGTTGGAAAGTTTCGAAGAAGTTTAAATATAGGAAGGGAAAGCCAATAAAAGTCTATGACAAACTGTCTGGTCTTCGCTACGAGATGGACTTAGAAACCGCGCGCGCCAATTATCCAAACAGACTGGAGAGGTTAGAAGAAGAGCGTCTTATGAACTTGCCTTTCGATGTTAGTGAGCCTCAAGTTGAAGGACACGACGGCTTTGCCAGATTCTACTGGAAACATGACGAACAATTGCATCCCTTGAGAAGGAAAAAAGGAAAAGGTGAAGACGCACATGCTCCCATGGAAAGAACAAGATATGCATATGAAAAGTATCGTAGTTAGAAGTAAAATTACTTCTGGTCGAACCTTTACAGTAAATTTTGACGAAGGAAAGAACAAAGAAGGCTTCATGGGTGTACTTGCTGCAATTCAAGACGGAAATAAGAAAGGATACAATCTCAGACTAACCGTAACAGATTTAGATGGTCATATATACTATGCACATGGCAATGTCACAACAGCCGCACAACTTCTCGACGCTTTCAAGACTACAAAGAGAGAACAAATGTTTGACTCCGACTCAGACATTTTGAATGCAATTGAAGGAATTGCAAGTGTAAAGTTCGAATGGTACCAACATAACCCTCAAGCAGTCAGACAACATGCTGGATACTTCCCGTTCATAAATAAGTCTGACATTGACTTGACAAGGTATGGAATTTACAATTCAATTGAAACAATTGTCAATGAACCTTGTATTCTTACATGTCTCAGGAACTCTGGTCTTGTTCAGAGAGAAGATGAAGTATCTTGAGTCATGTGTGAAGACAAGGTACATTCTCAGAGGTCAATTGGCAAAATTGCACCGTTGGCAAATGTCAATATCCGAGTCAACATTCCGACTGAGAAAGGTTCTTCACATGACGACTATGTTGTTGAGCAAAGACTTACCATGGTTGAAGATTGTAATTGTCCACAACCACTTCATGTTGAACGAAAGTCTTACAAACCCATTGTTCGGAAAAGGCAAGTGCAACATTGTCAGAGCTGTTAACATTCTTTTCGAGAAAGGTTTGTTGGAACCAATTCCAGATGACAAGCTGACAGAAAGTTTTGTACCAAAAGACGAAACAAACTTTTCACTGTTAGCAAGACCAAAAGTTGTTCCAGACAAAGTTCTAGTACAAAAGAAGTACACAGTTCCAAAAGGAGTTGGATTGTTCGGATACCAACCTGAACCAGAAGAACTTCCAATGAGGTTGCAAGAACTTCAAGATGCTATAAACAAACTTCCATTGAGAAATCCAATCGACGTCAAATTGTATTGGAGAGCATCGGAGTTAGTCAGAAGGTTTTATATGAAACAGGTTGCTTCGACGATGTTTATGAGATAACAGGAGAAGTTTCTCAGAAGATAAGAGACTCACTTGAATTTCCACGAACTGGACCCATTGGTTGCGACAAGTTCGACTCATACGAAAAAATATACTATGTCGACCTTAACGCTGCGTACATGAGGTTCGTCCAATATATCCCGACTGGAATTCCAAACGAAGATGGTGAGTTCCCAGGAAGGAACTATACAGTTGGAAAAGTCATACAACAACTCTATGATATTAGGAAAGCTTCAAACCGCAAACTTGCAATGACACTCAAATTGCTTATGAATTCGACATGGGGATATTCCATTAAGAAACCTCAAGAGATGAAGAGTAAACATTATGAGAAGGTCGACAACTTTGTTGAAAGGTTTTCTCCTTTTGTTTTGAAGTACGAATTCACTCAAGGTCAAAGTGGCTTAGTAACCACATTAAAACCTATTGTCGAACATTGGTCTTACCCTCAGTTCGCAAAGGCAGTCCTTGACAACTACAACAAATTCTTCTCCGAAGTCAAATCCAAAGTCAAGGTTTACTATGAGAACATTGACGCACTCATGACGAACGAAGAAGGCTATAACAAACTCATTGAAATGGGCATGGTCGGTGAAAAGATGGGTCAATTCAAATTGGACAAAATTTTCACCGAAGTTCATGTAATATCGAAAAGGAAGTACTGGGGTGTTAAAGAAGACGGCACAGAAATAAAACATTGCATGAAATAAAAAATTTTTATTCGAATTTGAATCGGACAGGTCGAGTTACACCATTCTTGGTCTCAAACTCATATATAACCTGTTTGTCTGTATTTTCGTCGACTATGGCACGAGACACGAACATTGACCAAACGGACAAAAAGTGTCATTTCAGATGGTCACGCAGCCAATCGCATTCGAGCACTTCGAAGAAGCCTTACGTTCCAAGGGAGAGGGTGTCTGGTGCAAGGCAGAGGTCATGAGACTCTACGAGCAGTACATCCTCAATGCCTGGGAGGACAAATCGTCCTTGGATTGGCAATTCTACCAACTCCTCTGGGACGACCTCCTACGCAACTGGGATGACGAAAGAGTCCAATTCAGGGTCAGGAACTACTTGTCCAAATTCTCTTAATTTAAGCTACTTAACTAAATAACAAAACACCTAAATTTACTTGGGGTTTCCCCCTAAAATAAAAATTTTTTACTCTTAGAACCACTCGAGGTTCTCCTTACGGTTGTTGAGCTTGTCACCGTCAATGTGTCTGACCCTCGTCTTCTTGTCTGGATTTGGAACCCATTGAATTGCGACAAGCTTGCCCATGGAATTGAACCGATTCCGAAGGTAAGGTTCAAGTGTCCCAAGTTGTTGAGGACTGGGGTAAGAACCTTGCCGGTCTCCTTGTTGCGGATTTGGTATGGGTAGGGTTGGGAAATTTCGTAACCGTCATCGGCAACAAGGGTTGCCCAAACTTCCTCTTCTTCGTGTTTCTCTTCTTCCTCTTCTTCCTCTTCTTCTTCGTGTTTCTTTTTTCTCTTCTTCCTCGACAATTCCTTCTTCAATTTGTGTTCACGAAGTACGGTGTTGCATGTTCTGTCCTTTCCGAGTACCTTCCAGATGGCGTCTATCTCTTCGAAGAAACGGTAGATGAGTCTGGCAAGGTCTCGGTTCTCTCTCGTAAATGCGCAAGGTTTCCGAAATCGTTCAGGCATTTCTCATTGGAAGCTTGGTTCATGAGGACATCGGCTTTGAGTTGGTCATCTCTTCCATAAGACTACTTTGGAGAGTCTTAACGGTGTTTGTCAGATGAGCTTTCAATTGGGCAATTTGAATTTGAACTGGGCGCTTTTCTGGCAACCTTGAAAGGACATCTGCCATTGAGTTTGGCTTCGGTGCTTGTTCGGACATCGAAAAAATGAAGTGGTTTGAGAATGGCGGTTTTACTTCAAAAAGCTTGTTATGACAGTTATGTCATACAACAAGTTTAAAATAATATCTTGTTCTTCTTCTGAACGTTTGTTGTCTCTTCCGATAAAAGTTTCGAACATGAGAACCAAAAAACGTTTTTTGAGATTGCGGAAGAGTTCAGGCAAACGTTCATATTCTGGATATGTTGGGAGCAGTTCAAAACATCTGAGCTGACTTTCGGACAAAATTGGGACAATGTCAGAAAATTCATCTTTGGTCGGACTGCTTGAAGGTAAGTCCCTTACATGTAAGTAGCTCTGGTAAAGTCTTCTCATTTCTGCTAACTTTTGGAGTATAGCTTCGTAGTTTAGAAGTTTCAATTTTAATTGTCTTATTCCACTCTTTACTTCTAAACGGTAACTATCCATGAGGTCAAGAGTAGCTTTGGTAGCTTTAAGTGGAGCTATCTGTTCCTTGACTCCTGCAATTTTGGTTGCAATTGTGGTTTGAGCTCCTTCAAGTTCGCCGTCTATGTCGTTCTCAACGCCTTCAACCATGGCTTGAAACTCTTCATCGGTCCATTGAGATTGGTGTGGGACGAATTTAACTTGCTTCATTCAAAAAATGAAAAAAATGTTTTTACTCAAAGCGTGCCATGTATATGGCTATAAGAAACTTACCAGAAGGCTTCTTCTTCACATGAGTCTTTGGCAACTTGAGTGTTGGTGTTGGAGTTGGGTCTGGAATTTCAATTCTCTCTCGAGCGCAACAACAGATGTCAGAATAACATTCCCCACTGTCTTTCTTGCCACCATAAATTGTGTATTGACCGAACTTGCATTTGCAGGAAGACCGGTCAATACAAGGTTCACAGTTGAAATAGTTGTACACAAACCTGTTGAGTACGAGTGTGAGTAAAAACATAAAAAAAAGTGAAGTTAAAATGAGATGTTTACTGAACTGGCTGAAGAATTGGTTGGATGTCGCCTTCTGAGGTTATGAAGAACGGCTGTCCAGAGTAGTGAAGTAGTGCTCTGAGAATTTGTGTAATTCGTGAATTGGGCTCTCACGATATGGAAGTAGTATCCAAGGACGTTTCATGAAGAACTTCAAGAGGGCTTCTTTCTTCACATCCTTAATATCATCGAATGCAGTGCCCTTCTGGAACTTGAATTGCAACACCTGTTTCAATTTCCAACTTTAAGACACTATTCTTGGACAACCAGAAGCCAATGGACTTGCTTGGTTTGCACTTGCTGAGATATTCCTTCACGGTTTCATTTACCTCAATTAGATAAATTGCTTCGTCTAAGGGGTCAAGCTCCATACTGAGTCAGTACAATATTGTACTTTTTCAAGACAATGTTGTACTTTTTCAAGACAATGTTGTACTTTTTCAAGACAATATTGTACTTTTTCAGAACAATGTTGTACTTTTTCAGAACAATGTTGTATAAATTCAGTACAATGTCTCTCAAATTTGAGTACAGCTGTACTTTTTCAGAACAAGTCTTGAACTTTTTCAGAACAATGTTGTACTTTTTCAAGACAATGTTGTACTTTTTCAAGACAATGTTGTACTTTTTCAAGACAATGTTGTACTTTTTCAAGACAATGTTGTACTTTTTCAAGACAATGTTGTACTTTTTCAAGACAATATTATATTGTTTCAGAACAAAGACGGTTAAGACACAAACGAATGTCCGACGTCCCACCTACTGAACCCGTTCCACAGCCAGAGGAACAGCATGCTCCAGCACCACAACAGTCTCCTCAGCAACCTCAGTTCCAACAAGGACCTCCGAATTACTACCAATTTCCACCTCAAGGTTACTACCCACCACAAGGCTTTCCAAACTACCCACCACAAGGCTTTCCAAACTACCCTCCTCAACCCATGCCTTACTTCCCTAACCCTTGGATGTTCATGTCAAACCCTCCACCCCAATTCCAATCTCAATCCCAATCGAAGAGAGACCAAGAGTTCGAAGAAGGTCTGAACCGTTTACGCAAAGAGTATGCCACAGCCCCTATGGAAGATGACAGGCTTTCAGTCTCTTCCCTAAGGTCGACCAATTCGACTCGTACCACAGATTCGGTTCGTGACCGTGAAGACTACCTCAAGCAGTCTGAGAGACTCTTCATCTTACAGCCATTTACAGTTGGAGCTCTCAAGAACATGCGCAATTACGAAGGTCAGACACCAGCTGGAGACCGCAAAACAGACGTACTCGCAAGAGCAGTCCAACTGGTCAAGACAAAGACTGAGATAGTCGACTTCATTCTTGCAGCTTGCCCATACAAGTAAAAAAATAAACAATTACGAGTTAAACTTTTTACTCTTTCTTTTCTGAGTTGTTTAGAGCTGGTTTCTCTTGTAGAAACCTTTCGTACTCTTCCATGGTCATGTAATTGCGAATTTGGTACGCAATTCCAGGTTCGTTGTTTTTGAACCTTACGTATGTAACGCTTCCATCCTCCTCAGGGAAGTAAGCTGCTAACATCTGACCAAGTTTTCTCGGTGACTCGGAGCTCATTAAAAATGTCACTTTTTAAACGTTAAGTTTTTAGTCTTATTTTACCCTTTGTTTACCCTTTGTTTGTCAAGGTAGTATTGGAGTGCAATTTCTCCAAATTCTCTGTGTCGGAGTTCTTCAGCATTTTCCAAGGTGTACCTGGAGAACTCAAAGAAGTTGTCAAGAAGATACTGCCATGCTGCTCTTCTGAGTTCGTCGGTATTTTGGAAGTGTTGCACCTTCGAGTCTTCGGACATGAAAAAATGACACTTTTTCTATTAAACCGTTTTGGCATTTCTCATGAGTGAGTATAGTTCTCCCGAACCATTGGAAGAGAAGAAGTACCCTTGCTGGCAAAAGACAAAAATAGTTGCCTTAGTTGTCATTGCAATTGTACTCGTAATTGAATTCATTGTACTTCTCTTCACGTACATAAAACTCAAGGACGGCATATGCTTTAAGAAGCTACCATCTTACTAAGACTAAACACTTAGATTTTTCAAGCTTGACTTTTTACAATTTGAACTTTGTTGCTGAATTCAATAAAAATATATTTTAGGTGAAGAGGTGAGATTTCACCTCTTTTTTCACCTCTTTTTTCACCTCATGAATTTTCATGATTTCATCGTAAATGTTTTGTCAAACATGAACGTAAATGTTTTGTCGAAACTTCATCGTAATGAGCGTAAATCAGACAAAAATATATTTTAGGTGAAGAGGTGAGATTTCACCTCTTTTTTCACCTCTTTTTTCACCTCATGAATTTTCCCGAAATAAAAAATAAAGTTGGTTTTTTTAAAAAAATATTTTTTTATTTTTATTGTAAGAACATGTTAGCAACAACAGCACCAAACTCTTTAGTCATGAACCCAACTTCAATGTTAGTAGAGATGAAAAGCTTCATTCCTTCTTCATATACTTTCGAAACAACAATCCAGAAGATAAAGCAAGAACTTCTCCAAGGAGATTTAGACTGTAGTGCGAAAGATGAAACAAATGAACAGTATCTTTATGAAATGCAGGATATTATTGACCATCTACCTAAACTTCCTGAAATACAACAACAAAAGCTTACTATTCCTGAATTCGATGAAATAGAAGTCAAAGCAACTGACTCGGTAGAAATAAAGAAGTTCATACGAAAGGTAAACTATGAGTTTCTTGGATTTCATTGCAACCACAAAGTCATGGACAAAGACTGCGATATGGTATATAAAAATGTTTCTGACATATATAAATCTGAAGAATTTAAGACCTACGACAACTTTGTTTCGTTGGTTGCAAAATGTGTATGGCAGATAAGAGATAAAGATAGAAGAGGTAAAGTATGGAACGAACAAATAAAACCAGCAACTTTTGAGTTAAAGAGAGCAATTGACGCCTTAGTTGTTTTAGCAGGTAAGGTTTCAATGTACAATGCTAAAATGAACCCGCAATGTTCAAAATGTAAAGCAGCAATGAGGAAATATAACTACTCCGTCAAAGAGATAGAACGTATGCGAAACGACTATGCTGACTTAAAGAAAGAAGTAGAGAAACCAGCAGAAGATAAAATGAACATGTTAGCATTTCTGAACAAAAACTATCCAACTGCTGACGATTTCCTTCTATCTGACGTCAAGAAGAAGTATAAAGAAACTTTCGGTATCGTTAAAACATTCGATGTACTGACAGAAGAAATAGAAGCTACGAAATTGTTTAGGATTTCAAATATACATCATACAATTCATGTAAAACGCTTATAAAATAACAGGTGAAAAAAGAGGTGAAAAAAGAGGTGAAAAAAGAGGTGAAATCTCACCTCTTCACCTAAAATATATTTTTATTGAATTCAGCAACAAAATTCTGAGTAAAATAATTTTTAGGGCTTGTGTCAAACCGTTGAGTTTTCACAAAATTTAAAAAATAACGTTTACCATGTGAAACGCTTATAAAATAACTGAGGTGAAAAAACAGGTGAAAAAAGAGGTGAAATCTCACCTCTTCACCTAAAATATATTTTTGCTGAAAAATGACCAAATTTCATGAAATTTCTCTAGACCGACTTTTACAGGGGTAGCCAAAACTCATGAAAATCGTGAAAAATAACAGAGTATTTTGACAACTTCAAACAAGTAGAGTAGATGAACTCTTTATTTTTCAAGCTTGACTTTTTACAATTTGAACTTTGTTCGCGTAGATGTGAATTCTGAAAGAAGTATGAGGGTCTTGTATGACTTTGTACTTCTCCCAGAGTTCATGTCTGTCAAACTTACCTGCCATGGACTCTTTCATAAGTTCCATGAAATCGTCTTCGGACAATCCAGGGAAAAGTATGATATCAGTAAGTATTCTTTTAACATCCTTACTTAAACTCTTTGCTGTCTGTACACAAATGACAACTGAGATGTTAAAGTGTCTGAGCTTCTTAAGAATTCGACACATATCTTGTTCTCTGTTCTTTAACAAAGGATGAGAGGCGAAATCATCTAAGATAAGAAGACATCTGTGAGGGTAAGTCTTCCAATCGTAAGATTGCAATTTCTTCGAAATGTATTCTATCTCTTTCTGTTTGTTTCTGAAGTGTTTCTTCTCTAATATTCTCTGCATTTCCTCATTTGGGTCTTTAAACTTCGAATTGACATACTCATTTATAGCATTGTACTTCAAAACTCTTCTTTGGTACTTCTTTATCCAATCTAACAACTCAGAGTCTTTTATACATACTAACTTAGACTTCTTTATAATATCTTTGAACGAATTACGGTTTGGTCAAATTGACCAGAAGTACTACAAATGACTACTAACTCATAGAATGGGTTCTTCTCATCTAGTTCTTGTTGTTGTGCAGCCATTTTAAGATAAGTGAAAGTCTTACCCGACCCAGGTGGTGCAATTAGACCTGTTATACCATTCTGAGCAAATAAGAACTT